TAATATAAATTATAATGCAAGTATATTACACTGCAAATCTAATTCTTCTGAATACTTCTCATCTCTTAAAATTTCTAAAATAAATGTTCATGGTACTGGTGGAGTAAAATCTTAGGCATAAGCAGCAGAAACTGACTCTGGCTGAATAAAAGAAAAGAATTTGTTGAGAGGATATGGAGGTAGCTTCCTAGGGAAGATGTGTGGGGAATAGAGCAAGAAGCAATGGCAGAGAGCAAACAGAGGAACTGGTCCAGTCTGGCTAGCCTGACTACCAGAGCAGACTCTGCCGACTCTGATGACCCTGGAAAATGATGCCACTTCCAGCACTACTGCTTCTCTTTGCCAGGAGACAGAACAGCTAATTGCCACCATTTCTGGGAAGACTCTCCATGGCCTGATACTTTGTTGAAGCCCTAGTTCTTGATAAGAAGCCTGAGCAGGTGGGTTTGGGTGTGTTTTCCTGTGGTAGGAAATGCTGGGCTTGCAAATAGAACACAACTCCTACCTCCCACCCAGACAGTAAAGGTGAAGAAATTTCTCAACACAAAAAAAGTCTTTGTGTCTGGGCTGGCCAAAAAGAATGACAAATTCCCATTGTCCCAAGAGCAGTGAGAAAATATCCTGCCTTCTTAAAGACAAGATCAGATGGGGCAGAGAAAGAGTAATAGAAAATCTTGGGCCTTCCCCTGGAAGCTGTCCACCCCAGAACTAATGCATTCACTTCTCGGTATTCGCAGCCCATCATCAGCATAAACTCTCAAGCCGTACAAATGTTAAAAAGGTTCATTTTCCAAGGTCAAAGCAGATTCGTGGTTTTCAGTAAATGTTGTCATCAGAATGGTCTTCTCTATGTCTAAGGACATTCTGTATGAAGCAAATGAACAACATACAGGATAGTTACAGCAGTTGGGGCTTTAAGATTTGGCCCAAACTCCAATTGTTCCATATGTCAGGTCCAACCACTCACTCTTACAGGCCAAATAGAAAGACATGAAAAAAGTATATGAAGGAGCTTTATCACATACCATGCCATGCTGTAAAGACAGCACTTTAGTACATCTCAGCCACCTTCAGAGTATAGATACTTGGCTTAGGTTAAATAGAAATAGGAGCAGAGTGAGAGGGTATGCATAATTAAAATATCCCACGTCACAAGCATGTTTACAGGCAATCAGATGTGGCCAGAGATGACTAAGAGATGGGTTGACAGAGCGTTGTGTCAGATGGTCACATATTACAATAAGAGTCATTGACACCTGGCAAGCATCAATCTTCCAAGATTACTGCAGGACAAAATGGCTCAGAACAAGAGACATAGATCCAAAATGGAAGATGCTGTAATACTAAACCTTTATCCTACTCCTAGTGAATGCATATGCCCAAGTAAGGAGTCAGTGTTACTCGTCAAAAGATTACACACCAGGATATAGTAAACCTACCAACACAACCATGTTCACTGCAGCACTATTCACCAAGGCCCAGCTGTGGAATCAGCCCAATGCCCCCTCAATGAACAAATGGATCAAGAAAATGTGGTATGTTTAAAAAATGGAATTTTACTCATCCATTAGAAAGAATGATATTTTACCATTTGTAAAGAAATAGAAAGACCTGGAAAAAATATTAAGTGAAGTAAGGTCAGGCCTAGTGAGACAAAGGTTACATGTTTTCCCTCATGTGTGGATGCTAGAATTAGCTTATCAACTATAATATGCTGGGTGGTATGCAAATGATTACAAAGGTATTAACTGAAATATCTGAAATATGGTAGATTCAAAGGAGAACTCAAACAGCGTCATTCCTTAGAAAGTTCAAAATCAAAGTTCAACAAAATAAACACCAACAAGTGGGTACTTACAAGTGGTTAAAGTATCAGGGGAAAATGTAGTCAAGAATTCAATGTAGGGGCTGGGAAGGCGGCTCAGTGGTAGAGTGCTTGCCTCGCATGCATGAGGCCCTGGGTTTGATTCCTTAGCACCACACAAGCAGAAAAAGCCGGAAGTGGTGTTGTGGCTCAAGTGGTAGAGCACTAGCCTTGAGATGAAGAGCTGAGGGACAGCGCCCAGGCCCAGAGTTCAAGCCCCACAACCAACAAAAAAAAAGGAAGAAAGAAAGAAAAAGAATTCAAGGTATATCCTGCAAAATTAAAAAAAGTGAAGGACAGGTTGTGTGGGAATTGATGAGTGAGAATGTTGAAAGGGGTTACATTGGTCAAGATATATTGTACTTATAAACTGCTTTATTAAATGGCAACTACTTGAATAAAAAATAAAAGGTCAGTTTTTAAGTACCTCTTAAATTTTCCCTTTTATTCAAATGGAGTCCCTTTCAAAAAAGTAACAAAAGCTGAGAGATTTTAGAAGCAATTCCTATACATTCATGGTTATCTAGATTAAAGCCATAATTGGAACCCCTGTAAGAAGGCAAACTCATACCTGTTTATCTGTTAACAAGGCTTGAATTCAGTGCCTCTTGCTCTCCCTGGATTCACTTGCTTGCTCACATCTGACACTACCACTTGAGCCAGCATTTTGTTGGTTCATTGGAGATGGACTTTCATGGACTTTTCAAGCTCAGGCTGACTTAGAATCATGATCCTCTGATCTCAACCTCCTGAGTAGCTAGGGTTACAGACATGAGGCTCTGGCATCAGGTCAAACATGTTTTTAGTAGTCGGTGCTTATTGAAAGAAATCCCTTTGCAAAGTTGTTTGAAGGTGGATCCCCTACACTATTTATTGAATTGGATGCTCTCTGATTTTGCATTCTTCTCGCATTCTACTTTATCATGGTACTCTAATTTCAGGCTTAAACAATAAGTTCTTGTGACATATATTTTAGCCATTTGTTCTCTTCTTGTGCATTAGGCAAGCTACTAATAGATATTCAGCACTTAACTTTAGATCTCTAACAAGTTAAGGGACAATGCCAAGGATCCCAAATAGACTTATTTTCTACTTTTCAAGTGCATCTCATATATACAGTAATGTTCATATAGTTCAGGCAAATACACATTAGGCCAGGTTTTAAGTATAAAGCCTGTCCAATGATAAGGTTTGTTTTTTTCCCCATCTTCATAGTACTAATTACAAACAACAGAAATGCCAGACATTTTATTTACTTATAGAAGGGTGAATACAATGCATTTGGATAAAAGTGAACATTACCTGGTCATTTTATGTGTATAAAGGTACACACTTTTTTTTTTTTTTTTTTTTTTTTGTCGGTCGTGGGGCTTGAACTCTGGGCCTGGGCGCTGTCCCTCAGCTCTTCAGCTCAAGGCGAGCGCTCTACCACTTGAGCTACAGCGCCACTTCCGGTTTTCTGGTGGTTTATTGGAGATAGGAGTCTCACGGTCTCTCCTGCCCGGGCTGGCTTTGAACCGCGATCCTCAGATCTCAGCCTCCTGAGTAGCTAGGATTACAGGCGTGAGCCACCAGCGCCCGGCTTAAAGGTACACACTTTTAACTCGGTAAATGTTTGCACAACATTATATGAAGTTCAGACATATAGTTCACTTCATCTTTAGTCACAGACATGCAGGGCACTGGGTTACAATTACATAAAACAATAGCTGTTCTGTTCACCATGGTTGTAAGGTTGTAAGATGTATAAATATCTTCATATATATACATATACATATATATTCAGATTCAGTTGTTTCAGTTTAAAATACAAGCAATTATCCTAATAAAATACACCATCTTTAAGCCAGTTGTTTTGCAAACATTACTAAGAGCAGAAGAGTATTTTTGAACCAGTCTTGTTAACTATTTTCCTGTAAAATACTCTACTAACCTTGTACGCATTTCTGAGTACTGGACTTTGAACTCAAGGTTTTACACTTGCTGTGCAGATGCTTGATCGCTCTGGATTAACTAGGCATACTTTCTTACCTCCTGCTCTCAATTCTCCATTTTTAACCTAAGGCAGATGTCTGTAGTTCAAAAGCTGTTGAAGATGCACTGAAGTGCTGCCCATATCATGAAATGAAATCTCCTTTCTCTGCTCTTTACCATATGTTTTCATTTGGTGAATAGGAGTGAGTATTCAGACATGACACGTGGAACTCCTGGAGTTTAGATGTGTGGACAAAAACTGTGGTTTTAGCTTTGGCAAACCTCACTGGGAGAAAATATACCCTTTAGATATTCACCACTATCAGCTAGTGATGGTGAATCTTTCAAAAGAAAGATGAGATTTGTTCCCTGAAGCTGCTGAAATTACTTTTATTCCAGGGACTTTTTTCTTCTTCTTGATCAGTTGTGGGGCTTAAACTCAGGGCCTGGGTGCTGTCTCTCCTGACCAAGGCTAGTGTTCAGCCACTTTGAGCCACAGTACCACTTCCGGTTTTCTTTCCAGTTTTTTCCGGTTACTTGGAGATTAGAGTCTCACAGACTTTCCTGCCTGGGCTGGCTTTGCACCATGATCCTCAGATCTCAAGCCTCCTGAATAGCTAGGATTACAGGTGTGAGCCACGGGCGCCCAGCATTCCAGGGACTTTGTCTTATCTTTCTACTTTACACAGCACTGGCGTGCTGCTCTACCAAACTTGTGCCACCTGGGGACTGGTCAAGGCCAGTGTCTGCAATCTGTAGTTTGCTTGGCCCACAGGTTGCTTCATATTCCCCTCCTTCAGCTCTTTGGACAGACCCATTTCTGTCGCTAAGCATCTGGTCAAGATGTTTTTGTGGAAACTGAAGGGTCTGCAGCCCTACCCAGGAGAAAAGGGAAAGAAGGAGAGTCATGGTTTCTTTCCACATTTCTGAGTCTCCCTGGGCTTTCTACATGCATAAAAGCTTGCCATGTAATTCTATTGAAATTAGACTACTGATATGGGGGATTAAACCATATGTTTCTCAAATCTGAGATGAAAACTTAGGAACTTTATAAAGTAAAATCAGAGACAGACTACTACTACATCTATTATTCTCTTTTTCCCCCTTTCAGTAATACCTAATGGGGAATGTTTATCTCAACTCTGTATTTCCCAAGCAGCTATTAATCAGACCCATCTCTATATCCACTGTGAGTGAGACAAGCATAGTTCAGACCTCCAGGCTTGCCAGGAGGGCAGCAAGCCACTTGTTTCTCTTGGCAGAAATCTTCGTCTGCATGTGGTTCCTTCTCTTCTTTCCTCAGACCACAGGATTCAGATTCCTTGGCGCCTAGAGGACCCTCAGAACACTCTTCAACTTGGTTGCATTCTGTGGCAAGCACCATATAGTTTAACCCTTCTTGGTTCTTGGTTTCCACCAAAGCAACTGGCATAGTGTCATCTGAATTTAAGCTAATCATATTGTCATCCTCACCTGTTGTGGGGGAAAATGGGACAGTTATTCTAGCATCTATTTAATTTCCTTTGCTGTTAAGACTATATAGGTTATATCGTTTTATATATATATATATATATATATATATATATATACACACACATATATATACATACATATATATATATGGTCGGCAAATAGTTATTAGGACCATTAAATGCTGGGAAAACAAAAGTAAACAAGAGGTGTTCCCTATTCTGGCAGCTACTATAATCTAAGCAGAAATAGAACCATAAAAGGTAATATGCACTTACGTAAGGGCCTTAAAAGGTAGCAAGACCACAGGGCTGTCAATTAACATGTAGACTAGATCATTATCCTCATGAAAGAAATTATGCAGCCCCCTAGAGCACTCTTTTCTGTCTAAAATATCCTTTCATCGATATTTATTGGGTACCTACTACAAGTCAGGCTGTATTCTAAGTATTGATGATAAAAAGTTGCTGCTCTTTGCAATTTGCATCCTAACAGAGAAACAATAAACCAGTAGCCAGCTAATTATGTCAGATGGTGCTAGCCCTCATGAAGGACAACTTGCAGAGGAAAGGGCAAGAGAATAATTGGTGCTGGGAAAGGGCCACTGTTTTAGACAGGGTGTCAGCAAGTTTCTCCTTAATCAGGTGAAATTCTAGCAGAGACCCAAATTAGCTGAGAGAATTCACCTTGTGGCTAAAGAACATCGAAGAGAAAGAGAAGAGTAAGATGAAGGGTCCACAGGCAGGACAATGCTGGGTGTGGATTAAGGAACAGCCCAGCAGCCAATAGAGCTGGTCGCCCTCTGCTCTCCCCATGGGTCAAAGGTCATATGAGACCATTAACACCAAATGGCAAGTAAAAGGCATATGCTTATGACCACAGAACGGAATGGATGCAAACCTAGTACATTTTAACAGGAGGGTTGAAGGAAAAGGAAAAGGAAAGGAAATATATTATCAATCATTGCAATGTTTTCTGGTTGTATTAACTCTTACAGAACATTTACTCTATCCCATTGTATGAAACTGTAGTCAGATATGAACTCATTCTTCTACTAATTACATACCAGTATCGTTCCCTCTTAATAGTAAGAAAAAAAATGAAGAATGGAGGAGTTAAATAATTTTCTCAGGATCAACCAGATGGAATGAGTCTCTGTCCTTTTTGTCTTCCTGTGGGCTGGGTAGTGTTCTGTGCTGTGCTCTGCACCCACTGGAGTCCCTGGGAAGTGCAAGGTCTAGAAAGCCAGGTGTATGCGATGAGGATAGCAGCAGGAAAACAGGCAGCCAACAAGTAATTGGCCTTCTTTCCAATTATGCAAATGATAGTTTGTCTTTGTTCTGATCTTCTTACATGGGAAAACAAAAAGTCCTATAACAAAGTTCTGAAACATTTCACATAATCTAAGCAACCCAAAGATAGGTACACAATATTTATAATATCTGTATAAAAATAAAAATAGAAGTAGAAATTGTGGGAATTGTTTTTTTACTAGTACCTTCCAATCTCTGGGTGGTCTTATCTAGATGAAAACTTCTCACCAGAGCTATACTATCTTTTCATGAATTACCATGCTTCAAATATCAGAAGCACTTCAGTAGATAGATGCTGGGCCTTCCTTTTCTCTCCAGCCTGATGGCATATGAATGTGTGGTTCTAATGGTAGGGCCTATGATGAACCTGATGAACTTCGCCATTGTGGACACCTAGTTTTCATTTACTGGGAATAGACTTAAGTTGAAACAGGAGGAAAATGAAATAATTTCAAGGGACTAAGGGAAACAATACATTGCATTTGTTTTTCCTAATGGATTTACCTATATATACTAGGTATCATACCTGAACTGCAAATCATATTTTATCCTAAGAGCACATGATCTTCATCCCTGCTTTGTTTAAGACACGTGTTTTTATTTGTTTTTATTGTGAAAATACCGTACAGAGGGGTTCCAATTACGTGGACAAGATAATGAGTACATTTCTTATCAAGCATTGTTGTCTCCTCCTTTGTTTCCCCTTCCCATCCCTTCCCATCGTGTTTTTATTTTTCACATCTTTTACATTACTGAAGATGGCTACGCCACAAGCTCATAGGCTCTTTGGCATTATCTCATGATTTCCTCTCCATTGTCCCCCAATCATTATGGCGTATTTCAAACCATAGAAATATCAGATAGTGTTGTAAACTTCCTCAGTCATACAAACAAACTTCATTAACACCAAGCTTGACTAATGCCCTAGAAAGGATGCAAATGCTGATGCATATTGCCAGTAGTTACTAATACCACTGAGAATCTCACTAGAATAACTATATGTGATTATAACAAGAGAAGACATAAACAAGCTGGAAAGAAATAAAGTGTTGAACCAGCTCAGTGGCTCCAATGGTTGGAGAAATTAAGATGCATCTAAAGAGCTTAAAGAAATTAAGAGCTGGGTGCCAGTGGCTCATGCCTGTAATCCTAGCTACTCAGGAGGCTGAGATCTGAGAATCACAATTTGAAGCCAGCTCAGGCAGCAAAGTCTGTGAGACTCTTTTCTCCAGTTAAGCACCCAAAAATTGAAAGTGGAGCTGTGGTTCAAAGTGGTAGAGTACTAGCCTTAAGCAGAAGAGCTCAGGGACAGTGCCCAAGCCCTGAGTTCAAGCCCCACAACCAAAAAAGAAAAGAAAGAAGGAAAGAAAGAAAGAAATTAAGCTAAAATGCAAAACCCCTTTGTACAACTACTTAAATGTAATTTTAAGGAAAGAAATTAAGCTAAAGTCTAGAATTTCAACAAAAACTTCTATGTACAATATACAAAATTTCCATGCATCCACCTTCTCAGCTGCTTCATTGCCACGCCTTAATTTTTACTGGAAAATCCCTACCAAACATGATTTGTGGAACTTCTGTATAAAGAAACTTTTCCTTTCTTTTGTGCCAGTCCTGGGGCTTGAACTCAGGGTTTGGACAATGTCCTTGCGGTTTTGTGATCAAGGCTCCAGTTTTGGCTTTTTGGTAGTTAATTGCAGATAAGAGTCTTAGAGACTCATTCTTGCCCAGGCTGGCTTTGAACCACAATCCTCAGATTAGCCTCCTGAATAGCTAGGATTACAAGTGTGAGCCACAGATACTAGGCTTAAAAGAATCTTTTTTTGAGGAAGCAAATAAATAGTTTTTGCAAATTCTGTTGCCATGTATCAGAAAAAAACCATTAGCTAACGACTTCTTAGTACTTATGGCACTATTTAGTAACTTGACCCTGGTAAGCTCTCAGCAATTAATACATCTTCTTGTTGCATAAAGAGCTAATGAGAGACAGGGGTGATGTAGAAGTTTCTTTTGCCTTTTTTTTGCTTAAAAAAAGTATTTAAAAATAAAGCAAAAAGTATTTAATACAACGCCTATGAGTCAGATCTTAAGGCAGATATCCTGAACAAAGACAACATTCATTCCACAACCTCTTTAAGAGGAAAATATTAAAATAAAGGCTTCCAAGTAAGACAGGGCATTTATGGGCGAGACATATGCTGGCTGAGTGGCTATGTTTAGAACAGCAGAGGAGCATTTAGATTTGTTTCCTGTAGAATTCTCTCGGACCGATGAGGTGATGTTTACACAAATGTTTGGATGAGGTCATTGGGATATTTTTACTAGATGTCCAGATATGTTACTAATCTTCTCTCTCTCTATCCCTTCCCTACCCCATTAGGTCAGTAGGACCATAGGATAGACATAGCATTATCGCTATAATCCTAAGGTGCTTTATTTAAGCAACAACAACAAAATCCCTCCAGTGGCTTTCTTTTCTTCTTTATCTACCACAATATCAACAAAGACAGACACCTTATTGCTTTGCTAAGTACAATCACCAGTCTGCAAGGCAGCAAACTGTCATTAAGTGTAGTTCTCTTAGTAATTAAGTTCAGGTTTGCCTCGCAGTAACTGTTCCACTATTTGTATATTTTGCAAACATGCGAACTCTATCTTTCATTCTATTTCATGCTTCCCACTTCCCTGCCTCTCTTGTTTGGTCACAATCACAATTACCAAAAATTTTTCTTACTTTCTGTATTTCCTTCCATTTTTATCTGCAAGATTTACCTTCGTTGTGAATAATAGAATGATCATTTCTCTTTTACTTAAGTTATGCTGCTGTCATGGCCCAGGATTGCTTGCTTCTGCTTCAATGATCATAGTTCAACTATATAATTTCTCCTATTAAGCCTGCCCTACATCATTATTCTGAATAGTTATGCATGCTTCTCTATCCTTATTAATAATACTTCAAATTGTAGTTCCTTCTTCTTAAGGTGTGGCACCTACATGAATTTATATAACCGGGGAAAAAATGATGCATCTTTTCCAGCAACCAGAAGTAATGTTCTTTCACTGTACCTACTTGTGCAGCGCTATTAATAACATAACTGGGGAAAGTGTGTGTCCAGCTTCCTTACTGCAGTACTGGCTCTGAGAAGGAAGATGGTGAAGACTCAAGAACAGAGCCAAACTCTCATCCCAGCTCAGTAGGAAGATGATACTCATTTTTCTAGGTGCAGAAAAATCATTTATTATAGTTGACTTTCCATTCTTGATGTTTTCTCAAAAATAATTCTTAATTTGTGTGTGTGTGTATGTGTGTGTGTGTGTGTGTGTGTGTGTGTGTGTGTGTGTGCATGCACGCGCACGCATGCCAATTCAGAGGCTTAAAGTAAGTGCTTGGGCACTTTCCCAAAGCTTTTGTGCGCGAGGCTAGCATTCTACCACTTGAACCACAGCAGTAATTCTGGCTTTTGGGTAGTTAAGTGGAGATAAAAATCTCACATGCTCCTGCCCTGGATGCCTTCAAACTGTGGCCCTCAGATCTCAGCCTCCTGAGGAGGTAGGATTATAGGTATGGGCCACCAGTGCCTGGCTAGTTCTTGTTTTTTGTTTTTGTTTTTGTTTTCTGTTGGTCTTGGGGCCTGAACTCTGGGCCTGGGCGCTGTCCCTGAGCTCTTTTGCTCAAGGCTAGTGCTCTATCACTTGAGCCACAGCTCCACTTCCAGCTTTTTCTGCTTATGTGGTGCTGAGGAATCGAACCAAGGGCCTCATGCATGCAAGGCAAGCACTCTACCACTGAGCCACCTTCCCAGACTAGTTCTTAATTCTTAATTTTTTAAAGAATTTTTCATGCCATCATTTTTCTCAGACAAATATATGATTGTTACAAAATCTGTAATAAATGTCATAGTTAATGAGGGAAACTAAGACTGCATTACCATAAGGCTGTTGGGAGGATTCTTTGAGTTAATGTGCACAGTGAGTGCATATAAAAAGTATGAAAATAAAAACCTAGGTCTGGGAATGTGGCTTAGTGGTAGAGTGTTTGCCTAGCATGCATGAAGCCCTGGGTTCAATTTCCTCAATACCACATACACAGAAAAAGCCGGAAGTGGTTCTGTGGCTCAAGTGGAAGAGTGCTGGCTTTGAGCACAGAGAGGCTCAGAGACAGTGCCCAGACCCTGAATTCAAGCCCCAGAACTGCAAGTAAATAAATAAACAAACAAACAAACACCTAGCTAGGATTGTTATTATAACCTTTCACAAAAGAATTTTATTCTGTATATTTTGTATAGCTATAATTTGTTACCTGTCTCAGCCTATTAGATGAATGAAGTAATGCCACATGGCAAAAAGATCATCCCATAGACCTTGGAGAGTCTGATACAGCCTCCAGCGAGGCTCTAGTAGAGACTTTTTCTGTAACGGCCCTCAGGGAAAGCTAAACTCTTAGGCCCATCAAGAAAGCTTCTGTGGTTTTAATAATTTGTCTTTCATACCTTGGGAAGAATAGATTTCATAAGCAAAGAGCTGGTTTTTAAATTATAACACAAGACAACGGTAAAATCCATGCATCCTCTGGAGGCTGTGCATCTCTTCAGCACTGTCTACAAGCTTTTTCAGGAGCCTCTCTCCTTTGGGTCTCCATGACAATGCTTCCCACCATGGCTGTCCTCTACCCTCTGGCTTCCCCTCACTAGTCCCATCATCTTCCTTTGTTATTCTCGCATATTCATGCATACCAAACAATATATTTTGCAGGAAAGCATACAAATAAAAAGACACTCATTAAAATAATGAGAATGTTTGCCTCTAAGGGAGGAAAGAAGTAGACCAGGAGAGGAATATGAAGACAAAAGGACTAAACAAACAAGAGAGAAGCCCTGCATAGGCCAGTGATGATACTGTACCATAAATAGAGAGAATAATCAACTCAAATCTGAGCTTGATGTTCAACTGGTGTAAGTCAGGGAGGAGAGGGACAGGCTTCATGAAAATACAGCCTAGGAGGTCAATTCTCCTTATCACTATCTCACATTATAAATGCATGGGCCATAGCTCAACCTTTAAAAAAAAGTACACAATGCCAAGTAATTTTCAAGAAGAAACATAATGAACTATTGTGATGAAGGTATCAGAATATATATATATATATTTTTTTTTTCTTATCAACCCTAAAGTGTTTCTCTGTATATTATGTTCTGGCATGTTCCGTTTGTATTGGGGAAAAAAAACTAGAAACCTTTGAAGAACCAAACTTACCTTCAAAGCCTTCGTTTATGACTCCACCATTGATGGCTTCATTTGGGCACTGAGGAATACTTCTTAAGGAAAAGTTTCTGAACAACTGAAGCTGCTCTTGAATCTTATCAAACGTAGGCCTTTGTTCAGGTTCTTGAGCCCAGCATTGAGACATTAAATTCCACCTGGATATGTAGATGAAGATAAGTAAATGAAGGTAAGTAAATGCTGACAACACATTATTACTGATAACCAAAGTATGGTTATTTTATTAGTGAAAGTGTGAGTTATTTCCAGTGCTCCATGATGAGAGTACAAGCTTTGGTTTCTCATTTAACAGTAGCTTGAAAAGTTACCATTATTTCTAGTTATTAATCTGAGTGAAGAGATAGATAAATGGATGTCTGGAAATGTCTCCTCAATGGAGCTAAGAGCTATGAAAATTATTGAAGCTAAGATTTAAAAGACTTCATAAGCTAGGTGCCAGTGGCTCATGCCTTTAATCCTAACTGCTCAGGAGGCTGAGATCTGAGGGTCATAGTTCAAAGCCAGCCTGGGCAGGGAAGTCCGTGGGACTCTTATCTCCAATAGACCACCAGAAAACCGGAAGTGGTGCTGTGGCTCAAATAGTAGAGGGCTTGCCTTGAGATGAAGAGCTCAGGGAGAGCACTCAGGCCCAGAGTTCAAGCTCCACAACTGACAACAACAACAAAATAATAATTAATTAAAAATAAATAAATAAAATAAAAAAGACTTCATATATACTCTATATAAAACAGAATCTAATATTTGTCTACACCACCATTTAGAGGCAAAATCACACATAAAGGCCAGATTTGATTCCAGAACTTTAGTTTGCTGTTGTGATATCAGTTCCTCGGACATTAGTTGCTGGCTAATTAAACATTATCTAAGAAATACCTGGAAAAACAGCAAATGAAAGAGCCAACACTTAAGTGTTGGAGACATGACTCAACCAATGAACGAAAGCATCAGATACTAAGTTCAAGTCCCAGTCTCAGACAGGAAAAAAAAAGAAAAAGGAAAGATGTCTTTCAGAGTAAGTAAAGTGACAATTGTCAGATGTGGGGATTTCTTAAATTTCCTATGAGTTAAATGATTTTGTAAAAAGAAAGTATTTTCCCCAAGATTGGCAACCCCTAATCAGTTCAGCTTTGTGTTGTATGCTAGTTTAAAAAATACCAAAAAAAGGAAATATGTAATGTAAAAAAAAGCTTTTATGATGGATTTGTACATGGATTTGTTCCAGGGTGACCTGTTTTCTAGCTGTGATCTTTCCACTTCAAATGGATATAAATAGATTAATAATAGAGTCACTAAAAGTTTTTAAATAAATATCTGTGCAGCCCTCTTAACTAGTGTTCATTCATTCACTGAGCATAGAATTGTGAGGTACTTATTTCACACCAGCTATTGCTAAAATATGAAGAGCTGGGGGTGCAGCTGGGCAACTCCTCTGCTCACAGGTGAAAGGTGCAGGAAGTGGAAGGCAGTGACAGGATTTACCACATCGAGATTCATATGAGCTGGAAAGAAAAGTAACTCTTTCATATTATCTAGAACTGATCAGGTCTTTTCTGGAGTCTCCAACTAACAGGAGAAAAAATTATTTCATTTAGCACAACGCAGTTTATTACCTAGTATAGATGACCATTTGAGACAATCCATTTAGGAAATGTTCTAACTTTTCCATAAACTATCTCAGACTATCTTGTTTCCGACTCAGCTTTCCAGTGTGATGGTGTGAAATATGCCAGGTGTAAAAGAGGCTTTATTGTGATGCGTAGGAATATACTTGTGGATTCTTTGAACCCCACATTGCTTTCCAAGTCTTCACTGATCTCAGTGCCTGTTCTGGAATTCACCGAGGAGTTACTGGTCTGGTCTATCCTGTAGACATCCTTCCACTATGAACACCCTGAATTCTTCACCAATTCTTCAGACACTTTGCCATTGAACAAGTTCTCCTTGTCTCTCTGGTTACAGGCTTCTGTGTGACTCTTTCAAAGCCTGTATCTGCTGACAAGGCCCAGGAAACCCATGCCTGTTTCCCTTGCAAGCCCACAGGGTGTCTCTTGGCAGAATCTCTAGCTCTCAACAGAAATATTACACAATATGGAAAACGAAAGGAAACTTGAAATAGAAACCAGACCTCCTCTTGTCCAGATATACCATTCTCCCTTCTTACATATGCTCCTTTCTTCCTCCATGTTAATGTGGGGTCCCCTACTCAATCATTTTGTAATTCAAATTGGAAGGTATTGGGACTCTGCCTTTGGTGTGGCCTCTCTAACCTAACTGAAGCCTCAAAGGAAGTCTCAGGACCCTCACCTTCCTATCGCCATCTACAGAGTTGTCTTTTTCCCTACAGTTTCCCAGAGCTTTTAAAAGGAATAAGTATCCACTCATTGCTGTTTAGATGAGACTACCCTGCTGGGAATGTGGCTTAGTGGTAGAGTGCTTGCCAAGTATTCATGAAGCTCGATTCTTCAGAAAGCGCCAGAAGTGGCTCAAGTGGTAGAGAGCTAACCTTAAGCAAAAGAAGTTCAGGGACAGTTCTCAAGCCCTGAGTTCAAGCCCCCAGAACATATATTTATTAGACTATCCTTGAAGTTATAGTATTACCATCACTCAATCCTGGTACTAACAAGGAGCTAAAGGACTTGCATAACTCCTCCAAATTTGATTTTCAAGTTGCTAACTATGACACTTGCCAAGTATTTGATCTTTTTTTACTTTCTGGGCATAGGAAGAAAATTGGGGGCAAAAAGAAAAACAGATATGTAAAAACAAACTGAGAAAGTGTTTCAGAGTATTAATACCACCATATCAACAGGGAAAAAAATTTAAATTGTGTTAAATTCTTTTACAAGTAGAAGAGAAAACATTCATTCTAATGGACATGGCACATTTTTGGTAAGTAATTCACAGCAGGCCCTTCTACCATAGATGACATTTAAGCCCACGAACTTTGTAGGGAAATAAAACGCTAGTCATGGGAATAGGGTGTGGATAGAAGTCAGAGAGCATGTTAGGGGTGGGAAAAGCATGTGTAAAGTCCTAAATTTGGAAAAGCTGGGCACATTTTAGTATCTGGAAGAAAGCCAGTGTGGCTTAAGTACAGTCAGTAAGGGGAGAGAATGAGATAAAAAAAAAAAAAAAAACCAGAAGAGGAAGGTAAGATACTGCAGGTCTCATAGACCAGGCAAGGAATTGGAAATTTATGAAAGTCTTAGAGCAGATGTAATATTTGCATTTTAAAGGCCTATTCTAGCTAATAGATGGATAATGGATTATATAAAAGCCAAGTGGAAGGTGTTAAAGAAAACTAGAGTGAGTGCTAGTGGTGCTTTGGATTAAGGTAATGGTAAGGGAGCTAGAACAAGATTATATCAATCACTAGGTAACATTGATGCAGGAATTATTACACAAACTTTTTTTTAAAAGCTAGCATCTATTTTAGAAACTATAATGCCATTTCTAATACATTACAGAATAGCACACAAACTTCCATTTACTTCATTTTTGACAAGCACCTCAAGTCAGAGTTATTACTACATAACAGGTATTATGGAGAAATTTAACAATTGGAATCTGCCCTGTGTATTGATCTGATTCCTTTTTATATGTAGTATAAGGAAACTCCATCCCATTACACAATGTCAAACTTGGTTTGTTTGTTTTTTTAATAGGAATCACATTTGGGAAAGAACTGAAAGACAATCTATTATGTATGTCTTTAGAACTTGTGCCAACAAGAAACAAGGACAATACACAGATCTCTATGTGGGATCATTAGATTTGGGGATACAATTATAACCGATATAAGATCGTAAGTTTAAACTAACAGTTCAAATATGATCTTGATGACTAAGATGGGAGTTGTCCTAAGAGTTACATGCAGAAAGTGAAGTACTACATAATTCATCACAGGAAGCATTTCTGAAAATAATGTCATAAATCAAATATAATGTTAAGGTATTAATAAACTCTGGCAAGACAGTCATTTTGACCAGAAAGTATAACTTATTTGTTAATAATATAGATAATTCTACAAAGGATTCAACATAATTAACAGAGATTACTTAAGATGAGGGAAATAAGGAAAAAGAGAGGAAGTTGAGAAACAGGCTGACAGCCACCTGCCCCTCATCTGTCTACTTACTCAGCCTCTAAAATTCAGCCTCCTGTTTAATTTATGTAAGCAGTTAGTCTTGAAATTTTCATCTATGGAGGTTTTAATTTCTATTGAATCTAATTGCAATTTCATTTAATTTTCTAGATGGCAAAAATATGACCTGTTAGTATGCAAGCAAGTCCATTTTATATCAGCATGCAGAGAAAATAAAGACAAACAAACAAGAGCTATATAAAGCTACTTCATCTAAAAATAGAGAATGCAACTTGTGGTCTCAAATAAACTGGCAATGGAATAAAATGGAGAAACTTTTTAGGACTCAATGGTCCTTTAAAAAGTATTACTTTTGTCTTTCAAATTAATTAACAACCTCCGTGACCAGTGGCATATCAGGGGCATCTTTCCTTACAGTATTCACTGTTCATTATTCAATATCATAAATGATATACTTGTACAAAATTATAGCTATAAATAATCAAGTATATTGCTTGAAATAAATTGGCTGGTCCTCCAGTTTGTTAAACTTTATCTGGCCTTGGCTGTTCTAGAAAAACACTCATTATACTTAAGTATCTCATTTGGCCAAGTATTCAGCTTGAAAATACCTCCACTTACTACGAAAACACTTTAGTCCTCTTTTACCTCAATTATTCTTCAAAATAGCATAAAACTCATTAGCTGCATTTAACATTAGTCTCCAAGTCCTTGGATTCATGAAGCTATTAAAGTTCAACTCATGAAAACATCACAGCATCTTTTATTATTGAGTCTTTATAGACTCTTTATAGACAAAGCATATAAAATGCAGATTTCAAGAGTTCCCCTTACTTGCTATCAATCTCAGAGACCTCTTAGCATCTGGACATGCATATTTTGAAGAGTATAAATATACTGTCAAGCCTCCATAATCAGGCAGTGTTGCCTCCTACATCTGAGAGACCCTCTGGAATTCCAGTTGCCAATGTGATCTGGCTAGCATAGGACCCAAAGAGCTCCCTCTTGATGTAGCTTGCCCTTTGATCCTGTTTCTTCTCATGAGTGGTGTGGCCGGCATGCAAACTAAAACCTGAAGAGAATATTGATGGCTGGGCTGTCCCTTGTACAGGTGTGAACCTAAGGAGGGAAGGGCAGGAATGCTCTGAACCCTACATTCCAATAATAGCTGTGAATAGCAGAGCCATCCAGAAGCTCATCTAACCCAAAGTGCATCCAGGTGCTGAGTATTTAATCAGTGAATAGAAGGTGTACCATGGCTCAGGGTAGACTTTCAACCCTCTAAGCTGGGCCTGTGATCTTAGAGAACTGCTTCAAATAAAAATCAGTTCCCTCTGTACTCTAAGGGGAGTAGTTAATCTTTATCATGACAACTTAAGGCCTAGGTCAGATTGAATGGCATCTGTGAGAGCCCTACTTCCGCACAGAGCTTGTTTTCCTGTTGGCAGTGAATGTTAACCCTTCCCAGGGCTCCATAGAGTCCTGCAGCCCATGTAGAGGACTGGAGCATTGCTCACTTTTTATTAATGATATTTACATTAACTTTGAAGCACGAATCTTAATTACAAGGAAACTGCATATGTTATAAACACTAGGTTAAGTTATTCAACCTAGTGGATTACTCGACAAAACTAGACAGAGTATTATCTTTCCCCACTCATCACCAGGAATACTTTTCTAGCTCTTTTCCAGCCCTCCTTCCTTCCTCTAGCTGCATTAAACATAGCTACATTTTTTGCTTTACAACAGAGCAATTTCTTATTAATTTCCATCTTCCCAAAACACAAAATAATTACATACATCATACAAAACATGTAATTCAGTAATCTATGCTTAAGGAGGCTATGCAGAAAATATTGTATAATTATGATGAGGTACATTATTCACCCCAAAGGGATCCAAAAGGCCAGCTAAAATCCAAGAGCATAAAGAAAATTGTGTGCTATTGAAATTCTAGGGGAAATGTCTGAGTGTTTGGGAGATGGGTAAAAGATGCAAAATAGTTACTAGGATTTCTTTCTCATAGCTTATGTCAAAGGTTTTCAAATTTTGTTTAATTTCTCAATTCTAAATTACAGATTTTCCCCTCGCTCACAAAAGACTCATTAATTTTTTTTATTCACTTCTACTGAACTTACTTGTGTGCATGTATTTGATGATCTCCCTGCAAATATGCCAGAGGCTATAAAAGAGAAATAAGAAGCTCCTAACAATTCCTATCCTCTTCTAGATGGAAGATTTAAATAATGCAGAAGATTCACCAGGAGAACACCCAACCAAGGTGCCCAGCTCTTAATCATCTTTTGGCTCAAGTCTAACTATTCCTGTAAATAACACAGCATCATCAAGGCAGTACAACTGTGGTGTGCATTCGCATACTGCTAATTCCTTTTGCATTTGCCTGTACCACACAGTTTAGCACTTTATTACATTTTGGCTGTCCATCCAACTGCTTTGTGTGTATCGTTTCATTCAAAATATATTCCGAGATGCTGAAGAGCTGTGCTTCTGATATGAAGATTTCTGTAATTCATACAACCCTCGGCATGACATGTGTGTGTCCTGGTGTGTATACTTTCTGGTTATTCTTTTAGAAACCTCTTGGTTAAAACACCTGTTGAAAATGTTTAAAATGTTTATATTTCTGCTGAAGTTGTCCATTGGAGGTGAATTAGTATCTAGCATAAGACTCTGTAAATAATTTTTTCTTTTTTTTTTTTTTCTTTTGTCGGTCGTGGGGCTTGAACTCTGGGCCTGGGCGCTGTCCCTCAGCTCTTCAGCTCAAAGCGAGCGCTCTACCACTTGAGCTACAGCACCACTTCCGGTTTTCTGGTGGTTTACTGGAGATAGGAGTCTCACGGTCTCTCCTGCCCGGGCTGGCTTTGAACCGTGATCCTCAGATCTCAGCCTCCTGAGTAACTAGGATTACAGGCGTGAGCCACCAGCGCCCGGCAATAATTTTTTCTTTTACAACTAGACTGAAGTCACTCACTTTTCTGAAAATAACAAAGGCTAGTCATCATTTGATAGAATCACATACACTTATTTTGTGCTAAGATCATAACTTGATCAAATATGTACATGTTTAATTCTATACCCTATCAATCAATGTCAACTATATCAGCAAAAGCAACCTAATTTTTTTTTCGGGGGTGGGGGTGTTGGTCGTGGGGCCTGAACTCTGGCCTGGGCACTGTCCCTCAGCTGTTCAGCTCAAGCCTAGTGCTCTACCACAGTGCCACATCCATCTTTTTCTGCTTATGTGGTGCTGAAAAATAGAAGGCCTCATGCATGCTAGGCAAACACTCTACCATTGAGCCACCTTCCCAGCCCAGCAACCAAATTTTTAAACTGTATGTTCCTTTTGGGCAGAGTCTTAAAAATATGCAGAATAGCTGGGAACTGGTAGTTTACACCTGTTTCCTAGCTACTCAGGAAGCTGAAATCTGGAGATTGTAGTTTGAAGTCAGCAGAGGCAAGAAAATCTGTAAGACTCTTGTCTCCAAATTAACCACAGAAGTGTAGCTGTGGCTCAAGTGGCAGAGCACTGGCCTTGAGCAAAATAACTCAGGGACAGCACCCAAACCTGACTCGAAATTCAAGCCCCAGGATGACACACATACACACAGTAAAACAGAATATTAAAATATTGTGATTGGCTGGGAATGTGACTTAGTGTGGAGTGCTTGCCTAGCATGCATAAGGCCCTGGGTTCAATTCCTCAGTACCACATAAAATAAAGTAAAATATTGTGATCAAGGTAGCATTCAAATAAAATCTCTCAAATAAAATTACTGTGATCACACACATATAAAGCTTGCATTTACTTACAAGAACTTATAAAGAGTATAAATATGTTGTACTCCTAAAAATTTTTATTTCTGAATGAAATAACATGTGTGTACCTAAGTAAGAAGAAACCCTAATATAATTAGTAAATTAAGTTCCACAATTAATTTACTTTTTATGTGAGATGTACAAACATGTAAATTCTATTTTTGTAAAAAGGTCACACCACTGAGACTATAATTGCAAGTGAATGTGTTTTTGTTCTGGGGTGGTTATGTGAGCATAATTAACTTACAGATCATCAGGACAATTTCTTGGTGGCTCCAATCTTCCGCCTGTTTGTACATAGTTTAAAACATCAAGGTTGGAATGTGCTGGATAAGGTTGATGACCAAGAGTTAAAATCTCCCAAATCAGAATTCCAAAAGACCTAGGATATTAAAGGGTATTCTTTAATTGTACTTATTACAAAGATCAGGTTCACAACAGCTTCTCTGTCGGGAATATGTGGTCTATTTTGAGACTGACATCACTGGTTTTATAAAAGGTATGGGTAATTTAGAAGCAGAATAACATGAAGGAAAAAAGAAGAACCATGAGGCCAGTCTGAGCCCCATCTCAACCAACAAGCTGGGCATGGTGATACATACTGCCATTCCAAACCATGTGAGAAGTGTGACTAGAAGGATCAACAAAGCGTGAGATCCTATCTAAAAAATAATTCATGCAAAAAGGGAGATGGAGGCATAACTCAAGTGTTCTAGAATGCTTTCTAGCCTTGTGTTCAAACTCGGGAACTACCAAAAAATTAAACACATAAATGAATAAAAAGAACAAGACATTGAGAATGAGCCATATTTCAAAGGTGATAGGAAGGTTTGGAGGGTGAGGGGAAGATACAAATACATAAGACCCAGACACACATACAAACAAATGCAGAGACACACAGGCAAACAAATGCACAAACACACATGCAAACAAATATATAGATGCACATACAAAGACATAAGCACACACACTGACTGGCATGTGTATATATGTGCACACTCTTGCATGCTTACACAGGCATTTAGAGTGCATACATGTGCACACCTATGCACATGAGTTCCTGCCTGTGGTGAAACATACCCTTCCCCCACAGTGCTCCAGTGCCTAGGAATTTCACAGCATTGATATGCAGACACAGATAGGGATGAACAATTTCCCTCCAAGTTGAGGAGGATAAAATGATAATCAGAGAAGGAGGTTATAAATATTGCTTTGATAAATGGCAATTCCTTTGTACAACTACTTAAAGATAATTTTAAACTGGCAGTATTAAGGACCAATTTTTATTTCCTTTATATTTTTGCCTAGGACCAGGCTCACTTAAAAGTCACTAAACAAATCTTTGTATCTATTTTAAGCAGCTCCAATCAAAACTTGGTTGTTAACAAGCAAAAAAGTGGGGGTTCTTATTCAAATAACAAAAAGATGCCTGACCTTCCCCAATGTTCTATTCTCATCTCTATGCAAGACTTAAAAATTAATTACCAGGAATATCAAAATAGTAAGTATTTTGGGCACATACTTCCACTTTAATCTGTAGATAACCAATTTCTAGTAGTCACAAGCTTACACATCACTGGAATATAAGCCAAAATACTTGATGTAAACGTATCTATTTCATATGGACGTGTAAAGTAAAGGGTCAAACTGCCTGGGGGAGGAGCACAAATGGCTGAGATTCAGAATAGTTCCTCCCTGACTACAGCTTGAAACCAATCACCTAAGCTCTCTGGTCTTCTATTCTCTCATACTAAGAGCAAAAGTGAAAAACAAGGTATCCTTTGAAGGTCCGCGTGTCTCTGACATGTGACAATCAGACCTCGTGTCTTTGTGTCCCATTCAGCTCACCATACATCAGATTGAGTCGTGAAGATTCCATCCATCAAGCTTTCTGGAGCCATCCAGCGGACAGGAAGCAGGCCTTCCCCTCTCTTTCTATAATAGTCATTTTTATAGATGTCCCTCGCAAGTCCAAAGTCCCCAATTTTCACTACCCGTGAAGGACGGGTGTAATCTTTCACAGAGACAAGGCAATTCCGAGCTGCTAGATCCCTATTGAAAAAGTTACATTTAATAAAAATGATAAAGCTCCAGATATTAAGTGAATAACACTAGTGGCCCTGTAAAGACACTAGACTTTGAGCCAGATGCAGGTGGTTCATGCTTATGATCGTAGCTACTTGGAAGGTTGAGACTAGGATAATCAACAGTTTAGACAGAAAAGTTTGGGAGATCTCCTTCTCAACTAATAGCAGAGCATGGTGGCACACACCTAGCATCCTTGTCACATGGAAGGCTAAAATCATGAGGACTTCACTTCCAGGCCAGCCCAGGCAGAAAAGTCCATGAAACTCTGTCTCTATAGAACAAGCTGGACATGATGATGTGCATCTGTCAGCTCAGCTATGGAGGGAGGGGCAGAGGTGAAAAATAGGAGTATCACAGCCCAGATGGTCACCAGAGCCAAAAGCAAGACTTTTTCAAAAATGACTGGCGGAAGTGGTGCTGTGGTTCAAGTGGTAGAGCACTAGCCTTGAGCTGGAGAGTTGAGGGACAGTGCCCAGGCCCAGAGTTCAAACCCCATGACTGACAAAAAAAAAAAAACGACTGGCACTAAACTAGGACTGGAGGCCTACCTCAGTACAGAGTACCTTGCCTAACTATTGTGAAATCCCAATACAAACCTTACTTTCACACACATACATACACTCAAAGAGAATATTGCTATTTTAACAATGTTTAAGTATCTTATCTGATCTACCCAAACTATACTGAAGCAATCACCATAATAACCTAGCAACCAGATTATCATTGTACCTGTGAATGAAATGCAACTGCTCCAAGTATACACAGCCTTTTGAAATATCTACACACAAGTCAACAAGGTCAACCAAGTTGAGTAAAGGACCATGAAACTAGAAGAAATAAAAGGAGAATTACAAACACGTATCCAACTTGCACAGATATATACCTATATATGTCAGTATATACAGATAGATACCTAAATATGTATATACACCTTTGCATAGAATATCTAAAGGAAATCTTAGTTATGATTACAAGAATTCAGAAAAGAAAAAATAACAATTATTTGCTTTCTATCCAGACATATATGAAAACACACACATATACATGATAAGCTATATCTATAGTAAGCAGAGATGACACAGAATTTTTATTGGAAAATCACTCAGTGATGTCAAACAGACAAGGTTTGAAACTTACCTGTTTCTATTCACAAGTTGTGTGAACTTGCTCGATTTGTTTGGTTAATTAAATAACTTTCTCATATGTAAAATGGATGTAGGAACACTGCTTTTTCAAGATGCAAAATAAAATATGTAAGGGAGTTGGTCGGGGCAGGGATATGGTTGGTGGGAATCTAGTGACCTTCCTAATTAACTGCCCTCTCTTGACTCGAGCCTCCCAGTGTGGTAAGAACTAAAGAGACAGCCAGATCTCTTAAAAATATATAGAATATTTAATATGCTATATTACATGACAAGCACATAATAAACAGTTGCTGATTTTATAAGTAGAAATAATTGAATTATTGGCCCTTTATCATGTCAGTTAGGACAATGGGCTTCTTCTTCAGATGAATCCCATATCATTGGCAGCAATATTTTGTTTTCAAGTCACAGATTACTACTCTCATCTAAACGAGTCAGCACAAATATATACTTAAGCCTGCACTGACTGCTATTTCTAGGTGAAAAACACCAGTCAATATTTTTATTAGTAGCATATGGGGGGGGGGGGGTATCCTGACTTCCTTCCTAGAGGCCAGAATCATACATTGTGTGGGCCTTTGAATTGCCCTGCAATTACTCTGGTTCAGGCCTTTATCATCTCTAATCTGAGACATCCAAAAACTTCCTCTGTCTCCAGGCTCCTATTCTTTCATTAGCTCACTTGTGCCCTGCTTCCTGTAGAGTCTTATAAATTACTAAGCACAGCCCCATGGCAGATCCCCCTTTTAAAGTGCTGTACCCCCTGCCTTCTATGACAAGCTCATGCTGTGCCTTAAAATGACAGCTATTGAATAGTGCCATGGCCTCATACAACTATATCCAGAACTGATTGACTAGGCGCTGACCTTACACCCAAGAATTAGTTCCCCTCTAATGTGGCTCATTGCATATGGCTGCGGCTATGACTGCTTGACTGGCTCCTTTTGACTGGAATGCTGCTTTGCTTTGGATAAAATCTACTCTACTTGTAAAGACTTTCTCTTGATGTAGAATCCTGCTTCTGAACTTCAGTTTTGTGGCTGGTATTTTATTTGCTGTTGACAAGGTTTCCATAGTTTCCTGTATGGGTCTCTGAGCATTGCCTCTTCCTCTCTACCCCTGTGACAATTTGTTGGAACACTCCACTCCATCTTGGGACCACTTGACTTCAGATGCTACCATTTCTTATCATTGATGTTTCTTGCCACCCTTCAGCGGGAATGAAGAGAAGCAGAGTTTTCCTGTGTGTCATGCTGGGGCAGGAGAGTTGGATGGATAAATGAGGAATTCCAAGGTAAAGTCTCATCTTTCACAGTGGAAAATGAATAGATGCCCCACCCACTCCTGACCCCCCACATTGAAAAATCAGTGTTTACCTCTGTAAACACCAAAAAGATAACATGCAACCCTAGGAAGTGAAGATAGAACCCCAGGCTCCTGTTTTTATAATATTCACCTTGTAATATATTTTAATTGAAAAATATTATAGTGTCTAACTTGATAGGAGAAAACCACAGGGTTTCAGATCTATACATTTAAACGTTAGTGACTTGTCTCATGCCTTCTCATCTGAGGTAAAAAGTTGGTTTACATTGGTGGCCTTGTTCAGTTTTCCACAGTATTACCAGGGTCCACACTGTCCTGGGCACTGGGTGTGAAGGAGAGGTGAATGAGGCTGCATTATCAGGGCAAAACTGCAGAGCTGACAGGACTTGTGAGTATGGGAAATAAAGCAGGGCATCAACTGGATAAAGTGGGAGAGCATGTGTAAAATAAAATCTATAGTTTTGTTTTGGCCTAAATAAGTTTTTAGACACCTACTATAATCCAAATATGTTATCTTGAATAATAGACAAAACTAGTTAGATCAACAGATTGAACTCACAAGTCTAGAATTCAGTAGACTTCAAGACTAGAAATAAAACTTGGGACAAGCCGGGCACTGGAGGCTCATTCCTGTAATCCTAGTTACTCAAGAGGCTGAGATCTGAAGATGTTCAAAGCCAGCCCCAGCAGCAAAGTCTGTGAGACTCTTATGTCCAATAAACTACTCATAAAAAGCCAGAAGTGGTGCTATGGCTCAAGTGGTACAGTGATAGCCTTGAGCACAAAGAGGCTCAGAGACAGTGCCCAGGCCCTGAATTCAAGCCCCAGGACAAGCACACAGAGAGAGAGAGAGAGAGAGAGAGAGAGAGAGAGAGAGAGAGAGAGGAAAAGAAAAGAAAAAAGAAAACACCTTGGGACAGAGAAACATCTATATGAAGTATGTGTCTTTTTAACTCTACACAATCTCTGTGCTCCAGAAACAAAGAAACAAACAGGATTATGTCTACAACATTTCTATTTTTTTGTTAAATAGTAAAAATAAGTTCAAATATTAGCCCAAGATTCTAAAGGAAGGGAATATGATATAACTTTTCCGCAGAAGCCATCTAAAACTCTCACCAGTCAAGGCTCAAACCTAAATTTAAAGAAACATCATAGGAAATGGCAGGGCACGCACACTAGGAAGCAACACACGGGAGCTGGTGCCCACCTTTGACTTTCGGGCTTTGCGCAGATAGGTTAGAAGGTCTCCTCCTTCCATCAGTTCCAGGATGATGTACTGGGGTTCATTCAACAGGCAGACCCCCAGCTGCTTCAAAATGTTGGGATGATTAAACTTGCTACAAGGCAGAAAGACAAAGCTGCATGACATGACAGTGACAGCAGTCCCAGCAGAGAGTCTTTGAGGAGTACAACAATTCTTTACCCATACCTTCCTTCAAAACTCCTGACCTATTTTCTCTAACAGGTGAAGGCTTCTTTCTCCAAGCTTTCTCTGTGGCCTTGACTTAAGTAGGTAACAGTGGCAACCCCTAGTGGCTAATGTATATGGACAAACAGAATTGGGTTGTAGAACAAATATTTCTATTAAGGGATGTGTGTGTGTGTGTGTGTGTGTGTGTGTGTGTGTGTGTGTGTGTGTGTGTGTGCCAGTCCTGAGGTTTGAACTCAGGGCCTGAGCACTGTCCCTGAGCTTTTTTTTTTATCAAGGCTAGCACAATATCACTTGAGCCACAGCTCTACTTCTGGCTTTTTGGTAGTTATTAGGCAAGAGTCTCATGAGCTTTCTGTCCCCCAGATCATTTTGAACAACAATCCTCAGATCTCAGCCTCCTGCGTAGCTAGGATTACAGATGTGAGCCACTGGTGTCTGGCTATTATGGGAATTTTATGTTTGGGGAAATAAAGCAATTTTGGCTAATGTCTTTGTTCAAAGCACATTTGAAGACATATTTTCAGTCATCACAAGTATGAAATACATCTTTTCCTTTTTAGAAAACCCAGTCAGATCTACAGATTTGAACTACAATGGTTTACAATATCAACGTAAGCCCCAACTTAGTAGTTGGGGACCACAGCTTGGCATCCCATGATCTTCTGCCTTAGGTATTTTCTTTCAGAGATCCTTGAGAAGTTTTCATGATTAAAATGGACTGGCCTTGTGGGAAAGGTATCTTTCATTCAATATCCCTGTCACTGACATTAGAATGCTTAAAAATAACCCTTCATCGCCAGGTCTACTTGACTCATTATCACACATTTAGAAGAACACAGTATTTCTAAGGCGAAATACCTTCAGAATTATCTTGCAAAGCACATTCTTAAGTAATAATAAAAGGGGGAGCCTTTTGTCTGGGATTGCCTGTATTTAGGTTCAGAGGATTAACTTCTATAGAAATTGTGACTCCTGGTATATTTCCCTTTACATTTCAGCCCATATTTGCTTTGAGGAAGATCTGGTAGGTAAGGTACCATGTTAAAAACCCAATACCCAGCCATGTATCAAGCGGCTAGTCAGGAAGCTGAGATATGAGAATCATGGTCCAAAGCTATCCCAGATAGGAATGTCTGTAAGACTGCGATTTACCAACAAAAAGCTGAAAGGAGAGCTGTGGCTCAAGTGTTAGAGTGCCAGGTTTGAGTAAGAAAGTTAAAGCACAGTGCTCAGGCCCTGAGTTCAAGCCCCAGGATTAGCTCACACACACACACACACACACACACACACACACACACACACACACAAATATCCACAATTATTAAAGCTTCCTACCCACATCAATAATAGAAAAATGCCTCTATGCTACCCTGATACCTCATCAGATGTGCTTCCTTCAGGAATTCAATCTTCTCCTGGTCTGTAGAGGCCTTCTTCAAAGTCTGCATGACATAAAAATAAGTCAGAAATCAGCATAGCAGAACATGGCCAAGCGCTCAGATATTCATGTTACCTTCACAGCTACTTTGATTTCTCCACTTCCGGCTCCTAAGATGTCTACAGCTGTTCCTTCATATACTTCTCCAAAGGCTCCACTTCCCAACAAGACACGCAGAGTCAGTTTTTCCCGAGGGAAAGTAGGAAGTCTTTCAATCTCCTCTTGGGTTGGAAGAGTACTGGAAAACAATCATATTTGTTCTTTCCAAACAAGTTTGCTGGTGTTTGTGTTTGAAAAAAGAAGAATAGTATCAGGACTTAGAAACATTGCACATTCTACTTGATAGACATGGAATTTTGTGTTTCTAATATGTCCCTATTCCTCAGGCTTATACAGACAGAACCTGCCATTTCACACCCCTATTTCAATAGGAACATGAAATTGTATGTGCTGCCCTGAGATTTTTATTATGGCTAGCTCGGTTGGACTAATAGTCATGTACTTCTTCAGATTGCAAATGTATGTAAAAAGCTACTTAAAATTGCATCTAGGTTTATGAGTTTTCACTCACATAGCTGACCTCAGATAAAATGGAATTCACTGTGACCACAGAAATGAACTCCATCACCATCAGATTTACTTTTAGACCTCTCAGCTGGAATATCATGGAAAGTAAAAGCATCCTCCAGGAGATTAAATGCTTTGAGCTTTTAATAAATAATCTTGAATATCAGATAATAAATAATCTGGTATAGCTGAATAGCTGATATAGGACATGAGGGTATCTATCTCAAATCCTTCATTTCATTACAAATTTCTACAGGCATAATAATAAATAATTCTAGAAGCATAATTCCACTGAAGCATAATTAACAGTCTCATGCAATGGTGTACTTATTTTCCTTAATTATAATGGCAACAAATGTTTCAAACTCATCTGCCTTACAGGTATCTTATAGGCAACCATTGTACAGTTTCTAAAATAGAATGGAGTTGGCTTCATGGGACATACATGAGACCTTTGGAAGTTCTGCCCAAGCACTATCTCTAGATGAGGCTGCTGTTACCATCTCCTGTCTTCAAGGTGGGAAGCAAGGGCAGGCTTGCTGTTGCCACACACTCTCTCTGCTATCAGGAGCCATGAAGAGGACCCGGGCTACGTACTGTATTGCATAGCAGGCATTCGCCAGCCCCACGCCTGCTGCCACACCGCGAAGCTCACTTAGCTCTTTGTCTTCGTTTATGAGAACTGTCAGCGCTTCCTTGGAAGGTTTTTGATTCTTTGCTCTTCTAAGCCAGACTAGAAAGAAAAGAGGCAATTGAGAAAATAAAATATTTCTTCAGTTTTCCTTTAGGAAATATTAATTTTATAAGCTTTTATGTATACAAGCACAGATCGTAATAGAACTTTATAGAAAAAATACTCATCACAGAAAATAGTAATTAAATCTACATAAAATGCTACTTAAAATATACAATTTAGCCAGGCACCATGGCTCACGTCTGTAATCTTAGCTACTCAGTAGACTGAGATCTGAGAATCATGATTGGAAGCCAGCCTAGGCAGGAAAGCCCATGAGACTCTTATCTCCAATTAACCATCAGAAAACTGGAAGGAGCACTGTGGTTCAAAGTGGTAGAGCACTAGCCTTGAGAAAAAAAAAGCTCAGAGACAGCACCCAGAGACCCTCAATTCAAGCCCCATGCCTGACAAAAATGTACACAATTTATTGCATATCACTTTTCATCTTAGTTCACAGTCTTCAATTTTTAATACTATTATAAATAAGTGTATTTTAATGTTGTAATAAATTTCTCAAAATTATTCACATATAAGAACTAAAATAAGGGGAAACAATCATATAATAAGCTATTCATAAAACAAATTCACTCTTAAGTCCAGATATATCCAATACTGAGTTGACCTGAGAAAATGCTTTCAATATAATGATACATCTTGTGTATTAAAATATATGAGTATATATATATATATATATATATCTACTGTTGTATATGTATTATACAATATACTCCCTCAAATACATAGAAAATTATGAGAATGAAGCTCATCAAACTTTAGCAGTAGTTAGTTCATCATGAGTGATTCGTATTGTACTTTTAATATCATAAGCAGATCATTTTTTCATCAAGATAAAAATGATTTTTAAATAAAATATATCTAAGTGTTCTAAAATATTTGCTTGTCGGTCAAAATCTGTTTGGGGAGATTATTGTTAAATTTTAAACTTTAGCACCCATAGTTGCTACTTGCTCAAAATCTCAGCATTTGAGAGATTGAGGCTGGAAGAAAGTGAATTAAAAGGCCAGCTTGAACTACATAGCAAGATTCTGTCAGTAAATGGACAGACAGACAGATAAATAGATACTTTTGACCATATTCACCCTCCTTCACTCTATGTACACAAGTTAATATGGAACAATAACAAAAACTGTTGAAATTGGTCTGGGAATGGGGGAAAGGAAAATGAGTTAGAGTGAGGAAAAGAGCTTGCCTGAGTAAGGTCCATTGCATGCATATAAGGACACCTCTAAATAAAGTTCCCATGTACAACTGATGCTAATTAAAATGTGGAGGAAAAACACAAGAAAGATTGAACTTTGTTTTAAGATTTTTTTTTTAAGAAGTTAGAGTTAATGACAAATAGGGAAAGGTTTCAAGTACCAAGGAAAATTTTCAGCCTTAAAATGTCCTTACTCCTCCTCCCTTGGTGATTCCTCCTTATACCTCTTTGAGCTATTGACAGCTTATCTATGAGCTTCAAGACCAATGTGGCTCTGTGATTCTCCTATGCAAGTGTCTTCTATATTTCACATTATTCAAACATACATTCCTAGTTTTATCTTTTCACACTGGTTTGTCTTACTCCCTCATTAAAGGGCAAGTTCCTTCAATTAGCAATTGTATGGAATATTAGATATGTCTAGTCACCAACCCAAAGTCTGTCTGTGCTTATTTTTAAAACTTTGTTTCAATGTGTAAGTTTAGCTGGTGAGAGCCTTCACCACAATATAAATTTTAGAACAATTACTACTTTATTTTAATAACTCTATCTTTTCTCATGTACACATACACACACACACACATACATACTGCTACTTATAAAACCACATGCAATGCTAATAAAAGCAAATCTGACTTAGTTTAGATATAATGAAAAGCCCATGAGTTCAAAACAGAATAAAAAACCTTTTACTCTTGAGAAAGTCAGATATCCTTAGGATGTCTTGAAAACACACAATAGGTGGTCTGAAATTATCTCACTTTCCTCCACTAGAGTCATGGGTTTGAACAGTGGTGATGTACAAGTAGGCAAGCAAAAGACAGTTGACAGACTCTTCATGTAACTTCCCTTCTCAGTAAAAAAGCAGACAAGCAGTCAAGCCCATATGCCAACTGCCAAATATACTACAGGCATCATGTGTAATTCTGGAGGGACTGGCTTAGTGGCACAAACATCAGCTGTGCAAGACTTAGACTCCCTGGAACCACAGGTTAAAGTCCTAGCACTGTAGGCTGAAATTTTTAGCTTTCTCCATTAATTAAAGGAGTGTTCCACATATTCTCTGGATAGGATCTTTGAAATTAAAGCTCAATTCAAGTCCTATGCGATCCCGGACACTTCATGACTCTGAACAATTTGAAGACAAAATAAAGATTTGACATACTTAATGAATATTGGTTTTCTTTACCACCAGAGAGTCTCAACTTTATATTTGCAATATTTTCTTCAATTTCCCCTTGTCACTTTCTGTTACTTACAAAGTAAGTCATGGCTTCTTAAACATGAGCCTGAGTTTCTTTGTTGGTAGTCTTCCCTTCCTAGAATTTTTCAGCATGTCAGACAGGACCATATATTTTATAACCCAAATCAAGACATTCAGGAAATTGAAAGAAAATGCTATTCATATTTATACCAAAACAATAGAAATAAAGCAAACCATGTGCCACTATAATTACCTACAGGACCAACATCTAATCATTCCATTTATGATTTTCTCATTTTTAAACTGAATTTTTAAAACAAGAAGGGAAGGGTTAGATTTTTAGGACTATTGCAGTAATGTAAAATAAATAATGGGAAATAGCTAGCTGTCTGTCTATCTAATCTAATTCTTCTGCATTTTTTTTGTTTGTTGGATGGTTTGATTGGTTGTATTTTTTATTTTTGTTATATATTTTTATAAATGACAAAATATTTAAAATAAGCCAGTCAAATATCAAAAGCAAGAATGCATCTTACATGCTATGAATGGATCTCCTGTGAATGAACCTCTTCTCATTCCAAACCAGACTGTCTGCCTGGAGACCAAAAGTACCAACCAATGGTTATCACTGGCCCCTTATTAATCCTCTTATTTTTGTACCCAGAGTTATTGTATTTCAATCTGTATGTCACAACACTTGTTATGGCCAACCAGAAACAAATACTATTTTAAAGAAAGCTAAAAGATGGTGCCAATAGTTGGTCCGAAGGCTGTGGGTTATTGTTAAGCTGTTTCAGATGGTGCCAATGTAAATTGCTTTATCTAAAGTATACAGTAAGATGCAAATACAGATATACTTTTCATAAGGTAGTAACCCCCATGGTTTAGATCCAGAATATTCCTCCAATTCCCATTTTGTTAAAGCCTTGGTTCCCAGCAACTGGGAGGTGGTAGAAACATTCAGATGCTCAGAGGCTAAAAACTGAGGACTGAAATTCAAAACCAGCCAAAGCAGAAATGACCGTGATACTTGTATCTCCAATTAACTAGTAAGAGGCTAGAAGTAGAGGTATGACTCAAGTGGTAGAGCACCAGCTCTCAAGAGAAAAAGCCAAACAAGAACATAAAAACTTGAATTCAACCCCCAGGACCAGCATACAAATTAAATAAATAGATAAATAAATAAATAAATTTCCTCACAGAAATGAGTAGCTTTAACATCCAATGGCAATAAAATAATCATTGTGGATTTTGTTATCTTATCTAAGTAATTCAAGTTTTATGTAGGAGATGAGATAAAATTAAAAGATAAGTCAAAGTGGATGATCAAATGAATATCTTAGCATCTAGTTCTAAAAATCTATATACTTACCAAAGGTTAATGGGACTGTAACAATCAGAAATATTCCAAGTATGATAGAAAGTACGAAACTTGTTTCTGCTGTCCAAAAACCATCTAATCATATAAATGGAAAAGAAAATTAATTCATAAAATAAAACTGAATTGTCTAGATATGCCTATATGGTGATTACCTAGAGCTAGCTTCTCCTGGATTTTTGCAATATTTTAATCTTTTTAATTTAAAATTTAAAATTAATTCTTAAAATTTAAATTTTTAATTTAAATTTAAATTTTTTTAAATTTTAAACACTTTTAAAATGTTTAAAAGCATTTGTAGTGAGACTATATGTACCACAAGAAAGCAAAATATAAGTTCTCTCTCTTCCACCCCCTTTTTTCTAGAGAGATACCATCAACACCTCACTGGAATATGTTCAGCTAATTTGTATTTTAAAGTAACTAGAGAAACATGCATAATATTTTAAATAAAACCAAAAAGTGTGAATCTTCATGTAACATAGTTAGGATTATTCTGTTCTATAATAGCTTCATTCCCACTTATTCCATGGATATTAAACTGAGGAATATATAAATATGAAAAAAGGGAACATTTTCTTAATTTCAGTTTAAGGTAAAGAAAGACACATAGGTTGGCAAACTATGAGCCAGATCTGGGGCACCCTGGTTATATATTTCCTATGAGTTAAGAATTGTTTTTGCATCTTTAAAAAAACAAGATAAAGAATATGCTGGGGGGTTGGGCAGGGCTGGGAAGGTGGCTCAGTGGTAGAGTGCTTGCCTTGCATGCATGAGGCCCTGGGTTCGATTCCTCCCTACCACAGAAGCAGAAAAAGCCAGAAGTGGCACTGTGGCTCAAGTGGTAGAATGCTAGCCTTGAGCTGAAGAGCTGAGGGATACCTCCCAGGACCTGAGTTCAAGTCCCAGGACTGGCAAAAAAAAGAAAGAAAGAAAGAAAGAAAGAAAGAAAGAAAGAAAGAAAGAAAGAAAGAAAGAAAGAAAGAAAGAAAGAAAGAAAGAAAGAAAGAAAGAAAGAAAGAAAGAAAGAAAGAAAGAAAGAAAGAAAGAAAGAAAGAGAAAGAAAGAAAGAAAAGAAAAAGGGAATACATGGTAGTTGGGTGTAGGCCTTCCTGTTAGGCTTAAGGAAATGCAAATTGAAAAGCCTAGTGATAAAGTTTCTTACCAAACTAGTGGGAGTAACTGTACATGGATAAATATTGGTAAAGATAAACTACAACTGGAGGACAAGTCATGGAAAGCCTTACATGACATATCGAGGTTTACTACTCTGAAAATAGTGAATAAATAACCATGTGGGGTTTTTAAAGAGTGGTCAAGGGGTTCAGTTTGTAGATCAGCAAACTGAAATATCAACAGTGTGATTAAGGCAGAAGCACCAACATGAAAAGACACCTTACATTTGGTAGGCCAATGTAGAAATAGGAAGATCAGAACTCAGAAGAGAGAAATAGAGATGGCAAAATCAATACAACCTGGCGCCTGTGTAGAGAGAAAAATATGGCACCTATGTGATTAGAAAGATATGGCATCACATAAAATAGGATAGAACAAAAGACATAATGCTAAGACAGAGACAAAGAGCAGTCGTGAGCATGCTGTGCATAGAAATTTCGAGTACCGTGGTGGGTATGATAGTTTATAACACCAGCAGTTGGAGGGCAGAGGCAGGAGGATTGTAAGTTGAAGGTCATACTGTACTACCTAATGAATTCTAGGTCAGTCTAGGCAACATAATGAAACATTTACCAAAGAAGAGAGATGAGAAAAACAGAGAGAGACAGGCAGAAAGAAACACATGGATATGGAAAGAAAGAGAGAGAAAATTAGTGCACCAGGCCACAGGATAATAAAGCTAGACAGATAAAAACCAGATTAAAGACAGTCCTGGAACCTTTTTAGGATCGTAGAATTTATGTGATAGATATATTGTATAAGTATCTTATTATTGAAAACAGAAACAAAATGATGATAATAATGTTATAGAGAAGATCATGTGAAATGAATTGTTCAATAGTTCAGATGATAGTTATACAGTCCCTGAATCTATTGCTAGTATTTAGGATTCACCTATCTTAATCACTAAACCTTCATACAATAAGCTAGTAGGCAGATAGATATGGTAACATACCTTCAGCTAATATAATATCCTCACTCACTTCACTATGTTCACCAAACCCAAGATTATTTGCAGCTACTACTCTAAACTGAAATGTTCCTTTTAAGTTTTTGGACTTCCATGTGCAAATGCTATTGCAGGACCCATTAAATGCCATCTTCCACCTTAAGTTGTGGTTCTGTGCGTCGTTTGAAATGCCCTTTCTGTAAGGGAAACAGCAAAATGGTAAATACAGAAGATAAACGTGACAATATACATGTCATGTCTAGTTGCTCCTGTATCATTTCAATGAGAGACCTCTAAAGATTCTGGTTGCATCCATTTTCCTTGACCTAATTTCTCCCAAAGCATGGTTTTATAAAACCATCTGAGTGATGCATGAGCCATCGAACTCAGCCCATCAAGTAAGTTATGAATAATCAATAGCCAAGTGAAAGCTGATTATCCCTTTTCTACTATTTAGAATATATTCCAAACACATCAGGCAACTATTTCATAAATTTTATTATTATTACTGTTATTGCTATTATCGTTGTTATTATAAAGGTGATGTACAGAGGGATTACAGTTACATAAGTCAGATAATGAGTTTATTTCTTTTTGAACAGTGTCACCTCTTCCCTCATTTTCTCCCAATTATTCCCTTCAGGCCTCTTCTCCCCCACAAGTTGTATAGTTCATTTTCAACCTAGTGTCTAGTGAGTATCACTGCTGCATTTGTTCACCCTTTGTCCCACTATTTCTGTGCTCCCTTACCCTCCCCAAAATAGATAAACTTACATACATGACAAAAGGTACAGAAATCAAAAATAACAAAGGAGAAAACAAACAACCTCTTTTTTGTTTCTTGTAGCTCATTTCAATAAAAGATTACCATATACACACAGCTATTGAGCCTTTGTGATCCTTTTCCAAAGATATCCTACTTTGGTCTTACTGTATGAATATCTAAAGTACTGTATAATTTATAAATGTATCAAGAAAATATGGTGTATATATATTCATCCACTGGAATTCTATGCCTCCATCAGAAAGAATGATATTGTACAATCCATAAGAAAACAAAAAGACTTGGAAAATTTACATAAGCAAAGTAAGCCAGACCCAAAGAAGCATAGGTTGCTTGGCTTCCCTCATCTGTTGTAAGCAGAATGATAATTTTCAGCTGGGAAGTTCATAAGTTTCTCTTTTTTTAATTCTTTTGTGTCAGTACTGAATCCTGAACTCATGGCTTGGGCACTGTGTCTCTTAGCTTTTTTTACTCAAGGCTGACTCTCTACCATTTGAGCCATTTCCAGCTTCTTAAGGGTTAATTGGAGATAAAAGTCTTATAGACTTTCCTGCCCAGGCTAGCTTTGAACTGCAATCCTCAGATCTCAACCTTCTGAATAGTTAGGATTATAGGTGTGAACAACCAGTACCTGACCATAAGTTTCTTAGCTTTCTGTTCTTTTATGTGATTCATAATTGCATAGCATTTTGACATAGCCACACAGAGTCACTGAAGCTATAAAATTCCTTTTGTCATTCCTGTGAACCATGTTTCAACAAACTATTTAGATGGAGTCCTGCAATTAAAGTCTTCCTAGAGGGAGGCATAGACACTAAAGGGTCCTAGAAAGACATAGGGCATGGCATGGCCATTGAATACAATTAGGATCACATGCCACCAAGATAGTCCTGCCAGTCAGAATATATTTTATTATGCATGAAAAGAAGTAACAAAAATTTATTTCATAAGAGTTCCTATTGGAGATATGGCCAAGAGATTTCTCTAGCATGAGCAGGAACAAATTTTTAAGGTTATGGAGATGCCAGAGAAAGACGAAGCAAAAATAGATCCAAAGCTCACGTTGCCAGGACTATAATTATAGAAGTGACTTTTGTCCTTGGAGCTTCTTAAAAGATGGTTTCATAGTCCCGTGAGGGGAGTGTTTTTGGAATTTGGAAATTGTCCCTCTTGTTGGCCTGAAATCAGACCTTTTGAGCCAGTTGTAGTTCACTGAGCTCCCCATGCTGGCCAAGTTTGAGGTTGCATGTGTTGATCCGCTGCTAGCTTTCATTGACAGCACATATGCAACCCCTGAGAACCCACTGCAAACCGTATGCTTCACAACAGGTAGGGAAGTTACACACCTGTAACACGAGAGCATTTCAGCTCCTCCCCTATGTTTACATTCTGAAAAATATCTAACTCATTGCTGTTTCCCACTAAAGAGTACTTAACCTTGCTAAAACAAATGATCAGAAATGTATGTGCATGCCATCATCTAATGTCAAACAACAGCACAGCTTCTTAAATGGAACAGATATAAAGCAAATTATGGTTGCATGAACCTTCAATTGAATGATTTCTCTGAAAAGTTTTAATAAGCAATTTTAGATTTCTAGAGACTCTGTAAGTTGTCTTATAATTAGAATACCAAGGCTGACCTCTAGGGGTTGAGCAAAGAACATATTGCTGCTTTCAAGATTCTTCCTTGCACTAAAGATGCTTTGTGTTTCCATACAAATGCACCTGCATAAATACTACTTTTAATCGTCTTATACTTTGTTGCCTAGCTCTTTATAGTATGTTAAAGCAGTTTTGCAAACAAACATACCTGATCTCAAGAATGTAGTAAAGAATTCTGTTTCCATTGTCTTCAGCCTTTTCCCACTGTATTGAATTTTTACTCCCTTCTAATAGTTTGGGAATGCCTGGTTTACTTGGGACTCCAGCTTTGGGGAAAAGAGAAAATATTGATTGAGTATACAATGAAAAATATGCAATGTCTTTTATAGAAAGGTAAGTACATTAAAATTAATCATAAAATATTCTGATACGTGTATATTTTAAATGAGTGTCTGAAGTTTGATCAGTAATAGACAATTGATTACTGATGGGATTGGCATTAAATAAATTATAAATGCAAATAAATTTATCATAAATTTTGGAGCATTCCTCTCTGCTCTTTGTTATTGTTATTTTAGCAATACTAGGCTTAAACTTAGAATTTTGTACTTGCTCTACCACTTGAGCCATGCCCTAGACATTTCCCTTTACTCTAATAAGGATCAGCTTAGATTTAGACTATATCTCGAATACTGATTGAATTGTTAGGCTTTTCATTTGACATTTAAAATACAGAAGTCATTAAATAAGTATTTCTTTTTTTTTTTTTTTTTGGTCTGGTTGTGGGGCCTGAACTCTGGGCCTGGGTGCTGTCCCTCAGCAATTCAGCTCAAGGCTAGCGCTCTACCACTTGAGCCACAGTGCCACTTCCGGCTTTTTTCCTTTTGCTTATGTGGTGCTGAGGAATTGAACCCAGGGCCTCAGGCATGCAAGGCGAGCGCTCTACCACTGAGCCAACTTCCCAGCCCTAAATAAGTATTTCTTTAACACTCACTTGTCTTTTTTATTCAATTCTTACTGCAAAATATCATAGCTAGTCAGAAAAATCAGAATGCTGAAAGAAGTGACTTTTCCCAGCTCAGGATACTTCAGGACCATATTACTTCATCCCTTCCTGTAATGACACTCCTAACTCTTCCATTTCTTTACTTAAACTCTAGAAACAGGAATCATTCCTATTTAAGAAAAAATTTCATTCTCCATGATTGATGAAGAGATAAAAAAGGATTTGAGAAGCCTGTAGTCTTCCTACATGATGAGATTTAGTAGTAGTAGTAGTTGTTGTTGTTGTTGTTTTAGTTGTACAAAGGGGCTTAAATTCACCGTTATTTTATGAGTACAATGAATCTAATCAATGTCACCGGTTCCATAGCTCTCCCTCAGTTTCTCCCAGCTCCACACAACATGATGAGTTTTTGTTCTTGCTGTTTGGTTGCCAGGCCTGGGGCTTGAACTCAGGGCCTGGGCACTGTCCCTGAACTTCTTTTGCTCAAGGCTAGCACTCTATCACTTGAGCCACAGCCCCACTTCTGGCTTTTTCTGTGTATGTGGTACTGAGGAATGGAACCCAGGGCTTCATGCATGCTAGGGGAGCACTCTACCACTAAGCCACATTCCCAGCTCCATGATGAATTTTTTAACCCTCACCTTTTGTCTTAAAGCCTTCTGAAAGTGAGGTGCTATTTTCTCCCGTCATATAAACCACAACTACTCGGACATGATAGAAGGTGTAAGGTTGTAGGTCCGTGATGTTACAGGCATAAGCTGGGCCTTGGCTGCAGGAAGCTTTGGCGTGGTAAAACTCATTGTGTTTCCACTAGGAATAAAAAAAAGTGTCAACTAACATTTTTGTTTCTTGAAGAAAGTCTTCTTAGACCTAGAAAATTTGTAAGCCTGTGGCAAATTGATTAAAAGTTAAACAACATTTACTTTCTATCAATGACTTGACATTATCCATAACTTTAGCCTAATCCTAACAGCCATTTTATTTGTTGTAGGCTCACATGAATAAAGCCCTTAGGGACAAACCCGAGGTAGATGTTCACCAACTTTTCACCAGGGGAAGGTTCAAAGCTGCAACTTTTTGTTATCCCTTGAGTAGATATCCTCATTGAATCAGGAAGCTAAGAGCATAAAATTCACAGCTAAGGAACAATGGTGGAGCTTAACAATGGTAGCATCAATTCCAGACATTTGTTCATTTCACAATAATGACCTTACAGAGTTGGAGTCTATGAAGGTGCTCATAGTGACTTACAAACTAAAACATTTCAGTTTTTCTTCTTAACATCCACCTCAGCCATTGCTCTGCACTTCCTTATAGTTACACATAGCAAATCCATATCACTAAAAGACGGAAGCTAAGTAACCGCATTAGAAGTACAATACCAGGAAGCTTGTTTTCATTCATATCTACCACTAGATATCAGAGAATTCTTTCTCTGTGATATTGTTTTTTACCCTGTATTTTTTACCCTTAAAATGATGCTTTACTTAGATAAATAGGAAAAGGTGAAAAGTATAGAATTTTGTCATAGGTTCTTGGAGTATTTTCCTCAGTCATTTCCTAAAAAGGTAAGTTTCCGTAAATAAACACTTCACATTCCCTTTTTCATTGCATGGCACACACCTGTAATCCTACCACTCAAAATGCTGAAATCAGAGAAGTGTGGTTTGAAGTTAGCCTGGGAACAAAAAAAGAGCAAAAATCTAGACTTGGCAACATAATTCAAGTGCTAGAGCACTAGCCATGAGAAAGAAAACAGAATAAGAAATGCTGAGCATAAGTTTTTTGGGTTTTTTTGGGGGGGGGGTCCGGTCGTGGGGCCTGAACTCTGAGCCTGGGCGCTGTCCCTCAGCTCTTCAGCTCAAGGCTAGTGTTCTACCACTTGAGCCACAATGCCACTTCCAGCTTTTTTCTTTTTGCTTATGTGGTGCTGAGGAATTGAACCCAGGGCCTCAGGCATTCAAGGCAAGCGCTCTACCACTGAGCCACCTTCCCAGCCCAAGAAATGCTGAGTTCAAGACATTCGGTTTGGGTTGGGAAGGTGGCTCGGTGGAAGAGCTCTTGCCTTGCATGCATGAGGCCCTGGGTTCGATTCTTCAGCACCATAAGCTGTGGCTCAAGTGGTAGAGTGCTAGCCTTGAGCTGAAGAGCTGAGGGACAGCGCCCAGGCCCACGACCAGACCCCCCCCACACACACACACCAAAAAAAAAAATCAGAAAGACATTTGGTTCTCTGGACAGATGAGAAAAAAAACACAAAATGTTAATGGACTCCTATGAATAGATTTACCAACATTAAATTGAATATGCCATTCTTGTACACTTTGGTGATTTGAAAATTATATAATTCATAATCTAGATCTCCTGCCCTCAAACGGCAGGAGATGTTTTTCTTCTTTTCTTGTGCTGCTACCAGGGCTTGAGCTCAATGCCTTGTGTGCTCACTCAACTTTGGGCTCACAGCTGGCACTCTGACCCATGCTTCCATCCCAGAAAGGGTTTTTCCAAACAAAGTTTAGGGTTTTGTTTTTTCAAATTTTTTCATATCGAATTGTTATAGACTTTAAACCAGAAAACCATGCTGAAAGCATATAACTAAGAAAATACTATGAAATCAGTACACTAGAGCATATACTTTTTGCTCAGAGCCTCTTGAGAGCAAATCAATCTTTCTGGCAGTTCTTTTTATCAGAAATTAGTCTGGATGGCCTATCACTTCTACACACCAAACCTAAATTAATAACTGTTATCAAATACGTTGTTGGTTTATACAATAGAATATTATAGACATAGGAAAAAGCTTCTCAACCTATTCTGTATCTTAAAATAAAGAGTTGTGTTAGAAAAAAATCTACCTGCTGGAGTTCAAACCAAAATCTTATGAGGTTAGTATTAGGTGGTGCCATCCAATCAAATTGCAAACTAGTGTTATCTGGGATCAAGCCATAGGGTTTCTCCGGTGTATTGAACATTTTCACAGTGACAGCATGACTCTCAGCACACCACATTTCCTCGGGGTGGCAGGCCAGAACCTTTTTGTAAAAAAGAACAGTTTGTTTAACCTTTTGAGAACCTGTACTTGAGAATGGCAATGGAAAATGTCCAATATGCTCTGTACCTTTAACACGTAGAGTTGTCCACCAGACAGTTTAGTAACAAGGAGGCTAAGTTGTGTATTTGGAAATTCGCTTTGTCTTAGAGGAGTCTCAGGAATTGGGGCCAGATGTGAGATTGTCAGCTGATAGCGGACAGAATCTTTTGGTCCATTTGGCTTTTGAGATTCTCTCCAGGATATAAGGAGCCTGGTGTCTGACAGCACAGTTGCATTAATAACACACACCGCCTCTGGTACTGAAATAAAGAGCGAATTCAGGATAAGGAACAGTGCAATAGCACTGAAGGTGGGAGGAAGAGAGGAAATCACAGGGGTACAGTCCTATCATGTGAGCACAAGGACTACCACACATCCAGAAGGAAAGTCAGCCTCTACCAAAATGGCAAATGAACAGTTTGCCTGATGGACTTGCCTACTTATGCCTGATGACTAAACGGTTATCTGACTCCAGCTGTAGGATGCAGGCTGTGATGAACGTGCTCAGAAACATCTTAAAGACAATCACTATCTCTTAAAACACCTTTGTAGACTTCAGACCTGTTCTTTTTTTTTTTTAAAGTTGATGTTATATTAAAGTCTCGATGGGCTCCACACAGTTCACAGAAACGGGATGGTTTTCCTGTCTCCTCATATGAAGAGAGACCAATAAAAAATCAAATGGGAAAAGAGTAACACTGTGTGGCAAGACCAAAACTTAGGCAAACTACTGATTTTGATGTTCCTTTTCACTTTGAAGAAATGTTATTCACCACCTTCAGGCCTTAGAGGATAGGAGTCTAGTCATCCAAATACTTTTCCACAAATTTATCTTTCTTGTTAAGTTTGAAAAGACTCATATTGGTTTGGGATGTGGCTTAGTGGTAGAGTGCTTGCCTAGCATCCATGAATCCTTGGGTTTGATTCCTCAATACCACATAAACAGAAAAGGCTGCAAGTGGTGCTGTGACTCAGTTGGTAGAGAACTAGCCTTAAGCACAGAGAGGCTCAGGGACAGAGCCTAGACCCTGAGTTCATGCCCTAGAACTGGCAAAAATAAAAGACATAATTTTTTAAAATGCAGACAAATATATCCCATGTTTCACAAAACCCACCCTAGAAATCCACACTCACCTCCACTTTTAGTTTTTCCAAAAACCTCTTTTCCCAGAGGTAAGCTTTCCAAAGGATCAGAATAATAATTCTTTACTGCTATTTGTATCACATATGTGGAAAATGGTTGTAATCCACCCATAAGGACTATATCTTCCTGAGATTCCTATAATTTTAATTTTTACAAATCAGTATCTGAGTCTTGCTTTATATAAATAAGTTATAATTTATTTAGCCAAAGAGAAAATTTTCAGACTCAAAAATACTTAGAATATTTTAAAATTCTAGATTATTAATAAAACACGAGCATCTTAATCTACCCAGACTTAAATTGTTTAGTATCTTTATGAATAATCAGCAACTGATTGACATCCATGAGCCAACTTTGTAAAATAAGTCATTTCAGATAGGAAGTTAAATTTGCAGAGAAAGGCATTATTTCACTAGGATTATAGTAGACCTTCAGTAAGATCTTATCATAAAATAGTGACATCTAAGTGGGTACAATAAAAGATAAATGATATTATCTGTTTATTTTAAATAAAGTTCATGAGAGTAAAAGGATGTTTCTCAACTTGGTGATTCAGAATTATCTAGTATGCTTCAAAAATTATTATGCTTCAGTTTCACTTCTGTAGATTCTAAGTGAATTGTTTAGGGTGAAGCCAAGGCTGAGAACCACTGTCTTAGACCAATCGCAATAAATGTGAACACAGTATGATAGATTAGTTCTCATAACAGAAATGTCCAATGCTATAAGCACAGACTAGGTCAAGCAATTAGTCTCTAAAACAACTCTTTTTAGAAATGTGCAAGGGAAAACTAAAATACACAAAGTAAAGGAAATAACAAAGAATCCTGTATATTTTATGACAAGGAATGTAATGTTTAATGTCCGAGTCAATGATGAATTCCATCTTTTGAATATTTGTATGTATATACATACATATATATATATATATATATATATATATATATAATTCCATCACTGAAACAACTGAATTACCAGTTCCAATGTTGAGATAAATGGTGCTAATTAATTTGCCCATTGAAGAATTATCTAGTAAATTGCTGCCATTTCAACTATTATAAAACTGCTAGATACACAAAGACAATGTAAAAAAAGACCATCCTTGCATTTAATAACATATAGAAAATAGCAGACAAAAAATATACTCCAAAGTGCTACAAAGACCCCCCAAAAAAACAATTCTCTCAGGATAAATAGAAAATCAGGGGAAAACAACTCAGTTCTCTCAGGAACTCTAACAACAGGCCCAAGTTAATATACTAACCTGAGAGTAGGTTTAAGTTAGACAAGAAAGCTAAAACCTAACATCTTTTGATGAACCATTGGCTGTAAGAAGTTACCCCACAGAGCATTGGGGAAGTCTCTAGTTATGATTGATACTTTTATATCATAAAAACGCATCTTGTGAAAAGTCAAAAACCACTAACTCCCATCTTACCAGCATTCTATAGTTCAGTTCAGAGCTGGTTGTAATGTCATTAACTTCCCTATAATAAACCAAGAAGGTTGGTGTGGGGCTGATGATGCCATGCAGAGTGAGCTTTGTCTTGACTGGAGGTAATCTGATTGTAAGGCTGGTGTTGGTGGCATTAAGTATAATTGGTTCTCCAACATCTGAAGCTAGAGTCAGATAGGCATTGTCTAAAATAAGAAAACAACGAGGATTAGATAAAGCATAAGAGGAACAATATATTCCTTCAACCTCAGTAGCATATCAAAGCTTGGAAAGAAATTTGTAGCACATACTTAACTCTTTCTGGGAAGGATACATACAAAATCACTTTCAAAATGATGTTCCCTTTGAAGAGAAGAGAAGACATGGGAGGAGAGAGGAGGTCAGGAGAGGGGAGGGGAAGAGAGGAGGACAAGAGGGAGAGAAGTAAGAAAGAATGGAAGGAAAGAAGGAAGGAAAAGAGGGAGGGAGGGAGGGAGGAGAAATGTGTTGTTCTGTCTATTGACATTTCCAATACATTGCTGTATCCTACCATACTAGTTAAATAAATAATAAAACTTGCAAATATACTAATATCCTTTGATCAACATTACTGTTCTAATTGCTAATATGAGCATGCTAATATGAGCATCCATTTCCAGTTTAGACTATAAATGAATACTATTATATAAATATTAGATGAATTGGAGCACGGGCAATTTTGTAACTTTAATAGAATTATCCTTCAAATCCCCTACCTTCTATGTTTCTTAACATTTACAAGTTCCTTGTACATTTTCTCTTTCTGGAAATCTATGGTGAGGGCCTAACTTTAACCTTTCTTTTAAAAAATTCCTTTCTGCATTTGGAATTTATATTTGGAATCCACTAATCAGATCAACATTCTTTCTCCTAATTTTATTTTTTCCCAATCCTGGGGCTTGAACTCAGGGTCTTGGCACTGCCCCTGAGCCTCTTTGTGCTCAAGGCTAGCGATCTATCACTTGAGCTATAGAGATACTTTCAGCTTTTTCTGAGTAATTTATTGGAGATAAGATTTTCTTGGACTTTTCTGCCCGAGCTGGCTTCAAACCATGGTCCTCAGATCCCAGCCTCCTGAGTAGCTATAATTACAGGTATGAGGCACCAGCTTATGGAGGCAGTAGAATTAGAAGCAAAATATTAAACAACTTTATGATTGGGCTGAGGTAAAGCACTCACATAGCAAGTATAATGTCCTGGGTTCAATCTCCAGTTCCACCATTACATACCACACACACACACACACACACACACACACACACACACACACACACACTTTTTACTAGTAACATATTAGCTTAATTGTAGAACAATTGCCAAACATTAGTTTAATTGTAGAGCAATTGCCAAACATGTACAAAGCTCTGGGTCTGATCTACAGAACAAGAAGAAAGAAGGGAAGGGGAAGGAAGGGAAAGAAAAATGGCAGCATAAATTTGAACATTAAGGGGATACTACAAATCACTACAATACTCCTATATATATTAATGAATAACATTTACATACAGAATACTATGTAATGCATAATGTGGAAAAATAATACAGCACTTTACTTGAAGATATATTTTACTTGAGGGTTTACGCAATGCCCTTTGAGACCATGAGAATCCCAAAATACCATTAAAAAAGAAAAGGACAGAAAGAAGAGAATTATGGAACTAAGAAGCAATTGGCAAAGAAATGACAGGTCACAGGTTTCTGGCATCTCAAGTTGCCCTCAGCAATCCAAGCTATGTATACACATGGAGGCAATGTGTGACAAAGGATAAATAGCAATTAAGGTACACTAAAGACTGAGGAGTATTGCTGGGATCGTAGCCCAGGGATTGACAGGCCAGCAATGAAGTGCACAAGCATTGTAAATGTGACTTTACCTGGGAAAGGTTGCATCACTAAGCTGTAAGCCAAGATATGCTTGCTCCTCTGGGTCTTCACTTGGGAGAGGATGGCCCCATTTCTTTTCTTTGCTTGGTAAATCTGTGTGCTGTCTTTGGCTTTGGTGGTCCAGTATATAAACTCCCCATCCACCGTTAAGCTATCAAGTGGTTTTCCTACTGATCAAAAATGCAAAGAACATACAAAGAATAATTTTTTTGAATTTAAAAAATAATCTTAAATTTTTTAAGAATTTTCTTAGAATAACCTTTTAGAATAACTCTTTTAGAGTAATCTTAATTTTTTTCTAGTTTAAGCAATATGGGAAATCCGTTTTCCTACATTACAGCTTCTAAGGTCTAATCTTCCTGGTTTCCAATATGAAAAGAATAGTTATTTTATTCTATTTGGCTCAATAATATATTTTCTCACTTTAGCACTACATCAAGTTAATAAAATAAATAAATATTGTTACCAGCCCTGTTTTATGAGTATGAAAACTGAGATCTGAGGAGTTAATCTGCTTGAGGCCACAAATTTAGTAAAAGGCAGAGCCAGGTTGTAAACTCTACCTAGATGATTCCAAGTGAAACAGAGGCAATCATCAACAGCAAAGAGTAGTTGCACAATATTTTCATCAATGATTTGTAATTAATTTACAGTAAATATATTTAATACAGTAATAAATTGGTGTTCAAGAACGACTTTTTAGAGAGATAGTTTCTTCCAATAACAGAAACACTAAATGACCTCTAAAATCATCATCGTTTTCTTATTTTAGAATTCTGGATTGCAGCTGTGAACTTATGAAAGACTGGTAAAGGTTCACTGGATAATTCTTATCCTATTTTAAAGAAAAGATTATTCTGATATGTGTTAAAATGGTAGTAAAGACTTTTGTTGTTGTTGTTGTTGTTGTTTGTGGGGCTTGAACTCTGGGCCTAGGCACTGTCCCTCAGCTCTTCAGCTCAAGGTGAACACTCTACCACTTGAGCCACAGCGTTACTTCTGGTTTTTTGGTGGTTAATTGGAGATAAGAGTCTCATGGGGACTCTGCCCAGGTTGGCATTGAACCACAATCCTCAGATCTCAGCCTCCTGAGTAGCTAGGATTGTAGGAGTGAGCCACTGGTGTCTGGCTAATAAAGACTTTTGGTCTAGACTAGAACTACATTGCAGCAAAGAAAATAGATGCTACAATACAAAAAAGATAGTAAGAAATTCTATTTAACAAGCATGGGGCATCAAGGGTAGTGGATTCTTGTTAAACTAGCCTAATAGAATTCTTGCTAAGGCAAGCCAAAAGTGCAGGCATCAAGGATGAGATTTCTTGAAACTTAAGTGACAGGATTCTTGCTAAAACTGGACTTAGCAAGTACAGACCTGAGAGGCCAAGGCTAGGACTAGTCGACACTATAGTTCAAAAATGTGTGATCAAAGTATAACCAAAGAGTCTTTGTCACAAATTTAACAGAGACAAATAATTTTCCTAAGAAGAGAAGTTCAAAAAGTTATCTCTACTCTTTAAGCCAATTAAGAAGATATACAACTTGATTTGAGTTATGTCAGAAAAAACAAATGTGTAATTATTACTCACACACATTTGCAACTTCAAAAGTACAAATCCCGGAAATTTTGTGCATAAGTCTACCTGATACCAACTTGTTTTGCATTCTGTACCCACACTTGGCCTACCACCAAACATGCTGCCAAGCAGCTACCATTTGTACATTCTTTTGAGTGTATGTGGAGTGCAGGCAGAAGAGATTGTTGATATGTTTATTACCGAGAATGTCAGGCGCCATGACAATGCTCCAGCACTGGCATCCTTCTAGATCCGTAGCCCAGATCTCTTGTCCTTTCGTAAAGTATATCCGTGGTTCCGCTAGGTTGGAGGCATCAACAGTCATTGCTGCACCTAACTCAACTTCCGTCACATTGCAAGAGCACTGGCTCCTTGCATTCTGTGGGATTGTTGCTGTGCGTTTCAGAATTTGGTGCAAGGTGTGATTGATAACACTGCAGTAGAACATCTGATAGCCCAGATTGGAACTTTCTGTCCAATATAAGCGACTAAAAGGGGGAAAATGTCACTGCAACTTAGTAAGAAAATATATTATTAGTTTCTAGTGAAGATCAGCCATATTTTAGTAAGTGGAACAAAATCAGTAAGAGGAAAGAACATAACCAACTGTCCAATAATCTGATGTTAAGGAGATCACCACCAGTCTAACTTGGAGTATCTTCAATGATTTATTTTAATGAATGCACTTGCAACTTAAGCCTCAGACTATAATGACCTTAGGCACTTGTGGGCCAAGCATATTGGCCTATGTAAGACATGGATAGCTGTAAATTCAAAATGTATACTGATAATTTTAATTATGACCATCTCTAGTCCTCTTCTTTGTCTCTTTCATTATTATAGTTATTATTATTATGAAAGTACTGTCCAGAGGGGTTACAGTTTCATGTTTGGTTACCTCTATTTCTTAATATGAATTAAGACTCTAGTTTCAATACTCTATACCCATGCTTATGGCACAAGGAAAAATGCATCTTTCCAGCCTGTGAAATTGCTACTCAATTGCTGAATAGAGGCTTTTAAGTTCATCTTATGGGTCCATTGGTTAAGACAAGATGCCTCAACCCAAAACAGTGGTTTCTATGTAAGATCTGTTGTCTGTTTGGTTCTCCTGTCACTGCTCAGTTTTCTTGTCCTTATCATCTGATGATACTATTAAATTCACTAGTATAAAAATCTGCTGTTGTTTCCCATCATAATTAGCCTAACTTTACATTAGTCACACTAGTATAGATTAAGATTATGTATTTGTTGTGGTGGTCTCAAAATCAATATGTAGAATTAGACTCAAGAACCCTAAGCATTTGGCTTCTATTTTTAAGCCAGAAAGAAAATATTATTTAGGTTGATTTCTATTTCATTACTATAGGAAAAGACATTCACACATACCTTAAAAATGGGTAGATAGAAAAAGAGATTATTGTTGAATCTGTGTTACAAGTCTTCACTTCCATGGGGCATTTCACTTTATGTTCAAGATCAACAGCAAATATTTGTGTTCCATTTTGTGATCCTTTCAGCACAAAGTAGAGGTGCCTTGCAATCCAGTCTACTGCAATAACTGTGATGTCAGAAACCAGTGTGTCTTGGAAAAGCTTAACATTAGATAGAGAACACACCAGGAAGATAGTATTAATTGTCTTTTTAACTGGAAGACTTCTCTGCAATCACATGTATTAGTTATTTACTGCATTTCTCTCTTTGGTAATCCAAAGCTTTTCAATAACTCAGGATTGTCATTGTATAATAAGCCCTCTTCTATTACTTTAATTATAATTCACAGGCCACTGTTAATCATCCACATCTTCAGACAAGATGAGGATAATCAAGGAGCACTGCTTACTTATTTTAAATGTCAGTCTACCTACTGAAGAACTCCATATGAATCACCCCAGAAAAGAGAATTCATCATCTTACCTCTAAACCTCCTTTTTGCTTGCATTTGCTACTTTTATGGATTTCCAACATTCATCCAATGAACCCAACCCGGCAATGGTGGTTCCCCTTGACTTGCTCCTCATGTTACCATAAATAGTGAACTAGTCTCACTTTAAATATCCTTAGTTTGTTCTCTCTTTTCATGACACATTGCCTATTACCTAACTCAGGTCCTTAATATTCTCTATCTGGATTTCTGCAACCATCTCCTAAATGTCTCAGATTTAATCCTAAATCATTGTTACCATTACTGTTGGAGAAATATTTATTTATTTATGTATTTGGCACCAGTCCTGGCACTTGAACTCCAACCCTAGGCTCTGTCCTTAAACTGTTGTACTGAAGGCTAGTGCTCTACCAGTTGAGGCACAGCTCCACTTCCAGCTTTTTAGTAGTTAATTGGAGATAAGGGTCTCACAGACTCTCCTGCCCAGGCTGGCTTTGAACTGTACTCCTCAGATAGCCTAGGATTACTTGCATAAGTCACTGGCACCATGTGAGAAATCTTTCTAAAACACAACTTGACCATATTAATGACTCACTGAATTTAATGGCTTACTGGTAGCGTTCAGGTTGATAACTGACTCCTTTTTTTTTTTTGTCTGTCGTGGGGCTTGAAGGACATCTGACTCCTTAGTGTGGTAAAGGAAGTCTATAATATTCAAGATTCTGCCTCCCTCCATGGCTTTACCATCTGCCCTGTCATTCCTCCTTCTCCTCCTTCTCCATTCACTTTGTTTACAGCTCCTGAACATGCTATGGATCCCTTTTTATTCCCTGCCTTTGCACTTGTTAATCCCACTGCTTTTCCACTAGTGTTACCTATGCATTTTTCTGTGTAAGAAGCTTTTCCATTGTACTAGCACCACTACTCCATCTGGGCTAATGTTCATCCTGTTCTCAGCATAGCAGTCATACTGGTCTGTCTTCTGTATGAGCTGAGACTTAGTGAAGGTCTACACCATAACAGGCATTGTGCTATGTGCTCTACACTGTCTTGTCTGATCTTTGTAATCATCGTATGATAAGCTATTGCTTACCCATAGAGGTTAAATAACTTGCTCTTTGTTACAGCTCTAACTGGAGAGCAAAGAGATAAATTCCAAAACTCATTCTCAATCACTATGTAACACTGCTTTTCTAGTGTTACAATAATACTAGCCTAGGGGTTGAGAAGGTGGCTCAGAGGTAGAGCGCTTGCCTTACATGCATGAGGCCCTGGGTTCAATTCCTCAGCACCACATAAGCAGGAAAAAAAAAGCCGGAAGTGACGCTGTGGCTCAAGTGGTAGAGTGCTAGCCTTGAGCTGAAGAGCTAAGGGACAGAGCCCAGGCCCAGAGTTCAGGCCCATGACCGGACCCAAAAATAAATAAATAAATAATAAATAGTAATAATAATAATAGTCTTACGCTTTATTAAACCCCCATTTGGGGTTTTTGTTGTTATTGGTTGGTTGGTTTTTTATGTTTTCGACCTGAAAGGCACAATAGTTTGTCAATCACTCCATCCTAGCCTGTGGCACTGTTAGGAAGTGGTTGAACTTTTAGGTGCCCAGTAAGTGGTCTCTGGGATACTGGAGATAGGTCCTCAAAAGGAATTATGAGACCTTGATCTCTTTCTTTTTCTCTCTTTCCCTTCTTGACTATGAATTGGAAAGTTTTGATCTGCCACATGCTCATCATAATGGCTATCACTGGCTCAAAAGCAACAGGGCCAAATGATCATGGACAGAAACCTCCGAAACTGTGAGCCAAAATAAACCTCTTTTTTTTTTCTTTGTCAGTTGTGGGGCTTGAACTCTGGGCCTGGGCACTGTCCCTGAGCTCTTCAGCTCAAGGCTAGCACTTTACCACTTGAGCCAAAGCACTACTTTTGACTTTTCTGGTAGTTAATTGGAATTAAGAGTCTCGAGGACTTTCATGCCCAGGTTGGCTTTGAACACCCATCCTCAGAGCTCAGCCTCCTGAGTAGCTAGGATTACAGATATGAGCCACCGGTATCCAGCTGCCTTTCTCTTTATAACTGGATTAACTCAGACAAATTCTAGTAAGATCAGCTAGTAGATGATCTCTAGTTAGGACCTAATATACCTCTATATCTCTAGGATCTAACACAGTGCCTTAAGGCCAGTAACCATATGCAAGTGAATCCTGAAAATCACTCATCCCATTTATAATTTCTATTTGTTGTAGCTAAATGATTTTGGCAGCTACCATGTCAATTATTCTACTCTAAATGATTCAACCATAAGACACCCATTTTCATTACCAGATAGTATGATATGTAAATATTCCATCTTTCGTTTCAAAGGAATTGCAAAGTGAAGTACCTCAGAGCTGGAACGGTTATGCAAATTCAGAAGGAAGATGGTGTCTCCTTGAGCATAATACCCCATGTGATTGTCAGCGGTGTATCCCAAGGCACTGAGGTCTCCCTCTACTGAAAATGTCCACATGACTTGGTTTTGATCCATATCTAAAAACTCTACCTTGTTGTCAGCAAGGGTTATGAGGTAAGGTAATGGGTTGATGTCTGCAAACAAAAAACAAGTAGATAATATGCATGGGAATACCTTTAACAGTCTTTTGAATCAGTAATCAGGCAATCTTGAAACCCCTGTCCTGCCTTTGGGTTCATATAGTACAAGAGTCTCCACAGAGGCTTTTAGCCTTTCTAATCATAGGCCTCTTTAAACATGATGAGGAAAAAATGATTTTTTTATCTTAACTTCAACTTAGAGACCCTGTTTATATCCTTAAAGATACCAATGGGGGAAAAAAACAATTTCAGAAGGTTATTTATACAATTTGTAGATGATAAATACCTGAAGTTTTAGTTTTCACTATGTCAGAAAATGGTCCTGGTCCTTTAGATGTGAAGACACGAACCTAAAGACAGAAAAGAAACAGCAACAATAAACATGTTATTAGCTGGGTATTGGTGGCTCTCACCTGCAATCCTAGCTACTCCAGAGGCTGGAATCTGTTGAGGATCACAGTTCAAAGCCAGCCCAGGCAGGAAGGTCCATGAACCTCTTATCTCCAATTAACTACTAAAAAGTCTAAAGTGAAGCTGTGGCTTAAGTGGTAGTATGCTAGCCTTCAGGGACAATGCCCAGGCCCTAAGTTCAAGCTCCAAGATTGGCACACACACACACACACACACACACACACACACACAAATGCATTGAAGACTTGTCTTAGTGACAAATAAGTTCTGAGATGGATTAATTATTGAATATTTAAGTCATATTCCTACCATACATTGTATTTTCAAACAATTGAAACACGTTGCCATAACTATCCTAACAGTAAATACTGTATTTTGGTTTTAAGATAACTTTTATTGTGTATTAAATCATTTCATTTCCCAATATTGCATATGTGTAAAAGCCTACAAAGATTCATGGCAATGTCATGCAAACATAATTACCTGTGTGCTCTCAACCAACAAAACATCCGGTTATTGTTATTATGGTCTTAGCCTTAAGTACATTTTTACCATATCTTCTATATACAGTCTTTGTGTACTTTTGTTTATTTGTTTTGTTGGAGACGGGGTTTTGTCATATAACATAGTCTGACCTTGAACATGTGATTCTCCTGCCTCACCTCCAAAGTTCCGAGGTTATAAGTGCTACAAGGACCAGCTTCTGTGTGTATGTATATATACATAAATATATATGTATCATTGAAAAGCATGTATATATTGATTGTTTTATGTATTCCTAATGAATTACCCAGATAATCATAAAATTTGAAATTTTGAAATTTAAAATATCAAAATGAGCTACTGGGCATGGTTGTACATCCGTAAGGCAGAAGGATGATGATTCTGAGGTCAGCCTGAGGTACATAGTAAAACTCTATCTCTCACACACAAAACAATGCTTTGCTTTGAGTCCCAAAAGTAACCTTTATGTGCAGGAAAGTTGACAAGTCATCCTTTACCAAACTTTCCCAAGAATTCAGGGCTTTGTACTCTTCCTTGGCTCTAAGACTGGCATTCTACCACTTGAGCCAAGCCTCCACTTGTAGCTTTTTGGTAGTTAATTGACAATAAGAACCTCATAGGCTTTTTTGCCTAGGCTGGCTTCAATTATCTCTCAGCCTGAATAGCTAGGATTATTGGCATGAGCTCCAAATGCCTGGCTACATCTAGAAATTCTTAACCTGGTCCTTTAAGTACTCTTCTTTCGCACTATTAAGACTCCAATACTTTTTTCTCTCTCATACCTGGAAGGCAACAATGTACCCAGGATCCATGCTTGCAAGTTGAAAAGACATGTCCCAGGGAGTGACATTAACAGCTGTCCAGTCTTGGAAGATTTTCTTTGTGTCACTTTGGTTGGATATATGATAGAAAATTTCAAACATTCTTAACACACCATTTTCATGCTTGGACTTATTCCACCTGAATTCCACCACAACTTTACTGTGGTTGAGCTTGTGACCACTTGGTAATATAAATATTCTGGGATTTTCTGGTGCTGATGGAACTGAAAAGCAGAGGCACAGTTAGCACAGAAAGGAATACAAGGCTGACTTCTACCACTCCTAATCAAGGGAGGGACATCTCAACAGCAACAAAAATATTTCTCAGTTGAAGCATATCTCTCTCATTCATTGTTTTGGTTCATCTTGCTTTTGTCTTTAGAGTTACGCCACCAGGTTTTTTTTTATTTCTATGCTATAAATTGTTTTTATATTGCTTCCTATTCTCTTTCATAGTACACGCAATAGAAGCAGACCTTCATTTGTGACTAATCAGCTGTTTCATACACCCAAATACCATGAGATAATAAGCAACATGTCTAAGACTAACAGCAACTCCACCCATGACTGAGGTCCTCACATTTCAGAGGCATCAACCAATCTCTGGTGGCTGGTGGCCTGGTGACAGTTAACAGCGCCACTCCAGAACCAAGAGCCAGGCCTTGTTCCAAGCAGAGAGCTCTCTGAGATCTCTCGCATTCTTAAAAGTTCTTCATGAGGCAACAACCCCTACATTATTCTGGGTCTCATCGTGATATTTTAACAGATGTCGGCTGCCTTAGGTTCAAACCAAATCCCTACTGTTATTAGGTAAGGACAACTCTCTCCACTGTGCTCCGTACAGATGGAAGGTGGCTGGTTCTCCTTATAAAATGTAGCATTCACTCTCATCTTAATCGAAGTGATTTAGCTCCAGGTCAAAATCTCAGTCATCAGGAGGGGAGCTTCAGCTAGATCCAGGTATAAAATACAAGACGTTAGGGACTCAGGCCCTCTCACTCTAAAAGGAGGCAGGAAGTTGTGGGGAAGGTATGGTTTGAAGCTACCTAGTCAAGCTATAGCCAGCCTGCACAGCACCATCTGTTTATCTATTGTTTGAGAGAAATTCCTCTGCCTGATTTCCACATCGCTCCACCCTATCTTGGGATTCCCCTACAGGGCTCTCTACCACCCCTCGTTCCAGTCACATTGTTTCCTACTGTTCGTCACTCCCACCATCACGCTACAGGCCTTTTTAACATGGGATACACTTTTGCTCCATCCTCGCTGAAGTCTTGTTCACGCACATATTCCTCTCCTAAGTATACACGAGGCAACTTGATATGGTTAATGATTTCGAAGTGTTGTCTACTCACGGCTGCTGCTCAGTTGTTACAGTCTCATTTCTATTATGTGGGTGGTGAGTTTTATGAACTCCAACAGCGAACACATCCTTTCTTATTCCTTACTTCAATCCCCTAACCTCTAATAGAAGAACAGCACACAGTGAGTGCTTAATAGATATTCCTCACTTTGAAAACTCTCTTGCTAGACCGTAAATATCATGAAGGTAAGGGTCAAATTCTTCCAGTCTTCCTTATTTCTCCTATCATCCAGAAGATGTTAACCTATTCTGGATCTCCAGAAAGATTTCATCTCCATGCAAGAGTGCTACCAAAGCTGATAGCTTAAGATAATCACAAACAGAACAATCCTGGCTCCCAATGATAAATGCTGCAGAACATGCCGAGGCTCCATTCTGCTCCTGCTGTGAGACTCAAGGATGAATGCCATTGAGTGCATCATAACAGTAAAAATGCAATGGCAAGTGGAGGTTTATATCACTTTCCAGGTCCTGTGTTAAGAAGTCTATGCAAATTAAATGAATAGGGAGCTACTCTTTGCTAGGATTTGTCAGTTGACCAAATGAAGATGGAAAAAAAATAGAATGAAAATTCTGGATATGTTCTTGTCATTTATTTAAGCAACTACAAGGTTCCCATTTTCTCACCCACATAATTAAGATTGTAACATCTGTCAGGTCTACCTCAGAGGTGTGCGAGTGCCAAAGGAAATGATCTTTCTGATATATTGTAGTAAATGTTTAATAAAGGTGTGACACATGCAAGTGTGTTTTGCACACTTTAAAATGACAGACACATGTAGAGATGTGGCTATCTCTTAAAAACATATTTCCAAAAACCGTACAATTTGCCCACTAGTTATTTGCTCACAGAACATTTTTTGAAATCATATCTTTGTTAATAACTGTCTTGCAAGAAAATATCTATGCCTTCCAATACCCCATTTTCCTTATCAAATATCTCACATTACTTAAAACCATTAATTGTAAATATTACTGCATCAAAAATATTACTACAATCCAGTTTAAAAGTCTAAGAAATATTTCAAATAGACTTCTTTGGAATAAATTATGAAGGTTGTATGTATATGTGTATGCATGTCTGCATGCACACCAGTTCTGGGGCTAGGCACTGTTTCTGACCTTTTGTGTTCAAGGCTACTGCTGTGATACTTGAGTCAAAGTTTCACTTCCAGCTTCTTGCTGGTTTATTGGAGATAAGTGTCTCACAGATTTTCCTGCTCTGTGTGGCTTCAAACTGCAATCCTCAGATCTTATCCTCCTGAGCAGCTAGGCTTACATGCTTGCCACCAGAGCCCAGCATGAAGATGTATTGCAATGATGCTAATCTAATTTTTAAAGAATCATTGAAAGACTATTGGATTTAAACACATCTAAGACTGAAAACTATTTTCTAATATTTTAAAATATTTCCAGGTCATGGAAATAAGACTTTTTTTCAGTACCCCTGTACCTGTTTCAGGTGCTCGAAATGACAGAGATGTTTTGGGGCCCTTTCCCCAGTAGGTATAAGGAGTGACTGAAAGGTTAAATAAAGCATAGGGCTGCAGGTCTTCCACAGTAAACATTGGCAAAGACTGCTCAGTAGCCAGGAACTGAAATATAAACATAAAATATCATCTTCTTAGAAATAGAATTAAAAATTTTTTCATTACTAAAGAGCTAAAAATCACCAAGCTTTGGCTCACATGTCATCACCACGTACAATTTTGCTAATTCCTGTGAGTTACTAGATAGACCAATTAAAGTGTATGCAACATAACAGTTATCACAAGCCAATCAGAGATTCGCCATCAAGTGCTCTGGCAAATAATCTTAATAATCAAACACCATGGGGGAAAAAAATACAAAGAACGAGCAAAGTACAAATCAGTGTGTTCAGTGCTGTTACATGTGTTTGGGAAATAGTACTTGAGCCAACACCTTACCTTGGAATGAGCACTAAATTCTATACTGTAGAAAACTGTACCCCAATCCACCACAGGGGGGGGATTCCACAAGACTTGGAAGCTTGAACCATTTCCCTCAACTCTGAATGAAGACTCTTGAATAGAATCTGGGATCACCTTGGGAGTTGAGGAAAAGTTCCCTACAAAATAGGAGAAAGATAAAACCAGAGGTAAAGAGGATTTAGGATTATCACCCAGGACCGAATCAGGGGAAATCAGTAGATATTATTGGTAATTAGAACTAAATCAAAATGATCCAAGTCATGATTAGTGGCCATGCCTAGAATCCTAGTGCGGTGAAAATAAGAAGATTATGAGTTTGAGACCAGCTTAAACTCAAAGATTTTTTAAGTGCCAGCCTGGTCCATATAGAAATCTTGTCTCAAAAACAATAAAATCTCCTATCCTGGCTGTTTCAGACTATAAATTTGGGTTAAACTGAGTATAAGGAAACTTCCTAGTTTCATTGATGAATAAATTAGCATTAATGGATTCTAATTTTTTAAAAGTGGGGTCCAGGTGCCCTTGGTTGATACCTGTATTTCTTAGTTACTCAGGAAGCTGAGCTCTGTGAATTGTGATTCGAAGCCAGCCCAAGTAAGAAAGTCTCCAACTAACCACCAGAAAACCTGAAGTGGCACTGTGGCTCAAAGTGGTAGAGCGCTAGCCTTGAGCAAAAAAGGGACAGCACTCAGACTCTGAATTCAAGTCCACCACTGACAGAAAGAAAGAAAGAAAGAAAGAAAGAAAGAAAGAAAGAAAGAAAGAAAGAAAGAAAGAAAGAAAGAAAGAAAGAAAGAAAGAAAGAAAGAAAGAAAGAAAGAAAGAGAAAGAGAGAAAGAAAGAAAAAGAAAGAAAGAAAAAGAGAGAAAGGGAGAGAAAGGGAGAAAGAAGAAAGGGAGAAAGAAAGAGAGAAAGAGAAAGAGAGAGAGAAAGAGAGAAAGACAAGAAAAGTGGGAAATTTTTAGGAATTGACACAAACAAATAAGAAAGGAAAAAAAATTAACTGAGTGCAAACAAGTCAACAGTATATTTTTCCTCTTTCAGCATAATTCTTAAAGAAAAAAACTCTCAAAGTAAATGTTTATCTCACAGAAGGTATTAGGGAAGAAGATAGGCAACAATAAGATGCTGAACCTGGCAGAGGCTTGAGGGATGTCTGAATAATGGTGAACTGATTAAATTTGGCCACTTCTGAAACGGACACACTGGTTCTCTGACTTATTTCCTGTGCAGTGATAATGCTAAAACCATCAATCCAAAAGAGTCGGCCACTGTAGTACATCAGTGCATTCTGGGAAATCTCAGAAGTGCTCCAGGCTGCAAATTCTGTGATGTGGACATCCTCAGTGCTGTTGAAACATGACATCAATTAGTGCATGCATCTGCAGCAAGAAAAGAGCTGGTATGTGCATGGGCCAGTGAGGTTGTGCATTCATAAGTTGTGTGTGTTTCTGTGTGTGTGTGCATGTGTGTGTGTGTGTGTGTGTGTGTGTGTGTGTGTGTGAATGAAAAGAGAGAAAATATTTTCAACAATTATAAACATTTTATTTCCACATTAGATTGTGTTTTAAAATATTCTTTTTAGAGTAACAAATCTCGATCAAATGTTCTATGGGTTTTCCTTATCAGTGTGATATGGCATTAGCCAGAGTGTAGACAGGGTGCAGCTTTTAACAATCCGCTGATATTTGGGTAAGACTCAAACACCTGGTTAATACTCGTCGTATTTAGGGTTTATTCCACATGTGTCTGCAACACTTGAATTAGCAGAAAAACAACATAACAAAAAGTATGTACAGGATCTAGAGGGAAAAAGTTTCTATCCAGAGATAGAACCAGAAAATAACCAAACAAAAAGTGTCCAAGTAACATGCCATCTGTCTAAAGGCTTAAAGTGATCAGATGTGTTTGGAGACCAACCAAAAGTAATGCAGTAATCCAACACTGTTAAGATTCTAATATAATTATAACCTTTTTTAAGAGAAAAAAGGAAAAGCTACATGTCTGAAAAAGAGAAGACCAAGAATTTGTAAGCATTTATCCAAATTGGCAGAGACAACTTTTCCCGAATGTGTGGCCATGCCGTGAGAGCTCCCATCTGCTGACACAGAGTAGCTGTGTTATTAATAGAATTTGTCATAAATTATACACTACCCTGGGTAAGCACACGTCTAGACTATCCAACTTCTCTCAAATGATTACCTCATACCTAACCCAGTTCACATGATACCAGGGAGCGTGGCCTACATGCATACATGATCATGCCAGCTACTAAACAAGACCATAGCTCATGGGAGACTAATGTGAATTTTCAGTATTGAAGTAAACAGAATTGGACTAGGAAGGTGGCTCAGTGGTAGAGTGCTTGCCTTGCATGCATGAGGCCCTGGGTTCAATTCCTCAGCACCACATAAACAGAAAAAGCCAGCAGTGGCGTTGTGACTCAGGTGGTAGAGCACTAGCTTTGACCTGAAGAGCACAGAGACCGTGCCCAGGCCTAGAATTCAAGACCCACAACCAACAACAACAAAAAAAGTAAACAGAATTGCATGGAATTCCTACCTAGCCAATTTATAAACATGGAACTTTAGGCAAGTAATTTTACCTCTTTTTTTTTGGTCAGTCATGGGGCTTGAACTTGGGGCCTGGACACTATCCCTCAGCTCTTCAGCTCAAGGCTAGTGCTCTACCACTTGAACCACAGCTCCACTTCCAGCTATTTTAGTTTATGTGGTACTGAGGAATCTAACCCAGGGCCTCATACATGCAAGGCAAGCACTCTACCACTGAGCCACCTTCCCAGCCCTTTACTTCTTATTTAACCATCTATAAAATGTGGACATAATGCCAGATATTCTACATATGGATGAAGCTGATCTCAATTCCTCATGACTTTCTCAAGAAATAAAAACATGAGCTGGGCCTGGTGTCAGTGGCTCACACTTGTAATCTTAGCTACTCTTGAGGCTGAGATCTAAGGATCACAGTTTGAAGCTAGCCTGGATAGAAAAGTCCTTGAATCTCTATCTCCAACTAACTACAAGAAACCAGAAATGGAGCTGTGACTCAAGTGGTAGAGCACTAGACTTGAGCAAAAAAGCTCAGAGACAGTGCCCAAGCTATCACACACACACACACACACACACACACACGTGTGTGTGCTTGTGTTCATGTATGTGTGTTTGTGTCACAAAATATAAATAAATAAATAAATAATTGTGGACTGGAGGATAGTGGTGCACACTTGTAATTCTAATCAGGAGACAGAGACTAGAGGCCTGTGTGTTTGAGGGCAGCTCAGCATACATAGTGAGCCATCCTGTTGAAAGGAAGGAAGGGAGGGAGGGGAGAAGGGAGGGAGGAAGGAAGGAAAGAAGGAAGAAAGGAAGGAAGGAAGGAAGGAAGGAAGGAAGGGACAGGAAGGGAAGGGGAAGGGAAAGAAGGGAAGAGGAGGGGAGAGTAGAGGAGAAACGGAGAAGAGAGGTGGAAAGGGAAGTAAAAAAAAGAAGCAAAACAAACCATACTTCCTTCTATTAGACCATGTTTGCCAAGACCAAAGAATTAAGAGCTAGGCTAGAGTATACATAAACAAATAACTAGGATAATATATCAGATGGTTATCATATAAGGTGATGCTAAGTGAAATGAACCCCAAGATATGGACACAAGAGATCTTTCTTTGTTGTTGTTTTTAATGTACTATGTGATTTTTTTTTAAATTTCCTTTGTATGTTCTTCCCCCTACGGGATAATCCCTGTTGTCACTCTACTTGATTTTGGTGCCAGCATCTTGTACATACATTTGTCTAATTTGTGGAGGGGAAGGGGAATAACAAAACACTGAAACAAGGACACAGGATGACCCACTGCAACAATGATACCCACAAGACAGTATATTGGAAATGAAGTTTACAACTTAGGGGATGGGAAGAGGTGTGACGAGGTGGGGGAGGGAAGGATTAGTAGGAGAACAACAAGGAAGAGGATAACAATGCTCGACAAGAAATGTGCTCATTACCTTACTCATGTAACTGCAACCCCTCTGTACAGCATCTTTACAATAAAATAAAATTTAAAAAACAACAATAACTTCCCCCAAGTGTGTGTCTTTGTAGTTAAACTTATTAGTCCTCTGCGTTGTTCTACCATTAGATGGTGCTCTACATCCAGTTTTCTGTTACAGATTAGCATCACATAAAATAGGCAGGGCAGTGGCAACTTTGGCCACTTGGGCACAATCAGGTGGATGCAGCCCTCCGTAGTCACTCACGGTTCTGGAGGAAACCCCTTATTAGTTCATTTACTCATCAAGCTTCATTTTTTGGAATCACTTTGGAGGGTCTCTATTCCATCCCAGTGTGGAAGTATGTTACTCTTACATCTCCCTACACAAATCATCCACACTGTGGAGCAAGTTATTCCCTTTTTAACCAATTGCCTTTAAGAGACATTTGTTACCTCTGTCCTCGAAGAATAGATGTGTATAGGTGAATACACTGATTGTCCTGAACCAACCAATAGAGGAGCTGATCACTGAGGTCCAAAGTTAGAGCAATAACCTAAACAGAGAATAAAGTGAGAAAATTAACCAAATGTTCTGATTAGGTCACACTTCAACTACAAACCCCCACTTCACATCTTTTGTGAAATAATAAACTTAGTCAGTTTAACCTTTTTTCTGAATATCGACATTATATGATGATGCCTCTTATTATGTTATTTGTATATAACTACTAGTTTCCTAAAAGGTAGGAATATACCCATTTCTCACTTTTATATATTTAGCTCCAGTGGTTATCAATGTGCAATTCTCAGATCAGCAACAAAAAACATCACCTGGCAACTTAGTACAGATACAAATTCTAGATCAAATTCCAGACCCATGGGAAATTTTAAGTCTGCATCAAGCCTTCCCTAAAGTTAGTCATAACTTTGGGTTCCTCAGACACATGAGGCAATGATTCTTGTTCCTGTTCAAGCCAGTGATTGTCAAACAGTTTTTTTTCCATTTCAATGACTAGGCTACATCATATTTAATTATTATCCCTAAGAAAGAAATCATGTTTCCAGAATGCTTGAAAAAAATCCTCAGGTACTTCATGTGCCACCAAATTTGAGAGCCAATGATTTGAACTCTTTTAAATTAGACTTTTTTATTAACCCAACCAAAAAATTCCTGACACTCAACGTGTGTATGTATTTTCATCAGATAATTATGTGTATATGAAGTCCTATTTCCAGATGACGTGTGAAAAAACACTTCATACTACTCTTCCTTTGTCTTAAAGTTGCCTAGGTAAAATCATCCTGAAGTGAAGTTGGGTTAATAATCATGATTGATTATTTATAATGAGATTAGCTAAAGTTATCTAAATAATAAATTAACTTTTTCATTTAAAAGGCCTAAAGAAATAGTGCTTCTAGGGAGTACATTAGATAAAAACTTATTTGGCTTCATGAATATATTTCACATAGCTGAGAGTCCCTCCTGTAACCAACCTGGAGCCTGAGAGGTGTCAGAAAGGAGTAGCTGATGACTATATTGTGAGCATTTAAACAAAAATGATGCGTCAGTGAAAATGTAAAAAGTGTATAATAAGAATTAAAAATGTCAAAGAACTAAAAATACCTTCTGACACATTAGCCTGCTATTGAGAAAACCATATGATTTTTAGATGCATATATATACATGTATACACACATAGAGAGAGACCTAAGGATATATCTATATGATTTTGTTTATCTGTATTGTATACTTTTATCTCTAAAGAAAAACACTCAAGAAGAAGAAAATGTTTAAAATATGTTAGTTACAAAGAAAGTAAATGATCTCTTTCCTCTTTATGTTCTTTATGGCATTTTTTCTGTAATTTGCAAATTGTCTACAGTGGGCATATATCACTATTACAGTCAGAAAAAAATAAGAACCAGAAATGTAGATATCTAAAGGATAGTTTAAAAGGTACGAAGTTGAAGAAGGAAAAATAATTTTGTGGAATATTCCTATAGCAAACGTTCCTTTGCATACTAATAGCTTCATGCAGACTACTTGTCAGACTTCTGAAACATTCTCAGGACTTCACATGAATCAGTCTTCATAGCAGTCCATTTTCCAGTAATGAAACAGAGAAGTCGAACAAGTTACGTAAGCTGTATGCTTTTTAGAAAAGTCAGCATCCAAAGTTGATTAAAAATAATAAGACACATAAACAACACCCACTAAGAGGTTCTGAAGTGCTTTTAAGACTATAAAAACAGAAAAATTTAAAGCTGCCAAATAGGAGTCTACTCAAGATAAAAGCAAACTACTAAAATATCCATGTTACATATTTGAACTGCATAATCAATTATGACCATCAAATAATGCTTAGAAATTTTTAGGTTATAACAAGGTTTCACTGTAATAACACTTCCTATAGGATTATACCTCAACTACTCACCATATGAAGATATGATACAATCATAATTATAGACTATCACTATTTGGTATTATTGAGTGACCAGATCTTATTTTTAACTCTTATTTTTAATTTATCACCTTTTTCCCAGAAAACCAGGGCTGTGCCTGTAGTATGAGGGAACTTTCCCCATTTAGCCTAGTGCTTTCAACTGAGTAGAATGTGGTCCAATAGAGATAGCCACCGACTGAATCTACCACCATGTCGTTCACCAGTAGCTTCACATGGGTCACAATGTCAGTGTGTCCAGTCAACACAGACTGCCTTTGTATCTAGAAAAACATGATAGTGTAGTCAGTTAATGAGTTTCAAATGGCATCATTATCACAACAATTTGTTGCAATTATTAGTAAGCTGTTGCATTCTTCCATCCATCCATCCATTCATCAATCCATCCATCCATGCACCCATTCATTCATTTACTTTCAACCACAATTATTTATCAACCCTATATGCTGAGTACTATGTTAAGCCTTGAAAACATAACAGCAAACAAACATGGCACTTGCCTTTGTGGAACTTACCTCTTTTCATATCTTCAAACAGAAAGGAAATAAATTAATTTAGAGATAAAACATTTAAAATTCCCAGTAATACATCCAGACAATCAAAATCATCATGAATGACAATGTTTTAATGAATTCTTAAAAGATACACACATGTCCTCATAAAAGATGACTACTGGGCTGGGAATGTGGTTCAGTGGTAGAGTGCTTGCCTGGCATGCATAAAGCTCTGGGTTCAGTTTCTCAGTACCACATACACAGAAAAAGCCGGAAGTGGTGCTGTGGCTCAAGTGGTAGCGTGCTAGCCTGGAGCAAAAGAAGCTCAGGAACAATGCTCAGGCCCCAAGTTCAAGCTCTACAACTGGCAAAAAAAAAACTCCTCTATTTATTCCTCTCGATCATGTATCTCCCCAATACTAGTTTTACCGTTCCATATTACCTATTATATGACAAATATAGTATATTTTTCATTCTTTAAAATATTAGCTCCTGCAACCCTCATAATAAATGTATAAATAATTTCTGTTCCTTATATTTTTTCTTCATCACATGTAAACTGTGTTAAACAAATTTGTCCTGGAATTAAAGTTAAATATTTAACTCATCTTTATATTTACCCTTCCACTTTTTTTTTTTTTTTTTTTTTGGCAGTCCTTGGACCAGGGCACTGTCCCTCAGCTCTTCAGCTCAAGGCAAGCGCTCTACCACTTGAGCCACAGAGCCACTTCTGGTTTTCTGGTGGTTACTTGGAGATAAGAGTCTCACAGCCTTTCCTGCCCAGGCTGGCTTTGAACTGTGATCCTCAGATCTAAGCCTCCTGAGTAGCTCGGATTACAGGCGTGAGCCACAGCACCCGGCTACCCTTCCACTTCTTTAAAGTATTTTTAAACTAAACCATGTTTTGTATGGTGCCAGGATTTGAACTCAAGCTAGGCACTTGGGCCACACTTCAGCCATTTTTTTGCTTTAGTTATTTCTCAGATAGGGCCTCATGCTTTTTGTCCAGGCTAGCCTTGGACCATATTGTGGGCTTGCAAGCACATACTTACCCTCTGACTCTTAGTTGAGCATTTTAATGTATTTATTTTAAGATAGTGATGAAAATCTATAAAGAATAAAAACAATAATGGTATATAATTCCCTTTGCTCTTAAATTCACTTTAGTAGAGAGTAGTATATACCACCAATATTTTATCCATTTTATCTCAGGTGGTACACAAGTATTCATGAACTAAAGTGTAGTACAAGTCACTGAAGCTGGATTGCTTTAGATCACTGAGTGCTGGGCTTGACTTACCACATATGTCTTCCCAGCCCAGTAGAGGAAGTGACCCAGCCACTCAAAAGCTAACGCCCCTGCTCCTGTGATGCTGGGGATGTGATAATATTCTGAAGTATCTGTCCCATTCAGCGGCCACACATAAACATCACCGTTCATGTCACTGTAGTAGAGGCTGTTATTGTACCAATCCATGTCTCAAAACAAACACAAAACCCAATGAGCAGTTATTTTTCATGTATGCCAACAAAAACATCATGACTTAAAGCATTTAGGCACTGTGATACATCTATTGACAGATCAATAAATCAATTGATATACATAGACACACACACACACACACACATATATCACAGTGCCTGAATAATATAGACATATATCAGTAGTAATATAGCTATCATGGTGGGGAGGTGTGTGTGTGTGTGTGTGTGTGTGTGTGTGTGTTTGCCAGTACTGGGGCTTGAACTCAGGGCTTGGGCCTGTCTCTTAGCCTTTTTGCTCAAGGCTAGCTCTCTACCAACTTGATCAACAGGTTCCATTTCTGGCTTTTTGTAGTTAATTGCAGATAAGAGTCTCATAGACTTTCCTCCCAGGGGTGGTTCTGAAACTCAGCCTCCTGAAGAACTAGGATTAAAGGTACCAGCCAATGATAATCAGTCATAGATAACTTTAAGGCCTCCTCTGATATATAAGAACTTCAGTGATTGCTCTAGAATATGACACTAATGTAAATATAAAATTTTTTCTCTTAAAACTGGAGGAACTAACTGAGCGCACTGAATATTTCCTCTCTGCCAAACATTGTCTCAAGTAACTTTACTTGCCTAATTTAACCCCTAAAACAAAGCTATATGTAATTATCATCATTTTTAAGATAACAACCTAAGATTTAGTGAGATTGTCCATTCTATCAGAAAATCTTACCAACAAAAAGCAGGGAAGCCCAGATTCTGGCTTACTCCAAAAGATGTTCTTCTTATCAGTATCAAGTTACTTGCTAATTCCAACTCCTTTATTTACTAGAAATGGTTTGCTACTTTTGTGTGTGTGTGCCTGTCCAGGGGCTTGAACTCAGGGCCTGGTATGTCCCTAAGCTTTGTGCTTAAGGCTAGTGCTCTGTCACTTTGAGATACAGGGTCATTTCTGGCATTTAAGTAGTTAGTTGGAGATAAGATTTTTACAAACTTTCTTGCCTGGGCTGGCTTTGAACTGTGATCCTCAAATCTCAGCCTCCTGAGTAGCTAGGATTACAGGCATGAGTCACTAATGCCCATTTTGCTTTCACATTTTTAATAGCTAAGTTTGTAAATAAGATAAATAACTGTGGAAGATGTCATCTTCAGGCAAAGTCATGCACATGCCACCTTAGAATACTTTTCTTCTTCTAGAAAAATTTAATAATCCTCTTTATCAACATGTTTTTTCCTTACATTTTATTGAAAACTCTATCATGTATTTTTCACTCCAGTTTTATAAATAAAACTCATGGTAAAGGGATTACTTAAAAAAAAAATAGCTGTCTTTGCTGCCAACATGACATTGATAGATTAAAACACCAGAACATTATATCAAAGCCTTCCCAAAGTGGACATCAATCAATAAATAACTTCACAGTGTGTGACTTCATAAATAGCATCCCTACTTGAGAATTGACATTTTCATAGCAATAGCACTACCAGTATTGTCCGGTCAGCATTTTTTCCTTTCACTAGTAAAAGCAAAGATCTCAGAGCTAGTACTCAATTTGTTTTCTATTTATTAAATAACTTGAAAGTCAGGAATAGAAACCTGTCATCTTAGTACATGATAGTGCTTACCTGACACATTCCCTATGTCAGAAGACAAGAACTCTCCTGGGCCAAAGCTATTTAATGGTTTACTCCAAAGTCCATCTTCCTTTACAGCCATGATAAATGGTGGTTCAATAGCTATTTGGTAAAAATAAAATAAAATTTTAAAAAGTATCACAGAAAGCTCATTTTAAGCACATATCTTATGCTCTAGAATATCTTTTCTTTTAGTAAAAGAATATCAGCATTTTGAAAAGTATCATGGAAGGATATGAATAATTGTAGGGAGAATTATCTATCATACTTAACATATTTCCTGATTTTTGCATAAATATCTGAAATGGAAGGTGAAGATAACTGTTTGTTTCATGACTATACATGACTGTCACAATGTCCTGGTCATGGCAGACACCTCCACTCTTGTGATCACTACTTGCCATGGCTCCTTTGGACACCTCCAGAATAAATTATAACAGCCATATGAATAACAGTTATTCTTCCATTTTTCTTTCAGAGAAGGGTGGAATTTAGCAGAATTAATAGCACCTCTACTTCTGTCTCCAAAACCATCAGAGTTCAGAAAGCCTTTAGCTTAATAAACTAAAAAACAGGAAGCCCATGAAGAGGAAGAAAGTCATCTGGTTACTTCAAATATATCTTGGAAAGTTTTTTTAAAGAGGAAGTTAAAAACATAGATGTTGCAGTGTTTATTTGCTTTACAAATTCAATTACAAAACACATCCTTAAGGAACCTCATTCTTGGGCCAGGTGCCAATGGCTAGCTACAGTAGCTAATCCTAGCTACTCCAGAGGCTGAGATCTAGGGATTGTGGGTTGAAGCCAGTCCATGCAGAAAAGTCCCTGTGAGACTCCTATCTCCAATTAACCATTCAAACACTGGAAGTGGAGCTACGGCTCAAGCACCACAACTGAGGCTCAAGCACCACAACTGACGGGGGGAGGGGGGGTGGGAGCGGGGGGGGGGGGGGGCTGGGGAGAGGAAGGGAGGGAAAGAAGGAAGGAAGGAAGGAAGGAAGGAAGGAGGGAGGGAGGGAGGAAGGGAGAGACTGCATTCTCATTTATTTATCACATTTGAGGCAAGGATTTTTTTGTTTTGTTTTGCAGTTCTAAGGATTAAACTCAGAGCCTTGCACTTGCTCTACTGCTTGAACCACTCCACCGCTCATAGGAAGGAATTTTACTGGCTGATCTTCTTCTTCTCAGAATTACTCCTTTAAATCCAAAACATTGTCTCACCTGGCACCAAGGTAGTCCCCACAGAGGGCTCTGACCAGGGTCCTGGGCCCTTGGGAGAACTTGCTCTCACAGACACCTTGTACTTCGTAGCACTCTGCAGCTCAGGTACATTAAGCATAGTCCCACTTATATTGGAGAAAACTTGAGTGATTTCGGGATGATCTTGGGTTGATACTTTCACTTCGTAAGTCCAGTTCTGCCAGGCAGACGGGCCTAAAGAATTCAACATGTCATTGGCCAAGACAAGAACAAACCAAGAACTGCCAGTAAGCTCATCAACAGCCTTATCTCAAATGGCAGATTCATTGTGCAGTAAGGCCTATTACCACACTAATCATCGGGGTCAGTGTGACCTAAACGAACACATGCCCTTTCTGAGACTTCATGTCCAACAAGTTAGTATTGCCCTTCAGTCAAAGCTATGTGATCAGCATCAATTGACTGTTGGAAGGGTTCTCTTTAATATTAAATTAAACCAGGTATACTAGAAATATACTGTAATATTATATCTCTATAATACTAGCATAACCAGGCTCTTAAGGAAAATGCTTAATGATGAATGTCTGTTCAGTGTTTAGACAGTAATTTCAAAAATCCGTATGTGAAGAAAAAGCTGTCAGGTGCTGGTGACTCAAACCTGACTCAAAACTCAGGAGGCTGAGATTTGAGGATTGCAGTTCAAAGCCAGGCTGGGCAGGAAAATGTGAGACTCTTATCTCCAAAATATCACCAGCAAACCAGAAGTGGTGCTATGGCTCAAGTGGTAGAGCACTTGCCTTGAGCTGAAGAGCTGAGGGACAGTGCCTAGGCTCAGAGCTTAAGGCCCACAACCAAAAAAAAAGAAAAGAAAGAAAAAGCTTCCTATTCATCCTCAGCCAGTTTTGATATATGCAACAAGCAATAGTAATTACCTTTTATGATATGGTAAATTAAATGCAAGATCTTGCTTTTGTCAGGAATGTACTCTACCACTTGAGCCATGCCACAAACTCATTTGTTTTTATTTTGTTTTTGAGATATAGTCTCACTAGCTTACCCAGGACTAGCCTAGAACTCATAATCTTCCTTCTTCCACATCCTAAAGAGTTGAGGTTGCAGGAATGTGCCACCATGCCTAGATAGGAATAATTTAACTTTGTCTTAAAGGCACACATGGTCATTTGTTAAACAGTACTCCCTGATGGACCAAAGTTGGTAAACTACCATACACAAAAAAAGATGTAACCAGTGATCTCTTTTTTCGAGCATGATAGCCAAGGAACAGAGTGACTAAGTAACTTGTTCAGGGACATTTTGCCTGCAAAACCAGCATGTGAATCCTTGAAGGCTAGTTCTGGAGCACTTCCTCACACACTGACTCTCTAAAAATGTAGAGTCAAGTTCGGAGAGCTTCAGGGTATTTCTCAAATGTATGTAAGATCCCAATGCAGGTATGATACCCTCCTTGCTAATACTCACTCTAACTAGAAAGTCAGAGTGTACAGTCTTGATAGATGTCCAACTCTACAAGCTAACTGGGAAGTATAAAGATCCTCCTACTGAAAAGCTAATAAATGCAAAGCACCTGGATAAACACTCGTTCATATCTAAGTAGCTGCTGCTAGTGGACAACTATATGTGCATTCTAGAAACTGAATCCCAGAGCCAAGCAGCTCCAGCCTCCTCTCCTTCCAGCAGGCCAGCAGCCACCCTGGGCACAGCACACTCACTGGCTCCTATGGCGAGGGCGGGAGGCTTCCATTGAACAAGGGCCTGGTGAGAGCCAAAGAGTACGGACAGCTCCTGTGGGCGGCCTGGCAGCGGGTGTGGCTGGACAGATGAGCCGAAAATGACCAAGTTACCAAACCCAAATTCCTCTATGTGACTGAGGTCACATCCCACAATGAACTCATTAAAAGACTGAGAATCCTGTTGGAACACAGCTTTGCCATCTGTGACAAGGAAGTCATTGTTTTCACAAGCAAAGCTCTTCACATCAGCGAAGAGGACATGAGGAAGGATGAGATGGGAAGCTGAGCCATCCAGAAATGTGGACATGAAGGCTTGGGCGGTGTTATTGAAGTAAATGATTCTCTTGGACTGTGGCTTTATTGCAAAGTCCTTTAATGTCCAACTCTCCACAATGCGCACCGCTGGAGCAGGCCTGCCAGATGGCGCAGGGAGGTCAACTCTGTAAATGCCGTCTCTCAGGAGATAAAAGACATACCTGATGCAGGAACAAAGAAGCCCGGTGTGATTCAGTGCAAGTGTAGCTGCACAACCTCCTCAGCATTGCTTTCCCTTGCCACGCAACCAGCTCTCTCTCTCCCTGTCCCTCCCCCTCTCTCTCCCTCCTCCCCCCTTCTCTCTCCCCTTATAAGTCTAGAACTTCCCAGGTGCAAAAACGTAGGGGTCATAACTGAAGAGCTATAGTCTGCTCATTTAAATTATTGATTGGCAAGTTGGAAACTTTCAGCTATCATTACAATGTTTAGTCACTTAATTATTATCAATAGCTTTTTTCTTTTTTTTTTTTTTGGCTGATCCTGAGGCTGGAACTCAAGGTCTGGGCACTGTCCCAGAGCTTTTTGGCTAAAGGCTAGAGCTCTACCATTTGAGCCACAGCTCCACTTCTGTCTTTTTGGTGTTGAACTCAAAATAATCTCATGGACTTTCCTGCCTGGGCTGGTTTCAAACCATAATCCTCAGATCTCAGCCTTCTGAGTTGCTGGAACAATAGGTGTGAGCCACTAGCGCCTAGCTACGAATAGCTCTTGAACAAATCATAGAATTTCATAATTGAAAGGATCTTTGAAGATTTCCAAGGAAGGATGAAAGGTGAGCAGATGCAGTCATAATATTCAATATATATAGGTGAAATTGGAGCTAGGTAAATTGAGGGGATGGGGGGGTTGGGAGAGCTGGGAGAGAATAATGAATTGGGTGACATTGATTAAGGTGTATTATACTCACAAACAACATGATGAAATGAAACCCCTTAATAGAACTACTAAGGATAACAAACAACAAACCTAAAAATGTTAAAAGAAAACCATAAAATAGTTTGATATAAAATAGTTCGGTCATGTGTTAGTGGCTCACTTCTGTAAACCTCACTGTTCAGGGGGGTGAGTCCTGAGAATCACAGTTCAAAGCCAGTCAAGGCATGAAAATTCACAAGATTCTTATCTCTAATTAACCACCAAAGTGCTAGAATTCTCTGGCTTAAGTGGTAGAGAGCAAAAAAAGCTCAAGGGCAGTGCCTAGGCCCTGAGTTCAAGCCCTGAGACCAGGACTAGAATCCAAAACTGAGCCCTTGCAAAGTATCTTTGTCATATAGTTGTTTTTGCTTTGAAGTAGACTATCCGGTTTGAAAGTAATTTTATCTAGGCTTTATAAGAGACTAAATGCTTTTGCCTGGAAATTGAATTCTCCTGAAATTAGATACTGGCACATCTGGTTTTCCAATGTTTCATTAGAAAGTACTTTTCACAAAGAGAGCCCATATTTACTAGGCTATACTTACCCATTGTAGGAATCTGCTACGACTTTTTGAGGTGCCATAACAGAGGGCAGAGTAATTTCCTCAAAATTTGAGCAGTTTTCTAAATCACAGACACACACCTAGGAAAACAAAAACACATAAATAAGATCAAAGTCCATTCTCTGTTTACCAACACTTTCCTGAGCCTCTGTCCTGTGCATGGAACTGTGATAATCACACTTTTCAGATCAAACGAAAGAAGACAACATTTAAAGTTAGTGAAATCATGGGCTGGGAAGGTGGCTCAGTGGCAAAGTGCTTGCCTTACATGCATGAGGCCCTGGGTTCGATTCCTCAGCACCACATAAGCAGAAAAAGCCGGAAGTGGCACTGTGGCTCTAGTGGTAGAGCACTAGCTTTGAGTTGAAGAGCTGAGGGACAGCGCCCAGGCCCAGAGTTCAGGCCCCAGGACCAAAAAAAAAAAAAAAAAAGTTAGTTAAATCAGTATACACCTACAATCCCAGCAATCAGGGGGCTGAGTCTGGAAGATTCTGAGTTCAGGGCCAGGTGACATAGCAAGACTCTGTCTTAAAAAGGGAAGTAAGAGGATTGGAGCAATAGCTCATATCTATAATTACAGCTACTTGGAAAGCAGAGATTGGGAAGACTGCAATTCTGGACCAGCCTGGGGAGAAAGTAGCAACACCCTCATCTTAACCAATAAACCAGGCATGGTGGCAAACATGTGAGGTCTCAGCTACACGAGAGACACAGATAGAAGGACAATGATCTGAAGCTAGCCTGGGCAAAAAAATGCACAAAAAAATAAGTAAAAGCAAAACAGTGTGGGAATGTGGCTTAGGTAACAGCACACCTCTTTAGCAAGTGCTAGGCCTTGAATTCAAATCCCAGTATCGCAAAAAATAAAAATTACAAAAGTTAAAATGAAGAAGGTTAATATTCTATGTTGTAAGCTTATGGGCCTCCAGCTATAGTTACACCTTTCAAAGACATAGAACATAAAACATATCTCAGGACTGGTTACTAAAGTAACCCTGCTTTTTGAATAATTCAAATCAACTTTTCCTATGACAGGCAATGATAACACAGATGAAGTATCACTAACCGAAACTATGACTGTTTTCACACCTGGTGAACTATTTTCATACCTGTGAAAATAGAACAATGATCTTCTTGAAGTTGGTTTGGGAAAGGGGAGAAGTGGGGAGGAGGGAGGGTAGTGGAGGGGATGGATCTAATTAAGGGCCATTGTCAGCACATCTAGACATATCAAAATCAAACTCCCTTGTGCAACTAATTATCACAAATAAAAATATAAAACAAAGCCTAGCTACTCAGGAGGCTGAGATCTGAGGATCTTGGCTAAAAACCAACCCAGGCAGAAAAGTCCGTAAGACTCTTATCTCCAATTAACAACCAGAAAAATGGAAGTGGACCTGTAGCTCAAAGTGGTAGCACATTAGCCTTAAGCAAAAGAGTTCAGGGACAGCATCCAGGCCCTGAGCTCAATCTCCACAACTGACCAAAAAACAAACAAACAAAGAACAAACAACTGACTATGGGAAGTGAGGACTAGCATCAATAAATGCTTGGCCCCCTGTGGATTCGATCTAGGACTCAGTGCTATTCTACTGGCTTAAAGTACTCAGTAGGTATGTATGTATTGAATATGAGAATTGTGTTTAATTGTTAATATAACAAGACACAATATCAGTAATAGCTAGTTATTCAATTTTAATTCTCAGTCTCACCAGTTCATCCATGATGAAATACATTCTCTGGTAAAGCCAGTCTATGGAGATGGAAGAAATTAATCCTGAACCTCTGTAGAAAATTCTCAGGTCAGACATATCAGACATATTAGCAACCTCCTTCACCCATATGAGAAATCCTTCAGAGAAATAAACAGTTTCCCGCTGGACATTAACTGATATTCCTAGAAGACCACAAAAATACACACATATTATTAAATAAAAACCAAGACAGAAGAAAACCTAATATTAAAGAGATTTTATTTATGTAATATTAAATAATGAGATTGAAATAAAGGTGGTATTTTTTTGCAGAAAATATTCTTCCAAATTCCCCAAATTCACTTTAAATGGTATATTGTACAAATGTTCTTAAGAGCATATTCTTTAAATATTAGAAAAAAAAGATTTGGATTTTGTTTTGTAAGGGGTTGGGAGTTGTTGGGTGTGTGTGTGTGTGTGTGTGTGTGTGTGTGTGTGTGTGTGTGTGTGAGCCCAAGGGCTCATACACGCTAAACATATGTTCTAGCACTGAACTACATCCCTTCTCAGATCCAAAACCGTTTTTTTAAATATCCTTCTACTCTAGAAATATTTCTTGCAGAAATTTCAAATCTTTCTTTTAACAATAAAGAACATTTCTCTCTATTATACTGACCTGTAATATTACGGTAGATAATATCAGACCAAAGGCAGCGTGCTTCATCTACTAAGTGTTTTAAAGATCTCTTCCTTAATGAAGTTTTTCTGGATAAAAAGAGCCATTGCTCCTCTTCTTGAACTGCAAAATGATATAAGTTATAAACAGGCATATTAAATGCACACTAACACCAAAAATATAACAATTCTTCAAATCAAAGAAAATGGTACTTGAAAGAGACTGCTGAGCAAGTTTTCTCTGAAGATAAGACATTTATCTGTTGTACAGTCCACATTAGTAACTATTAATAATAATCCATGATGAAGAGTAAGAAATACAATAGCATTCAAGTAGGACCCATGTGTCCTGCTTTTAAGAACCCCCAAAATAACAATTCTCAGTATCCATGCCCCTGTAGGAGCTCAGTTCATTATCCCTAGCTGTGAGAATTTACTTGGTGGAAGAGGTCCAGCCTCTGCCAGAGTAGCTTGTTGGACTCTCGCATATACACAGACAATGATTGTCTCTGTCTTGCCCTCTATACTTCTTTGAGGCAAGAGGAAAGTCCTTAGGAATAAAATTTAAGGGCTGCAGAAATCTACATGATGTTCTTTTTTTTTTTTTTTGGTCGGTCGTGGGGCATGAACTCTGGGCCTGGGCACTGTCCCTCAGCTCTTCAGCTCAAGGCTAGCGTTCTACCACTTGAGCCACAGCGCCACTTCCAGTTTTCTGGTGGATAAGAGTCTCATGGACTTTCTTGCCCAGCTGGCTTTGAACAATGATCCTCAAATCTCAGCTTCCTGACTAGCTAGGATTACAGGTGTGAGCCACCAGTGCCTGGCTTACATAAAGCTCTTTTCAACTGGACTGATGTAGAATCATAGGTGATAAACACTTCAGGGACAATTGATAATTGATATGCAATAATCACCTAACAATTTTAACATGTCTCTATATTTAACTTGCTCTTTGGACATGCTTCTTGCATAATAAGCATGCCTCTTCTTCCCTGGAGTCTGGGAAGAGCCAAAAAAATCTAAAGACTGGTGACAGATGACATTCAATACTCCACTGGCAGAGGTGTGGAAAAAGATGGTCAGATCAGCAAATGAAAATAGAAAACAGACTCCTAGAACTCTGAGTCCTTGAATGGTACTCAACATTCTTTACCAATTAAAAAAAGCTAATTGTCTTAGAAAGCACTTTCATTTCTTCTTTCATGAATACAATAAGCACTCAAACAATCAAGGCAATTTTTAAAATTCTAAAGCTAAAGAAAAAAGGAAAGGGGTGATGCTAGTCAAAAAGAAACGTCCTCATTACCTGACTTATGTAACTGTCACCCCTCTGTACATCACTTTATAATAAAAATTGAAAAAAGGAAAAAAAATAAAAGTAATCGACTCCCCCTAAAAAAACTATTTAGAAAAATACCAAAATATAATTTGGCAGATTAAATATAACAAAGTGACAGTGTATAATATTAAAGTTCATCAGATATAAAGCCATTAAGAAGACTTAAAACATATATGATATGACTTAAATGGAAATTGATCATGTAAATTAAGGGTTAGGACAGGTGATTATATAACTCCTGGGTAACTACAAATCACAGGCCAATGAGTTCAACTGAAAACTAGGATTGGTTTGGAGCCACTTTTTTGGGGGGGGGGGTCAGTCATGGGGCTTGAACTCTGGACCTGGGAGCTGTCCCTGAGCTCTTCAGCTCAAGCTAGCACTCTACCACTTAAGCCAAGCACCACTTCCAATTTTCTGGTAGTTTATTGGAGATAAGAGTCTGATTTTCCCTCCCTGTGCAGGGTTTGAACCGCGATCCTCAGATCTCAACCTTCTGAGTAGCTAGGATTAGAGGCATGAGCCACCAGCACCCGGCTGCAGCCACTTTTTTAATATCCTTAATTTTTTTTCTGTTTTTTTTAATACCTAATTCCTAATGTGAAATTTTTCAATATAACCTTTTATTTATTTACTTTTTATTTTTTGTAGTCCTGGGGTTTGACTCAGGGCCTGAGCACTGTCCCTGAGCTTCTTTTGCTCAAGGTAGCACTCTACCACTTCAGCCACAGTGCCACTTGTGGCTTTTTGTGTTTATGTGGTACTGAGGAAATGAACCCAGGGCTTCATGCATGCTAGGCAAGCCCTCTACCACTAAGCCACATTCCCAGCCCTCCTTTTTATTTTTAAAATATTTATATTTATATTGAAAACTCAAGCAAGGTGCTGGTGGCTCATGCATGTAATCTAACTATTCAGGAGGCTGAAATATGAAGATCATGGTTCAAAGCCGGCTGGGGCAGGAAAATCTGTGAGACTTTTATCTCTAATTAACTACCAAAGAAAAGCTAGAAGTGGAGCTGTGGCTCAAGTGGTAGAGTGCTGGTCTTGTGCAGAAAAGCTCAGCACCCAATCCCTGAGTTCAATCCCAAGACCATCACAGATAAATGCATTGAAAATGTATCAAGTTATTAAAAAATATATTATGCAAATACAGAAAAGAGAGAATCTGAGGTCTACCAGTTGATTGGTGACCACTGAAATCTGACCCTATCCTGGCTATCCTTTGTTCCTGTGTCACAAAAGGAGCAACCCTGAGCAGTACCTGCTGGAGATGAAGTGGTAATATTAGATTCTGCTTCTGGCCCCTCACCAACTCCATTGACTGCGGCAATAGAAAACCTGTTCCAAAAACAATTTGCAGAGATGTGTTTCACATGGCATAGTGTGAACATGAGATACAAACAGATGGAGCAGTGACATTTCTATTTAAAGGAAGATGTGGTAATGCCTATATCTAGTTACTGAGTGTCACCGCTCAGCACTAGAATGACCATCCATCACACCCTTGTTTACATTCCCCACAGAACAGTTCAGGGTCGCTGAGGTCAAAAAACTGAACTCTGCTATCTGCATGACCCCCATTTCTCCCCTAATTTAGGTAGCCCTTAGTAAATGCCAGAGAAGCTAATGATAATAAAATAATCTCTAGTGGTTAATAAAGATACCGTTAACCAAGTTTTACCGCCTTAATTTTTTTTCATGTTGAGTTAAAATAAGAATGGTATTTGTGGTATTTATGACTTCATTAACTCATATTTATAAGGATCCTTGAATATAATAGAAACAGTTGAGAATAATTTTGTTTGGCCATGTGTGATCTAATAAACATAGAAGCTTGAAATAAACTTCAACTTTGACTCAACAGCACAGTCAGTGACATTGATCAAGATATATTTAGTCTACTTTTCAGCTACATTTCTTCAACACTTGACTTGCCTTCAGTCATGCTAACTGCAATTCTCTGTGTGCCACTTTAAATTCTTACCTGTATGTGGTGTTTGGGAGAGTAGAATAAAACTGGAAACTAGTTCTCTGTGTCCCTGAGTCTAATTTTTGATTTTTGCTAATCAGCCTTAAATTATAACCCAAAATAGGTCCACCTGGGAATTGAGGTGGAGCCCAACTGACTTCCACAGTATCAGGACTTGAACTTTCTATGTTGTTAATGAAAGGAGCCGTTTCAGGAACTGGAAGAGACAAGGATGATATAGTGAGCATAAAAATGTACATGTTTTATGATCCAAGAACAGAATAGAAAAAAAAGGACCTGATTTTTAAAGAGCTGACTGCAGCAATAATGCTTTTATTAATATATAAAACATTTGAAAATACACTGGGGCACAATAAATTATACAGGACACTAGGCATTTACATACAGTGAGACCAAAACAGAAGTGGAACACTAAAGTGCAATGCTTATGTACATCTGGTCATATAAAATAATATTTATCAAAAGGAACTCTAGGAAATGGAAACAAGATAGGTTTTTCTTTGTTGCTGTTTTTCTTTACTTTGCTTTTTGTCTTCTTTGTTTGTTTATCTGTCTTTGGAAAGGTAAAAGTTACACAAAAATGGTGGGACAAAGGATGAACAAAAGCAGCAGTGGTACCCACCAGACATCACGTTGAAATGAACTTATACAACGTGTGGATGGGGATGGGGAAAGAGTAAGGGAAGGGGTGACATTATCCAAAAAGAAACGTACTCATTACCTGACTTACGTAACTGTACCACTTTGTACACTTGTCACTTGTACCACTTTATAATAACAATAAGGTGGTAAAAAGTCATATGCCCGGTCTTAAAATACTCCATTTATGTACTAACATTATCCAAAAGACTTTTTGAAATGTTATTTTCCTCATTTCTAGTTCATGAAATTACTTTCTGAAATGAAATGTTGAAGTAGACAAATAGAATAAATATTCTACACCCAGACTTGTCAGAAATCTCTAGAAATCTAAATGAATTCAATCGTGGGATGGAAGCAGGTAGAGAAGAAGAGAAGCTGAGCAATGAGTCAATAATTAACATGAATTGAGAAAGGCAGGACCTGGGGCCTTTTCACTCACTGTGCAGTGGCCTGACTGGTTGCGGCTGGAGATGTGGGTTCAGATAAGCTGGAATTCGACTAGACAGGTCTCCTTCCCTCCTGTTACCACCAGCTCTGATGACCCAGGCTCCACCTTTCTTACTAGCCCCACCACTAAAGTCCCTGGGAATCCAGCCTTGACTGAGCTTCAGTGGCACTTGACCCTCAGAAAGTTTGAAAGGAGCATGAATTAAATGATGAAGCATTTACTGACTCATTCTATGTGCTACGTGCCACCAAAGTGGCACAGAATAAAAAGGCAAACAAATGATCTAACAGCTGGGCTTCTATGCAGTCGTCTACCTACTTTCCATACCTCGGCCACCTAAAACCACATGCTTGAATTCTCTCTTCATAGAAAAAAGAAAGGCATTCATGTCACTCTGTCCTTGACTAGCCTTTTCTCCTAGTGAATACTTGTGGCAAATGTTCTATATTGCTGGTGGCCATGGAGCTGGCAGAAATAAGACAGTTCAGCCCTCACACTGGATGTCTCAGAAAGGCCTTGTTTGGGGGGGAGGGTCGGTCATGGGGCTTGAACTCTGGGCCTGCACACTGTCACCAAGGCTAGCACTCTACCAACTGAGCCACAGAGCCACTTCCAGCTTTTTCTGCTCATGTGGTGCTGAGGAATCGAACCCAGGGCCTTATGCATGTGATGCAAGCACTCTACCACTGAGCCACATTCCCAGTCCCTCAGAAAGGCCTCCTAATCAGTCTCTCCCTTTTCTCTGATACAATCTCTCCCAAACTCTCAGATGTGTGACAAATATAAACATCTTTTCATTACAACTCAGCTCTGTGTACTGCGTCACTTTTGGGAACAGAAGAGGAGAAGCCACATTCCACGGAATTAGAAAGTCATCAAAAACACATTAGAAGCAAGATACTGGAGTCTCATGCCTGTAATCCTAGCTACTCAGGAGGCTGAGATTTGAGGATCATGGTTTGAAACCAACCTGGACAGGAAAGGCCATGAGACTCTTACTTCCAATTAACCACCAGAAAACCTGAAGTGACACTATGGCCCAAAGTGGTAGATCACTAGCCTTGAGTGAAAGAGCTCAGCAACAGTGTCCAGGCCCAGAGTTCAAGCCCTACAAGCAAACAAACAAAAACAAAACACTATACACATTAGGATTACACTCAGACAAGATCTGCTCCACTTCAAACAACTTAAAACACCACCTACATGGCAAGATGCAACAATTGTTCAAATGTCTCTAATGTAACTTCTACATTTATATTTTAGATCTCTCTAATCGATCCTAAGTTTCAAATTCATAAATTAACTGTGTCCTTGGCACCTTTAGTTATCTGATAAGCATCTCAAATTTTACTTGGCTAAAAAAGATCTTTTTTAAAAAAAATTTCTGCCTAGCAAATTTCTGCCTACATCTCAATAAATGCCAACATTTGGATATTCAGACTGAAAATTTAAGTTTTCAAGGTAGATCTTTTATCCTCTTCACCAAATCCATCCTGCAATCCCATTAGCCATGTCCTCAAAATACACATCAAAGCTTTATACCTCCTCCACCATGATCATCATAACCAGAGCTACTGCTATCACTTGCTTGGACTCCTAACTGCCCCCATGTTTGCCTTGGGCCCAGTCCTAGACTATCTGTTCTCTACTCAACAGCTACACTAAAATTCAAACTATCTGAGCCACCTTGTTATTTAAGATGTTAGGCCATTGTTGCAGGTATGGCTGGTGAAGATCTTTTCCTAGTCTGTTGGCTGCCTTTATAGTTTGGTGACCATGTTCTCTGTTGCACAGAAACTCTTTACTTTGATACAATCACATTTGTCAGGTCTCTCCTATTTGCTGTGCCCCTGGGAGTATCTTCAAAAAGTTTCTGCCAATGGCTGGGAATGTGGCTCAGTGGTAGAGTGCTTGCGTAGCATGCATGAAGCCCCAGGTTCGATTCCTCTATACTACATACACAGAAGAAGCTGGAAGTGGCACCACAGTACAAGTGGTAGAGTGCTAGCCTTGAGCAAAAGAAGCTCAAGGACAGTGCTCAGGCCCTGAGTTCAAGCCCCAAGACTGGCAAAAAAAAAAAAAAAAAAAGGTTCTGCCTATGCCAGTAATTTCTAAATAATTTTGTTGATTATGAAAAATAAAAAATAAAGTATCTGAGCCAGTCCTTTTCCTGATTATAACTCTCCATGCATAGAATAATATGCATGCTGCCATGCATAGAATAAAATCTTCACCTTGACATCACAAACATTGTGGCTATATATTACAGGGTCTCTTGGCTATTGTCATATCTCAACTCCTCCTCTTCACCTAGCTCACTTCCTTCTTCCTGGAAAACTCCTTCCAAAGATATTTTCATATCATCTTTTCTGAACAGAGAGGCCTTTCCCACCAGTCTTCCATATGAGATAGGTCTCCTCCTCAAGCATTCTTTATCACTTTTCCTGCTTAGCACTAACACCTATGTGAAATTATACCTCATTGGTTAATGACATGTTTCCTTATTCCTCATGCCATATCTCCCCATGAATCTATTGTAAATACTCGTGTGTCTTACCCAGCCCTAGATTTCCCCATAGAGAAAGATAACTAGCTACCTATGCTGTCAGTAGCTTTTGCACCATGATTCTCTTCTAAGGGAAGTAGTAAGTCAGATGTCTTAAAAGAAAGGTTGGTCCCCAATCCACAAGAAGCCAGCACTGTCTGATCAGCAGAATTAAGCTTTCTCTTAGCCAGGTGCTGGTGGCTCACACCTGTAATCCTAGCTACTCAGGATCCTGGCTGAGATCTGAGGATCACAGTTCAAAGCCAGCCCAGGTAGGAAAGTCTGTGAGATTTTTATTTCCAATAAACCACCAGAAAACCAGAAGTGGTGCTGTGGCTCAAGTGGTAGAGCGCTCGCCTTGAGCTGAAGAGCTCAAGGAAAGCTCTCAGGCCCAGAGTTCAAGCCCCACAGCAGACCAAAAAAAAAAAAAAAAAAGAATTAAGCTGTCTCTAAAGAGCATTGCTAGTTCTCAAGACAAAAACGGAGATTAGGAAGTTAGCAAATTCATCTCAGTTTTGTTCATGCTAAGTCATATTATCCAACATAATCTTCATCAGAGATAATGGTGGTAGTCTGCATTTATCTATAGGCTCTCACAATTTTTTCTTTCATTAGTTTTGAACTTGGACTAGTAAAGATGTTATTTATTGCCTCTCACAACCCCAAACAAATACTTGTACTTAATCTTTGGTCTGCCTATCTACCCTCAAAATAAAGCTCCGAGAATGTCAGGAATTTAGTTTCTAGAACAATGTCTGGTACACAATAGCTGCTTAAGGAATACTTGTAGACTAAGTGAGGAAAACAACCAAGTTTCCAAGAAAAAGGTAAGTAAGGAGCCAAATATTTTCACAGATTTCATTGCTACACAGCCAAAGAAGTTCATAGCCTAGGTAAGAAAAAGTCTAAAATTTGCCTCAACAAATGAATATAAAATCATCCACTATCACCTCTTGGCAACTCGCACCTGAGTCACTACAATGGCCTCCTCCCAGATTTCCCTGTTTCTGCCCACACCCCAGAGTTCCTTCTCTATACAGCAGCCAGAACGACCCTGTAACTTACTAAGAGGCTCACAGCAGATTTATTTCCTTATTTAAAACAAAAACAAACTAAACCAGAGCTGAGAAATACTATTCTTATTTCATAAACAATGTATGCATGCCATACCTCCATAAGGATGAGTCCTGTAGCTGGGACTTGGGGGAGAATAAAGCTGAAGCTGGGCTGTGAAGATCCAAACCACTCGGAAAATGTACTCAGTGAAGGGATGTAGGGATTCCACCATGTATGAGAGCTTGGACACAGTCTAGATCCATGAGAAATTAATTATCAGCCTTTACTGAATCACTCCAACACATTGGAACAGAAGAACACAGATTAATTTGCAAAAGATGGATGGACTTTTGAAGACTGAGCCATCAAGATCCCACCACACAAGGTAATATAGAACTATCCAGAAATCAGTCTGCAGAACTCACCCAGAAATTCTCTCCTTCCTCAAATTAGTGAAATTAAGGATTCAATTATTTGGCACTTAAAATTTTACTTAAAATTTGACACACTAATATACTTGGTGTCTTAGAACTATTTTAAATTCTAATCTTGCTCATATTTTCCTAAAACTGATCTTCTGGAAAAACTACCCTAACACAGTACTTCTAAACTAGAATAAAACCCTGTGAGAATCTTCTTCCTGCCCTCCATCCACATAAAGTCACTGTGGGAAGGGGACAGGTAATGGTGAATGAGATGAATGATCATGTGATTTTGTACTGAAAGAATTGAGGTGCGGCTAATAATATATTTTCCTAATAATATTTGACAATTGACTCCAGCTAATTGAAACTTCAGAAATCTAAATCTTCTATAAGGGAGGACACTGTTGTTATATGTAATATAAATAATTCAGTCTTTGTTTAAATAGAAAGGCAACTTTGTTAGCCGGACATTGGTGGCTCCTGCTTATACTCCTAGCTACTCAGGAGGCTGAGATCTGAAGATCACGGTTCAAAGCTAGCCTTGGCAGGAAAGTCCGTGAGACTCTTAGCTCCAAATAATCACCAAAAACCAGAAGTGGTGCTGTGGCTCAAGTGGAAGAGAGCTCGCCTTGAGCTGAAGAGCTCAGGGACAATGCTCGGGCCTAGAGTTCAGGCCCCATGACAAAAGAAAGAAAGAAAGAAAGAAAGAAAGAAAGAAAGAAAGAAAGAAAGAAAGAAAGAAAGAAAGAAAGAAAGAAAGAAAGAAAGAAAGAAAGAAAGAAAGAAAGAAAGAAAGAAAGAAAGAGGGAGGGAGGCAGGGAGGGAGGGAGGAAGGGAAGGGCAGGCAACTTTGCATACCTCTGTGTAAGTCCAGCTGCCTGGAAGTTGTGCATATTTCCATTGAATGATATATTTTACTCCAGAGATGTTAGCAGGTTTCCATCGCAGTGCCACACTATGGCTTCCAATGGAAGATGCAAACGGTGCTGAAGGAAGTTCTGTGTCTTCTGGAGAGGAAACAATATCTCACTTACCACACACTCCTGTTCAACAGAACAGGATGGAGTGTGCCCTCTTGACCCGGGGCCCTGTGCATTCATTCTCCTACTGTAGTAACTCACCTGCATAGTAAACAGAAGCACATATTGGAGGCAGACTTTTTCTTTTCTTTTTATAGACAGGTAGTGTGGAAGGTGCTGAGACCGTTTATCTTAGGGAACCACTTTCTTTTTTTTTTTTGGTCGGTCATGGGGCTTGAACTCTGGGCCTGAGCTCTACCACTTGGTGCTTCAGCACCACTTCCGGTTTTCTGGTGGTTTATTGGAGATAAGAGTTTCACGGACTTTCCTGCCCAGGCTGGCTTTGAATGGTGATCCTCAGATCTCAGCCAGAATCCTGAGTAGCTAGGATTACAGGCGTGAGTCACCAGCGCCTGGCTGACAGGGCATCATTTTTTTTACATGCAAGGGAAGCAGATGCCAAAAGCATGTCTGTGGCATAGAAAAATCATCCATCATCCCAAAAGTATTTTGAAATTTTATACTGTAATTCTACTATCACTGCTCTTCTTTTCAACAATTTATTTGGTATATGTACAAAACTACTGCGTTATCAACTGCAGTACATCTACAATGACAGCTGAAGAAAGTTGAGGCTTAGAGTGACTGCAATAATTATTGTAGCACTGCAATTATCCTGAAAATGTCTTCAAATTCCAAACATCAAAAGCCAAAGAAACACCATTATTGTCTTAATGCAAAAGACTCTGTACTCTGCTCTTTTGTATTACAAAATATGTCGTGACTTCTAAACATTAGAGACATGATCATTTGTGGTATATGTTTATTGGGTGCTATTTGCTGGATACAGTATTAATTAAATACACTGGAATAAAATTTATCTTATTTCAGCTTTTCTATTTTTCCAAAGATGTTGGGTTGGGAAGGTGGCTCAGTGGTAGAGCGCTTGCCTTGCATGCATGAAGCCCTGGGTTCGATTCCTCAGCCCCACATAAGCAGGAAAAAAGAAAAAAAAAAGCTGGAAGTGGCACTGTGGCTCAAGTGGTAGAGCACTAGCCTTGAGCTGAAGAGCTGAGGGACAGCGCCCAGGCCCAGAGTTCAGGCCCCATGACCAAACCAAAGATGTGATTAATGTAATTCTTACATTTTTTTTTAGATTTAACAGGAAAAAACACTATACTGATTGAGAAAAATGTGGTAGATTTGTTAGGGAGATTAAAATGAATGGTGAAATACAAATCCCTAGGAATTCATTCTTTTACATGAAAACAAATGCAATTCTCATCATTACATATAATGAATTAAAGTCTATACTCTAAAATCCAGGAAAACTAAAGTCATTGTTATCTGAGAGCTCAACCTGCAAAAAAAAAAAAGCCTGACACAATCCTTCTCCATTGAGTTCTGTATTAGCAGTTCATTTGGGACACTGACCACTATATAAAACAAAGCACCTCTACTTTTTTCTATTATTATGATGCATGCTACAGACCTCTGGAAGAGAGGTTCAATATAAAGTTGACAACAGATAAGGAAAGATAACTTGTAGGCATTAGCAATGAGACACATTGAAGGCAGAATAGAAAAACCAGTTTTATAAGCATAAGTAAATGTAAATTTCATAGCTGAACATAGATACATTTCAAAGCTATGGTGATACATATGGAAAATCAGAGCTAAAAGTATATTTATTCTAAAATAAGATAGTTAAATGGAATGAGTTGAATGGAACAAGGTACTTTTGAGACATGGCACATGGTTATGGAAAGGTTCTGTAGCCAGGTGCTTGTGGCTCATTCCTGTCATACTAACTACTCAGGAAAGTGAGATGTGAGGATTTGGGTTCAAAGTCAACTAAGGCAGTAAAGTCCATGAGACTCTTATCTCCAGTCAACCACTGAAAAGCTAAAAGAATAGCTCAAGTGGCAAAGCATTAGCCTTGAGGGGAAAAGAAAAAAAAAGCTCAGGGACAGCACATAGGCCCTGAGTTCAAGCCCCAGAACAAGAGCACACACCCACAAAAAAGGTTCTGCAGTCAAACAGCTGGGTGGCAATAGCAGCTGTATCTCTTATCATCTATCCAACCCCAAGAAAACATGTAAACTTTATGCTTCAATTTTTTAAATTTATTTTTATTGCAAAGGTGATGTACAGAGGGGTTACAGTTACATGGGTCAAGTAATGAGTACATTACTTTTTGAACAGTGTCACTACTTTTCTCCCAATTCAATTTTCTTCTCTGTTGTAATAATAGGATTTATAACTCTGAAGATAAAAGCTGCTTCTTATAAATTAATGGGAACAGTGTCTGACAAAAATTCCTAATAAAAATATCTCTTGTTATTTTAGTGTGTTATTGGCTATTATCATTTCTTACCATGTGGAAAAGGACATGAACAATCTAAAATCTAACATGTAATAAGACAACAGAGCCATAAGTAAATGGGTGAAGTAACAGATGCATTAGTAACAAATGAAGTCTTAGCTCATGTGCAAAATGATTCATTATAAAAACCTAAAGATAAGGTGACATTGTCCAAAAAGAAATGTACTCTTATCTGGGCACCAAGTGCTCATGCATGTAATTCTAGCTACTCAGGAGGCTGAGATCTGAGGATCACAGTTCAAAGGCAGCCCAGGTAGGAAAGGCCATGAAACTCTTATCTCCACTAAGAAAATCAGAAGTGGCTCTGTGGCTCAAGTGGTAGAGAGCTTGCCTTGAGCTGAAAAACAGAGACAGCACCCAGGCCCAGAGTTCAAGCCCCATGACTGACATTAAAAAAAAGAAATCTACTCTTTACCTGACTTATGTAACTCTAATCCCCCTGTACACCACCTTTATAATAACAATAAAGATTTTAAACCCTAAAGATAGGGTCTGTATGCTCCAATGTGCTGGTCCTAGGGTTTGAACTCAATGAACTTTTATGCTTAAGGCTAGTACTCTACCATTTGAAACACAGCACCACTTCCAACTTTTTTGTAGTCAATTGGGTATAAGGCTCATGGATTTTCATGACCAAGTTGGTTTCAAACCATGATCTTCATATCCCAGCCTCCTGAGTAGCTAGGATTACAGGCATGAGCCATTTGCACCTGTCTCCAATGCTTTCATATCTAGACTTAGCACATCTCATTTGTTAGTGGTACATAGACTTTATTCCATAGCTGATGAGAAATTACAATAAAGCATTGATTATACTCATACTCTAAAAGAATTATATAAACAAATTGTTAAGACAATTTTACACTATCCACCTAATATTGCATAGTTACTGGGAAGGGTTGTTGTTTTTCTTTGTCAGTCACAGGACTTGAACTTAGGGCCTGGGCACTGTCCCTTAGTACTTTCAGTCAAGGCTAGCACCCTATCACTTTGAGCCACAACTTTACTTCCAGCTTATTTGGTAGTTAAATGGAGATTCTTATCTCTAATTGTCTCAGGGACTTTCCTTCATGGGCTGGCTTCAAACTGTGATCCTCAGATCTCAGCCTCCTGAGTATCTATGATAACAGGCATGAGCCGCTGGTGCTCAGCTCTCTATAAATATTTTTTTTATTCTACTGAAATGTAGAAGCCAGAATATTTGAAGAGGTTCTTCATTATTCTTTCATAAGAACAAGCCCTGGAGAGGCTTCATTACTGGTTGAGTGTGTTTCCTTACCTAGTACTTGATCTTCATGGGCACCTTCTGCAATGCTACAGCCAACATCACATGACTCTCGCTATGGAAGAAAGACATCATGTGAATCAACGTAGCCTTAGTGCTAACATTGCTGATAGGCTTCCAACTACAACTTGATATTTGAACATCTCTTATGCACGTGTATCTTCATATCTAAAAATCAATTTTTAAAACTTAAGAGTTCCTACTTGTTAATGGGATTTGAAAAAGTATTTCCCTATTTTTGACCATGTTTCACAGATTTTTTTTTTTAAAAAAAAAGGTAGAAGGAAGGGAGGAAGGAAGGAAAGAAGATAGGAAAACAAGGAAGGAAGGAAGGAAAAAAAGACTTGAAGCAAAAGCACACATTGTAAAAAACTATGATCAATTTCCCTGCTTTCCTTCAATTTATAATCGCAATAACTGGGAAAACACACTATGTATTTATTCTCTTAAAACAAAGGTGTAGCTGGCAAATACAAACTTTGATGTTTGTGCACTAAAAAGAAATGGAGCCTGATAAGCTCAGGTTTGCTTAGTTGAGGATTAATTGAAATACATTCATTTAGCCTCAGGATTTTTTTTTTTTTTTTTAGCCTCAGGATTTTTTAACTGAAAGGTTTAATGTACTTTTCACACTCTCTTTGGACATTTTAGTAAACACATATTTAGCACATCCATTAACTGCAAATGGAAGCAAACCAAGTGGTAATTAGAAAGTACGATATAACATGATTTCCCCCCTCTGGAAAGAAAACTGAGGAAGGAAAAAGGAGACACATTGGGAAATACAGATTGTTTGCAAATGTAGCTAGTTCAGACAAATGGAGGAAATTGTGGCTGCTTTTCCTGTATTTTTTTCAGGGAAAACACAGTAAAATTTCCATATCTGGACATTTAAATATTATTTCACGTGGAGGTAAAGGTAGCAATGAGGCTGCCTCACAGCTCCGCTCACCTGACTTCACATGAGGTTACCAAGTATTTCTCAAGTTTGAGTTGCCTGGACAGAATTTCAAAGTGGTTAGATCTTAGAATTGGAGCCAGAAGCCCCTGGAAGGGACATTTATGCAGCGCCTTCCCGATGCTGAGCTGCATTCCCCTGTAGCAGCCAGGTCTCCTCTGCCCAGGGGCTTTTCCAGCCTATGCCTCTGTGTCCATCCTCATTCATTTTCCCCACAGTAACTGCATTCTGTGTGTTCTCCCAGATCTACCCTGGGTTTCCTAGACTGGCATAGATGCTGACAGCCTTTTTTTCCTAGTGTGCATGACACAAGAAGACATATCTATCACTTTCCATATAAATTATCTTATTTTTTCCTAAAGACCATCCATTCATTCATTTAATCCATCACTAATATTTATTAAGTCCCTTTAAGGTGCCAAGCACTATACCACCAGAGATAAAGAAAAAATAGTTATCTCAACCAGAAGAGATGCTTAATTGCCTATTGGCATAAGGGATGTGTTTTCCCCTCAGTTTGAATATCTCCACTCTGCAGAGGAAGTTGCTCTGACTGTTGAAAATATTCCAATGCAATAATTTTGTTCTCTATGAAGTGGAAATTCTTCTTCTTTAGTAATGGATGCTATTTATATTCTGTCCCGTGCAGAATAAGATAGTTCTGTGTTTTTATTTCAAGGGCATTTAAACAGAACTGAAGTGTTAAAGTGAGAAAAAATACGGCTTCTTTGTATCAACTACTATCAAATAAACTTAATTCTGAGGAGATGAAATCAGGACAGATCATTATAGTGATGATGACTGAGTAGAAAAAGATCAAAGACTCCAAGGCTTTTCTTTGCTTCCTTTTGTGGGGGGAAGAAGGAGGATCCAAGATCAGAACTCGAACTCAGTACCTGCTGCTTTTGCTCATTGGCTATCACTCTACCAACTGAGCCACACCTACAACCTCCCCTCTACACAAGGCCTTTCTGAAGAGGAGAAATTTAAGTGTAGGAAAAGAGGGCAGAGAGGACCTTGGAGGAGAGCCAGAGTTATCAGAAAGTCACTTAGTATCAAAGCAGCCAGGGGGAGTGAGCAGGGACCTGTGTTTCAAAATGTTAGAAAAGGATTTTGTTGAATAATGAAGAAATTGAGTTAAAGAGTTTTCTTAATGAAATAGATTTCATGATAGAAAACTTTTGGTTTGGGAAAAGAAAACTCAGATTAGAGTAATACACAGTCAATCTATGCAGCAGCAGGGTTTACATAGGTAGATTCAACCAATTGATGGTCAAAAGTAGTTTTAATTATATCTTGATTAAACATGTACACATACTTTTTTCTTTTCTGTATGCTTCCAAAACAATACAGTATTCATATTGTATTAGATTAGAAGTAATCTAGAGATGACCTACAGTGTGTTGTACTCAGGTTCATTCTAATTACTGCACTTTTTATATAAGGGTCTTGAATATCCAAGGATTTTGGTATTCACAGAGGTTCCTAGAACTAAAGAATGAATGTATATTTCTATATGTAAATATGTGCATACACATGCATGTCCCGATATATTTTTATATTTATTCATTATATATTTATACATATTTAATGTACAAAGTTATATAAAACAACAAATATTTGTACCTACAATGGATGATGCAGTTTTTATGCCCAAAGTAGTATAATATTACCTAGGGAAGGCCTCTGTGTACTTAGATTGACTTCCATTTCTTCATTTTTAATTTTTTCTTTGCGTTTTTCTTTTGTCTGACACCAAGAGTCCAACTCAGTATGTGATGTTTCTGCTTATTGGCTAATGCTCTATCAAGTTAAGTCACACCTTCAATCCTTCTTAATTTAATAATTTTTTAAGGATTACAGGCAAATACATTGGTTTTGATAACATCTTTTTTGTATCAACTCACCTCGCAAATGGCAACATAGGTATCATTCTGCATAGAAAAAAGAAAGTAAAACTTACTTAAAATTCTGAATGTTATAATTTTAATGATACTTAGCTGTATATTTCCTCCAAATTAACTTCTTTCCCCACCATTGAGTTTTACAAAAAAAAAAAGAAAGCTAGCAACAACAATTAAAAAGGAACTCAGAGTTGTATAAACCTGTGTTCAGGCTTTTGTACAAAGAACTCTAAAAATTGTTATGTCACTGAAAAAAATGTCTACTAGAAATTTTTTTTATTGTGAAAATACCATACAGAGGGGTTACAATTATACAGGCAAGGTAATGAGTACATTTCTTATCCAGCATTGTTGCCTCCTCCTTTGTTTCCCCTTCCCATCCCTTCCCATCTTCTCCACCCACCCACCCTGCCCCATTTCCCTCTTCTAGAAATTTTGTGTTTGGTTTTGTTTCTTGTTGGCCATGGAGTCTGGGTTCTGTCCTTTTTTGCTCTAGGCTAGTGCTCTACTACTTTGAGCCACAGTGCTATTTCTGGTTTCTGGTGCTTAATTGGAGATAAAAGTCTCATAGACTTTCCTGCCCACGCTGACTTTGAAGCACGATCCCCAGATCTCAGCCTCCTGAGTAGCTAGGATTACAGGCATGAGTCACCGTCTCCTAGCTATACTAGAAATTTTTGATCAACTAAGGAAGAGTTATCTGTAACAGACCAGACTAAGGAATGGATTTAGAAGAGACTAATTGAAATGAAAACCATTAGTAGCTCTGTCTAGTAAAATCCAGCAGGCTCCTCTGCCCAGATTATTTGTCTGTCATTCACATTTCTTCCTGTATTGTTGCTTAGCAACGAAAGGTATTCTGCACTCTACACTCTGCACTCAGAGATATGTGTGCCCCACTCTGTGGTCAGTACAGGAGATATAATCTGAAAAAAGACTGGAGAGACAAATAACTAGATAAATAACTAATTAAGTGGCAGTTTGTGACAATTATATAGTAAATACTAAGTCCAGCATCAATTTGTGAGCATAAGTAACTCCTCTTACACATGTTCCTAAGAAACACATTAGATGAGAAAAAACTATGAAGACTCTGTCCAGGAGGGTTCAATATCCTTATTTAAAGTTCACTATCATAATTTGACTCATAATTAGGAAGCATCTTAGGATTACTATGATTCAAGTCTCTGTAACCTCCAATGAACAAGCTAAACAAAAGAACTCACTTTTTTTAATCTATCCTTAATTGAAACAGAGCACATATAAACATAGCAGATATACAGAAGTGTACATATCATATTTATTCAGATGTCAAATTTTCATATAACGGTCATAGTCAACAGAACTTTCCAGCCTCCCTTTTCCCCTACTTCCTTATTATTTTCACTCCATCCTGTCCAAGGTGACCATATCCTGAGCCTCATAGCACACACAGTCTGGTATGTATTGGTTTTTTTCTATCTGTGAACCATATGTAAGTGCATTCACTGTGTGCTCTTTGTGAATTTCATTTATTTTGATTTTTTTATTTTTGGCAATAGTAGGGTTTGAACACCATTCCCTTGCTAGGCAGGTGTTCTATCATGTTAGCCATACCTTCAACCCTCATCCTTCTCTATTAGAAAGACATTTTAAAAAATAAGTGCAAAAACTCCTATGTTCTAATTCTTTCAATCCTTTTTGCTTTTGCCAAAATAAATCACATATCATACGTGCGATGAAATATTCAGAGGAACCCACTTTCATATTATAAAATTTTCATCCACGAGGTCAAAATACTTATAACATTTCCAGCATTATCCTTAGGAATGAGGTTCCATTATTATACTGTTACTATTTTTTGTTTGTTTGTTTGTTTTTTGGGTCCGGTCATGGGGCCTGAACTCTGGGCCTGGGAGCTGTCCCTCAGCTCTTCAGCTCAAGGCTAGTGCTCTACCACTTGAGCCACAGCGCCACTTCTGGCTTTTTTTTTTTGCTTATGTGGTGCTAGGGAATTGAACCCAGGGCCTCAGGCATGCAAGGCAAGCACTCTACCACTGAGCCACCTTCCCAGCCCCTAAGTTACTATTGAGGAAAGCAATAAAAGCAATGAGTGAAAAAAAAAAAAAAGCAATGAGTGATATGCCGTAACTATGTTACACATTAAGTGGCCAAGCCAGACTAAATTAAAAATGAGAAATAGAGTATCTGGAATGCATAATGCATATTTTACATGATGTAGAGAAAACCAGGTGTTTGTGATCTCAGGGTTATATTATTACCATGTTCCCCTCAAAGAAACATTGAACATGAACATAACCTGCAGCTTCCTTCCCAAATTTTGGTCTAAGGATCACCAGCATCTCTCTCATCACTGGGAGCTTACTATATGCACAGAATCTCAGGACCCATCCAGGCCTACTGGTCAAAATCTGCATTTTAACAAGACCCTAGATAATCACACATAAAAACATGAGAAGTGCAGAACTAGGAAACTTAAGAAAGCTTCTACTAAGTTCTACTACAAGAACTTTATAGTTGGGGCTGGGAATATGGCCCAATGGTAGAGTGCTTGCCTAGCATGCCTGAAGCCCTGGGTTCCATTCCTCAGTACCACATAAACAGAAAAGGCTGGAAGTGGCACTGTGGCTCAAGTGGTAGAGTGCTAGGCTTGAGCAAAAGAAGCTCAGGGACAGTGCCCAGGCCCTGAGCTCAAGCCCTATGGCTATCAAAAATAATAATAATAACTTTATACTTTGGGAATAATTTGGGCATCTTCAGCTTGCTTAAACATTTATTTGCCTCTTAATGTGTTAATGTTAATCTCAAGTGGTTGTCCATTGATTGTTAATAAATGTGTTCTAGCTTATTGTTTACAACTACAAAAAAAGTAATGCTGTTCTTTTTTCTCTTTACTATATATCACTCAGGCTGCTTGGTTTTCAAGTTGAGAATTAATAGAAATGAAAATAGGAATCGGTTTAGACAAATTTTCTCTGGATGGAAATATCAATATGAAAATTAAAACAAGCTGGGAGCCAGTGGCTCACACCTGTAATCCTAGCAACTCAGGAAGCTGAGATCTGAAGATCACAGTTCAAAGCTAGCCCAAGTAGGAAAGTCCGTGAGACTCTTATCTCCAATTAACCACCAGAAAACTGGAAGTGGTTCAAATTGTGTAGTGCTAGCCTTGAGCTGAAGAGCTGAGGGACAGTGCCCAGGCCCAGAGTTCAAGCCCCACAACCAACAAAAGAAGAAGGAGGAAGAGGAGGAGGAGGAAGAGGAGGAGGAGGAGGAGGAGGAGGAGGAGGAAGAGGAGGGGGAGGGGGGGGAGGAGGGGGAGGAGGAAGAGGAAAGAAAGAAATAAAATTAAAACATAGTTAATACTTACACACATTAAAGTGCAGTTTTCCTGGTCTACAGAGTTCCAAAAATGACATCCTTGGATACACTGCAAAATTAATAACAGAGAAAGCAAGGCAAGGGTGACATTGTTCAAAAAGAGATGTACTCTTTACCTGAATTATGCAACTCACCTTTGTAATAAAAATTAAGGAAAACAATAACACATTGATCAAAATGTAGTATACTCCATAAGGTGACTTTTGAAATTGTAACCTCTTTTGCAACTATTTAATAATAAACTCTTTAAAGAAGCAAACAAACAATGAGGACTGAAGAAATGTGACTTTCTCTTGTCACCTGAAAATGCTTAATAACCACAGTATCACCCGATGATTTAGAAATCAAGATCTTTGGGCTGCCATATCTACAGACAGACCCAAGACACGGTGTGGTTCCCCTCAAGGCAGCTGGGTTGCTAAGAGGCAACACACCCTCAGTGGGCCTGGAAAACAGACAGCACAGGACACATCGTCCACTGGGTAGCTGGCAGCAGATAAAGTCTGGCACAGCATGGCACCAGATATATTTTGGGTCCTCAGGCAATTCTCACACAAGCACACTAAAAGCAGGGTACAACTAGAAGGTGGTATGTCTACCTAATGGGGACATGATGTGAAAAGTCTGCTGCCTACTAGCTACTGGAGACTATACAGCATAATGCTCTCAAAAATAAAACTACAGTAAAACTAAGCAATTTGTCCAAACCCATATCTCAGCTATGTAGTCAAATTCTTAGACTTGAATTCACCTTACGTTTTTTCCGCTTTGAACATACTTTATTTTTTAATGAATTCCATAATTCAGACCTCTCACTATTTTCAGTTGACATTGCTTCATCAAGGATGAGTGAGATTTTAACTTGCCAATTTTCATTCTCATAAAAATTTAAGCATTGGCCAGGAGCCAGTCCATCCTGGCTATAATCCTAGCTACTCAGAAGGCTGAGATTTGAGGATCATAGTTCAACGCCATCCCAGGCAGAAAAAGTCCCCGAGAGACTCATCTCCAAAGAACCACTCACAAGCCGGAAGTGGTGCTGTGGCTCAAATGGTAGAATGCTAGCCTTGAGCACAAAGAGGCTGAGGGACAGCACCTGGGTGCTGAGTTCAAGCTCCACAACTGACAGAAAATGAAACAAACAAACAAAGAAAACCTGAGCATTGTCTCTGAGCAACACAACATACATTGTGAAATTCTTGACAATGGAAGCAATTACTTACTGGTACACTGAGATTCGATGGTGACCCAATATCAAATTGCCTGCCCTGAAATGAAGAAAGAGTGGTAATCATCAGCTTTCAATATTAGGCTCAGTGAAACTACCACAGCTTTTTAAAAATAGTTATTATTAAGGAATTGTACAGAGGAGTTATAATTCCATAAGTCACATAATGAATGCAATTCTTCTTGGGCAATGTCACCACTTCCTTCATTTCCCCCTGGTTTCCCCCTCTTGTCCCTGCCCACAAGTTACATAGTTCATTTTTTACATAATGTATATGTGGGGAGGGAAAGCTTTCTGGAATAGTGTTGCCTCTTTTTGTTCTTTAACTGTCAAATAAAAGCTAGATGTTTTTAACTCATTAAATTTGCCAAGTGTTCCTGGCTCACAACTCTAATCCTAGATACTCAAGAGGCTAATATCTGATGATTGCAGTTCATGCAGCCCACGCAGAAAGTCTGTCTCCAATTAACCAGCAAAAAGCCAGAAGTCGAAGTGTGGCTTATGTAACAGAGCTTCAGCCTTGAGCCAAAAAATCAAGCAAGAATGCAAAGTCTTAAGTTGAAGCCCTAGTACCAGCATATACATAAAAAATGAATAAATAAATAGATATTAAATCTGTCTTGTAATCAGACAAAATGCTGGTATAAATTTATAATGTACACTTAAAATTCAGCAAAAACTGCAAAGGTACAGTGAAAGTGTGGCTACGGAAGAATGATGGAAGGAGTCTCAGACAGAATTAAATAAACCTGTGGACTGCCAGCTAGTCAGCTCAAGCATCTCTTACATTAGAATCGAATTGTTCTGAAGTTTGCTCTCCTTTTTTAATGATTGTTCATTAAAGCAGAAATTAGAAATCCCAAGTACTTCTAGCTAGTACTAGCAGCTCCTAGTACTTCTAGCTAGTGCTGATCAAAGCTTCAAGGTTTGCTGATAGGAACCACTGGATTGGAAAGGCAATCCAGCAAAAGATAAGGTATCTGTCCTTAGCTGAGTCAATACTGCAAGCAAGATATGTTATAAAAGTGACAAAACAAGGAGAGCTATGGAAGTAGTTTAAACATGTGATGTGGCCTCTTAACTACCTGTGCTTTCAAAGGAAAATGGGAGAACATTCCATCACTGAGCTCAAACAATACCTTTCCTTTCCATCCACTTCCCTCTTCACTCTGTCGCCAGTGCCCAGAATAGAATCTATTGGAAACAGTTCAATAATTGTTTGCTGAATTCAAAGTGATCCCCCACTTCAGAGTGTTCTAGAAGTTCCTTGGAGGTATAACCCAATGGCCTACCATTGTTTAGATTAACTTGAAAGGTAATTAGACACAGGTGCCAGTGGCCAAACATAGTCTTGTGTCTCCCTTTATTTAATTTTCCTGTTTGTTAGTTGTGGGGTTTGAACTCAGGGTTTGGGCACTGTCCCTGACCTCTTTTGCTCAAGACTAGAGCTCTACCACTTTGAGCCATAGTGCCCCTTCCGGTTTTTGAGTAGCTAATTGAGACCAGAGTGTCACAGGAACTTTTCTACCCATGCTGGCTTCAAACCGTGATCCTCGGATCTCAGCCACCTGAGTAGATAGGATTACAGGCATAAGCCTTCATTTACTTTTCAAATGAGGTTTTCTAATTCCATTCCCATTTATATTTACATTTTATGCTTTTACTTTGAATAAAAACTACAAATGGTAATATTTTGATTTTAGGAAGAATATATAATTCAGATTAATTTTGCAACCAAACAGGGGCAAAGAGATTGTCTCTGGAGTCAATGCTCTTGTGAATTTGCAATGCCTCTGTTAACCTGCACCAGATTCCTCATTTTCACTTTAGATCTTAGGGGCTCCCTATATAGGGTTTACCTTAGTTCCTTTTGTTCTGATTAACAACCTCCCAGAAAAAGACCCATTCCACATCTCTGACCCTCTTAATCTAATCCCTGCTTCTTGGCACAAGTTTTTCTATCCTACCCACATCAGCCGGAACTAATCCATTCTTTTCTTCCTACCCCAATAGAGGAACAAAGCAAAATGATCTGCATATTTAACCACATATGCTATGCTTGTTCCCACTGTAGAAAGTTAAACTTAGTGTTCTCACCTTAAGCACAAGTAGAGTGCTCTTTAATTTATAAAGTTCCCTGAAGACTTAATTAAATAATTATTAATTATTATAATACAATGCTGGCCCTTAGGAATCTACTCTTAATATTTTCCATAAACGTTTACATACAAATCTGACTAACTATGCAATAATCAGCTCAGGAATAGGTGCAGGGTATAGATCTATCTTCTCTTTCAATTTTGAGATTTAGTAACCCATTGTTTTCTAAAACTCTATCGAAGCCCAACCAACAATAAATGCAAATGACAACTTAGATGTCTGCCATCCATAGATGTTTTAATTTTGCCAATTTGAGAAATAAAATTTTATTCATTTGTAATAATTCTGTGGTTCTTGTAAGGTTAGATATCTATCATATATTTTAAACTCTTAAGATTTCTTCTTGTATAGTGACTTTTTAAGTGATTATTAAGGTTCTAAAACTACATGATTTTATGTATATCAGGTTTTGTAAAATATTATCTTTTTAGTTGTTATTGTTTTGGTTTTATTTTTTTGCCTGTCCTGGGACTTGAACTCCTGGGCCTGGGTGCCATCCCTGAGATGTTTTTGCTTCAGGCTAGCACTCATCACTTGAGCCACAGCTTCGCTTCTGGCTTTTGGGGTTTTTTTTGTAGTTTATTGGAGAAAAGAGTCTCGTGGACTTTCCTGCTTGAGCTGGCTTCAAACTTGAATCTAGATTTATTAATGTCATTTAAGTAGTCTGGATTCTTTGTTGCTGCTGTTTATCAGCATATATTAAGTTGCGCAAGAGAGATTTCATTGTGATATCTCCACTCACGTATATAATGTATTCCAATCCCCCCCTCTATCACTCACCCTTCCCCTTGAATTTTTTTTTTTTTGATCAGTCGTGGGGCCTGAACTCTGGGTCTGGGTGCTGTCCCTCAGCTCTTTAGCTCAAGGATAGCGCTCTGCCACTTGAGCCACAGAGCCACTTCCGGCTTTTTTTTTTCTGTTTATGTGGTGCTGAGGAATCGAACCCAGGGCCTCATGCATGCAAGGAAAGCGCTCTACCACTGAGCCACCTTCCCAGCCCTCTTGAATTCTTTTTTTAAGCAGGCTTTTCAAGGCATTTTAACTCTACGATTATAGAAATATTCACCTTATTTTTTTCTAATACTTTAAATGAGACAAACCTTTTTTCTAAAGCCACTTTATAAAGAAGAAATATTAAAAGTTAAGAAACATGATAGTTATCCAACCTCATGAACATACATGAACACTTAGAATTCAAACAAAATAGGTTAGTTAATGTACAACTAATACATACAGGTGCCACAGAGTAAAATACTCAAACTTAAGCACAGAACTCTGGTAGCCTTTTGTTCGGCAAGCCTCACATTCTTTTGTTGATGAAGAACAATGCTTCACTATCAAGAACCACTCAGGGAAGTAAAAAAATGGCCTTCACAACTGATGTCCATGTTAGAAAGAAAGGCAAAGGAAATACAGTAAGCTGTGAAGCTTCTGTCTTGATCCATGCCTACATTCAGTGGGTCATTCACCTCATTTTTGTCCCTCTAGAACCTGTGTAAGAGGCCCAGATTACAGACCTTCGTTACATTTGATCTCCAGATTGGCAGGCAGTTGCCATTTTATCATCTGCCCCTTTCTCCGTAGGTGGTCAGTGGAAGGCAATTCCACAAAGGAACACACTGTCTGCTTGTCCTGAAATCAAAGAACCCACACAAAAAGAGGAAAAAAAAAGTAATAATAAAAAACCTGGGGCTGGGAATGTGGCTTAATGGTAGAATGCTTGCCTAGCATGCATGAAACCCTGGGTTCCGTTCCTCAGTGCCACACAAACAGAGTAAGCAGGAAATGGCTCTGTGGCTCAAGTGGTAAAATGCTAGCCTTGAGCAAAAGGAGCTCAAGGACAGTGCCTAGGCCCTGAGTTCAACCCCCCAGGACTGGGAAAAAAAAAAAAAAACTAAACTAACATGCAAACTGAATTATTAAAAGCAATGGGGAAAAAAAGCTAAAATGGAGACTGAATTTTTTTATTTTTTATTTATTTATGTTTTGTTGGTTGTAGGGCTTGAACTCTGGGCCTGGGCACTGTCGTTATGCTCTTCAGCTCAAGGTGAGTGCTCAACCACTTGAGCCACAATGCCACTTCCAGTTTTCTGGTGGTTAATTGGCGATAAGAGTCTCACGGACTTTTCTGCCTGAGCTGGCTTCGAACCAGAATCCTCAGATCTCAGCCTCCTGAGTAGCTAGGATTACAGGTGTGAGCCACCAGTGCCCAGCTGAGACTGAATTATTAAAATCAAGGAAAATACATTTCACTAGGAGAAAAATTAACAGATTATAGTGCTGTGCTCATATAATAAAACAGTAAATATATTAAAGATTCTGTTTCCAGAAAGTGTCAAAGTATACAGGAAAACATGTTGTGAAATGAAGATTTCATTTATCGGTAATTGGGAATGTTAGGGAAGGCATAGAAATTGAGGACAAAGGATGAACAAATGCAGCAGTGATACTCACCAGACACTATTTGAAAATAAACTATATAATTTGTGAGTGAGGATGGGAGGGAAAAACTTGGAGAGAGTGAAGAAAGGAGTGACATTGTCCACAAACAAATATACTCTTTCTTTGGGGGGGGGGGGAGGGGAGATGGGAGGGCAGGGATTGCAAGGGGAAACAAAGGAGGAGGCAACAATGCTTAATAAGAAATGTACTCATTAGAAGTACAAGTTGTCATGTCGAAAACGAACTTTGCAACTTTGGTGGGGGGGAGGATTGGGTGGGGAGTGGGGGGAGGCTGGGAAGGGATGTGAAGGGTAAACAAAGGAGGAGGCTGCAATGCTTGATAAGAAATGTACTCATTATCTTGCTCATGTAATTGTAACCCCTCTGTACAGTATGTTCACAAAAAAAGAAAAGAAAAAGAAAAAAAAAAGAAATGTACTCATTAAAGCAACAAAGAAATCATCTTATAAATATGTTAGAAACAATTGCATGAAAGCAAAAACATTTGAATACTTATCTTGGGGTTCATTTCAGCTAATATCAACTTATCTGACCTTTTCTGCTTGTCTCAGCATATACTAGTTATTACAAATAAGGGAAATCTTTGTTGCTTTGTATGTCCCTCCCCCATGGTATAACCCCTGCTTTCACTGTATTTGATGTTGGTATAATTTGTGGAGGGGAAGGGAAAAAGCAAATCGTTTAAATAGGGATACAGGTGGACCCATTGCTACAATGAGATGTACAAATCGTTATAAATCGTTATGTCGAAAAACGAACTTTACAACTTTGGGGGGCGGGGGAGATGGGAAGGGATAGGAAGGGGAAACAAAGGAGGAGGCAACAATGCTTGATAAGAAATGTACTCATTATCTTGCCCATGTAATTGTAACCCCTCTGTATGGTATTTTCACAATAAAAAATGTTTAAAGAAAGAAATGTACTCATTACCTTGCTCATGTAGTTCTAACCCCTCTGTATAGTATTTTCACAATAAAAAAACTTATTAATAAAAAAAGAAATATACTCTTTACCTGACTTATGTAAGTATAACACCTCTATATATCAATTTTACAATAATAAAAAATAAAAATAATAAAATGAAAAGAATGGATATACAACTTTACATAAAGTATTTGAAGAGATAATTAAGAAAAATACTAAATGATAATATAATTGAAGGTTAATAGTGATAGAATTATAGGGTATTTTCCTTTTCTATCTAATCGAGAAAACAAGACATTTTAGGAAAGGAAACATCTAGTAATCCCATGCTTTCTTTTTAAGTTTGGATTACAACTGTAAAAAAAAACAAACCAAAGCAAACTATTGTGTGTCAAAGGCAATGAGATCTTTGGCAAAAAAAAAAAAAAAAATGATATAAACTATTTCTTAAATGATACTAGGAACCAATAATGTGTTATATAAATTTCTGTTTAATATAGCACAGAATTCTATCTTCAATATATTAGCATAATAATGAGCATAAAAATCTGCATACTTTGATACTTTAAAATGTGTGACTATGGCCTAGCATGTATGTATTTCTGCTTCCTTTGTCTTTAAATGGGAAGAGTACATTGCTCCCTAGGTTAGGGTATTTTCTTTTCAAAGTTGAGTTAATGACTGTTTTAAAGACAATAAAAAGATATGATACTATATATATATATATATATATATATATATATATACACACACACACACACATACACACAAAGAAGGAATGACAACCAGAAATGAGAAAGAAAACATGAATTTGAATATCAAAAAACTTATTAGCTAAAATTACAAATGTACTGGTAGAAATAAAAAGTTGCATACAGCTCTTCCTTTGTGGCATCTGCATTGCTTCCTTGGTTCTCTAGTTCCCTATGGTAATCCACCTAATTTAAATATCACTGTTACTCTAAAACTAGAAGGCTTACCATGTGGCCAGACTTATTTTCTATTTCAAGTCAAATAGTAATGGCTCTGTAATAAATTATGGAAGATAGAATATTTTGAAGTGTGCAAGAATAGATTCCACTTAATCCTCCCTTATCAGATCCTCATAGTGCCACCATCCTCCACCACCACCCCTCATCTCCGGAAAATCTATGACTTAATAACAAAGGAAATTAACTTGTATTGTCTTCTGAAACTATTCATTTTTCTACCTTACTTCTGAAAAAAAAAATGCTATCCTTCCTGAGAACCCCTCTCACAAGAAGAGTTCTCACAAAAAGAAAAATGTTCAATGGTCTATGCTACAAATGAAATTCATGTTCTACTTCCTGCAAAGGCAGATAGGAGACCAGTGAGACTTACCAGGTTAGTTACACAGGACTTAAGGCAGTTGTTTAAAACTGTGGACTGTACCACAGAAATCCATATGAAGCCAAGAGTTGTAAAGCTGACAAGTTTCAGGATAAACCAGTGAATGTTCTTCATCACTTCATCAAGGGTCGATTTTCAGATGACTGCGCTTCTGATTTTCTCCATTCTGCTAGATGAATCCCTTAGACTTCATCATTTCAATTGGAGGAGTAACTAGTGAATTTTGTTGGTGCTGTTTTGCACTGTTGGAATGTCTCTGCTCATTGAAATAATATCAAGACTGGCTACCTTAGACCTTTGAATCCTAGATAGCTTGTAATGTTCATATAACAGCTATTTCATAACGTAGCTTCCTTTCTTCTCCCCTAAAGTCACTCACTGACTAAAGCTTAGATGCTAGAAGAGCACTTCACATGGAAAGTAAACAGTGAAAATGCAAATTGTATTTCAGCGAGCGTAACACTTGTACTGTCTGAAACTTAAGTGCTTTGGTAGACCATCCACCACTGTACTTCTTTGAGATTGGCTCAATTATGCAGGAAATTGGGTTCTGACTGTCCATACTTGGTCAATCAGTCATAGTATTACCATAACAAGTTATGAAAAATTAGAATGATATGAAACAAAGCAACAGAAAAGAGAAAACAGAATGCTGTGAAAGCACACACACCTATCCCTATCATATATCTATTTAAATTAAAAAGCAAACCAAGCTAAAATTAATAGACGGATTGTCTGAGGGGGAGTTAGACAAGGAAGTCTGTTAGAGGACTCTCAGAACTTCACTACACATTAACTAAAACACTGCCTTATCACGTCTATTGAGACAGAAACCAGTAGCCATAGAGATGTAAGATATATACAAGTGTAGCTGCCCTGAAAAGGAAATATTATACCGAATTTTCAGTCAATGTTGCATCAAGATAAATGAGGTTAAGCTGAAGTCCAAAACAAAGAATTTGAAATCTACAAAGAACAAAACTGAGTTGCTAAGTAACTACATTTTAGATCGCAGAAGGATAACTCTTTAATGTCAGAGATTTTTGTGATGATATTCTTTTTAATGACAATCTAAAATGTCAAAAAGTTTTGTTTTCTTAAATAAATTATACCAAATACAATTTAATCATTTAGTGAAGTTCTCACTAAAACACATGCACACCCAGTGCTGGTGGCTCACATCTGTAATCCTAGCTACTCAGGTGGCTGATATCTGAGGATTGCAGTTCGAAATCAGCTCAGGAGAAAAGTCCGTGAGACTCTTATCTCCAATTAACCACCAGAAAACCGGAAGTGGCTCAAAGTGGTAGGCACAAGTCTTGATTGAAAAAGCTCAGGGACAGCACCCAGACCTTGAATTCAAACCCCACAATCATCTTCATCATCAACAACAACAACAAAACATGTATGCATGAGGTTTTATTTCATCTTTTGGTAAATTATCTTTTGGTAACTGTTGTCAAGAGGGGTGCCACATAAACATGAATGGATATTAATGCCCAAATGTAATCCCTAATACTTGTTTTCTTGAAAAAAGAATCCCTGTTGTGTGCCAGGTCTTCATGTATTTTTTACATTTTCAGAAATACAGACTGGAAGTATAGCTGAAAGGCTTGAGTGATAAAAGCATCAGCAATGAGCAAGAAAGCCAAGAGATAAAAGCAAGAAAGCCTAGAGCTTGAGCTCATGAGTTCAAGCCTCAGTACTGGCACACCAACAACCACACACACTCACACACACACATACACATTCTTCAAGGAATTTAAGGAATTTGATTATTTTCCTAAAATATACTTTTATACATATGTAGAGCTGTTGCAGTGAAATCTCTTATATTGCAAATGTATGCTAATAAAATGTCTTATTGTAAAAATACTGTACAGAGGGGTAACAGTTACATGAGCAAGGTAATGAGTACATTTCCTATCGTGCATTGTTCCTTCCTCCTTTGCTTTTCCCCTACCATCCCTTCCCTCTCACCTCCCACCTCCACAACTACCTCCCCTCTCCCCCCAGCCCCCACTGAAGTTGTAAAGTTTGTTTTCAATATAGTGTCTTGCACATTTCATTGTTACAATGAGTCAACCTGTATCCTTATTTAAGCATTTTGTTTTTTCCCTTCCTCTCCCCAAATTAGAAAAATGTATATACATGATGCAGGGCACTGGAATCAAATGCAGTGAAAACAAGGGTTGGTGGGCGGAGGGAGAGAGAGTGGAACCATACCAAAGAAACAAAAAAAAAAAATCACATAGCACATTATAAATATGTTAGAAACAATAGCAAGAAAGAAAAAAATCACTTGTGGCCCTATCTTGGGGTTCATTTCACTTAACATCATCTTATCTGGTCATATGTACATAGCTTTTGACCTTTTCTGCTTGTCCTAGACATATACTAGTTTTATTGCAAATAAGGGAAACCATAGGACCTATGTTTCTTTGGGCCTAGCTTACTTCACTTAATACAATTTTTTTCCAAGTCTTTCCATTTCCAAACAAATGGGGCAATGTCATTCTTTCTGACGGAAGCATAGAATTCCATTGTGTATATAATAAAAATGTCTAAAATGGGGGGAGGGAGCTTGGGAGGGAAAATATTGGCAGAAAACAAGGGATGAGGTAACTCTGTTCAAAAAAAAATGTACTTATTACCTGACCTAAGTAACTAACCCCTCTGTACATCACCTCTACAATAACACTAATTTTTTCAAGCTTTAAAATAATAAAACAACACGAAATAAGACATTCTTAAATCACAAAATAATGAATGTCACCAAATGAATTTTCCCATCCCATTAAAATGTATCACCACCATGACTACCAATGCTTTTTGTTCTACTAGCATAAATAGCATCTATAACGTTTACTTCAGTGAATTAAAAGTACAATAATGTAGTATTAAGTCAATTTGTTTGCATAATCTTCATGTGATTTCTCCATGTGTGTTTGAATTTCCTCACAAAACCCTAGTCTCTGCACAGTCCAGCTTCTTATAGGGTGGCTTAAAGCCAAGTGAAAGAAAGGGTTGATCTCTCCAAGCATAAGCTGTATTGTCTTCAGAAAGGCGGAGTCAGTGCTGCTGCATTCTACTGGTTATCAGAGAGTTACAAAGCTGCCCCAATTCAAGAAGAAGCTCATTAGACCCTTATTTCTTGATATGAGAGAATCAAGGTCTTAGAAAGACATGAAGGATGGGGGAAAACACTGTACCACATTGGGGAACAATATGCCACCACGAAGATAGTCATCATTTACATGGTTCTCATGTGCTGTAATGTGGTAACTCCAAATTGCCCTAATTTGGTTTTAACACCAGTTCCCAACATCTCACTTCAAACTTTACATGCCATGATGTTAGCTGTGAATATCTCTACTAACCTCACAACTATTTCTTGAGTCTACAAGTCTAATGGAAACCATGAATTATGATCATGACCAGAGGCCAATTATGTCACTTCTTTCAAAGTCTATCCATGATTGACCACTGCATGTCTGTTATTCAATTCATACACGTACATTAAAGCTGGCTCCCACTTGGGCCCCTCTTTGGCCAGATCACTGACTGCCATATGGACAGGAAAAAAGCAACTTTCCAACATTCATCTTGAGAAATCAGGGCAGGGGACAATGGCAGTGGTCATGAAGATAGGAAACCGAGTGAGGAAGGAAAGAAAGTCAGAGAAGGGCATACTTTTTTATTTTTGAGGCACATACTTTGACTCCTGAGAACCAAGAGTCAGGACATTGGTCTTTTAAGAAAGTCAAATACTTAAGAATTGGATGACTGTCGTCATGATTAAGCTATGAGTAACATGAGGGAAATTCCAACATTGGCCTTATCATAGACACTAAGAAACCAATGAAAAAGAAAAAGGGAACCCAACTAATTACATCATTTACCACTAAGCAAGTTAACTTTGAAGACTGACTTCAGACATGGGCTTAGGTGTTTTGATCGACCCCCCCTCACCCCCTATCCCGGCCTGGTTCCTGGAGCTTGAACTTAGGGCCTGGGCCTCTTTGTGCTCAAGGCTAATGCTTTACCACTTGAGCTATAGCTGTACTTCTGGCTTTTTCTGAGTAGTTTTTTGGATATAAGAGCCACCAGTGCCCTACTTATTTTAATCCTCTTATACCCACAAGGGATCTCTAACACCAGGGCCTTCACTCTTGCTATTGCTTAAATAAAAACTTAACATTGCTTTCTTTAGCTGTTTCTATTTGAGGGAAATATTTCTCAATACCTTCCCATGCCTTCCAGGAGAGCACTTTGGCCACTTAGTAAAGACAACTAGCAAAGAACTTTCTTTCGAGTTCTTTTATTGGTATTGTAATGATAGAAATATGTTTAATCTCATGGGAAATGATAACCAGGAAATGGTGACATCAGATTTAGAAAATTTCTTTCTTTCTTTGACTAGCCAGTCTGTATTAGCAAATATTGCAACACGTTTCAAAGTTTCCAAATGAATTATTTGATGCAAACCTTGAAATTGCGCAACACAAAATGGTTGCAAAACCTATCTACCATAGTATGATGTTAACTTGCTTTGGTATATCAAAAGCTGTTCTTGGAAAAGCAGATTAGTTGGAAACATGGGAAAGACAAAAGGTCTTCAAGAGGAATGGGAGTGGGCAGTACTGGGGTTTGAAGTAAGGGGCTGGCTTATTAGGTAAGAACTTCAATTCCTGAGCCACACTCCCAGCCCTCCAATAGGGATTTGTACAGAATTGTTATTTGAAATTGTATATCATTCATCAAAGTTTAATTCCTGTTTTGATATCCTCACATAACTCAGAGTGATTCTGATGGATTCTGCTGTCAGCTCTGGATTGACCCAGCATCATAATTGTTTTGAAACAGATATGTAGCGAATCCTCTTAACTTTAATTTAGTGAGCATTGCATGTGCCACTCACTCAAAAATAGTTTATGATGGTTATTGTGTTCTATTCTCTTCAGAGTCAATTAAACAACTATTAGATGCAGTTTATAGTTGAGAACATTGAGGCTGAAGAGGTTAAAAATGTTGAGCCAAGTGCTAGTGGTTCATGCTTGTAATCTTATTTAGAAGGCTGAGATCCAAGGATCTTGGCTGAAAGCCAGTCCAGA